GTCATTCCCTGAGCATTTAGAAGCCCTCAAGATCCCTCAAGGGACATAGGTCTTTGTTTGACCTTTTTGTTGACTTTTCAAGGACAACCAAGTGGAAAGCCCCGAGCACCATCGAACCTATCCTACCGAAAAGAGCGACGTAGCCACTGGTTGTTGCCTTGAACAGCGGGAGGTGGCTTAGTCTCAATTGCCTGCCTCCCACGCGGGAATCCTTCCTTGTCTCCAGCCCCCCAACTGATTTTTATGGGTTGCAGCCAGAAACCAACAGCTCAAATGGGCGAAAGCGGATTGGTTTGGAGAAACAGGAATCCGCTGGCGCTTTCAATGCAAGATTTGACCCCTCCATCACCCCGGAGGTGTTTGGGACCCGGTCTCAAAACCTGGCTGTTAAATCGGGCCCCTTATTGACATCGGGAGCCTTGAGTCGCAAAAGTCCCCCAAAACCATGGTCTTTTGGGTGGATCTGTTGATTGGAAGCACGGGGATCCGCCCAGACCAACAACCCACCCATCCACCCCAGGTGCGGAGAGGGAGCGCGACCTCCTGGAAGCAATCTACGGGGAGGAGTTCGAAGTGCTCGCGCCCAACGAGTGGAGGCAACGAAAGGGCTCCGCGTTTCCTGGGGGCCTCTTTTTCCAACCCCGCAACCTCCGGAATTCCATTGGTGTCATTTTGGCTTTTATGGGGCGGAATACTATAATACTATTCCAAACTCACAACCACTGCAAATTCCATTGGTGTCAGTTTGGCTTTATGGTGAATACTAGACATATGAAACTGCAAATTCCATTGGTTCCATTTTCGCTTTTATGGGGAATACTAGACACATGAAATTGGGGGATACTCCACCCCTCCCCGCTCAAGGAAATTCTGTACCTTTCTTTTGTTGGGGGTCCCAAAGGATCGCATGTGTCTTTCGGGGCTCAGCATTAATCAAGGGGTTGATTAGGGGGTCGCCTTATCAGAGGACATCCTTTACTGCCGTCCACATCCTTCCTCATCCCAGCTTTTCCCCAGCCATTTCTTTGTCCATACAGCTGGTAAAGATGGAATGGATAAGATAGGAACTCTCTCCAGCCCTTTCGCTGACCATTTTTTGTGGCTTAACGCCAAAACTTGCTGGTGCTCAGTGGGGAATGAGGGACAGGGGTTCCTAAAAGGAACCCACCAGTTGGATGGCTTATAAGGGTCATTCCATTTGTCATTCCCTGCGTCTCTCGCACCAGCAAGAAAAGCAACACGGTCGCCTCTCTCCAGCTCTTTCACTCAGCACTTGTTGTGGGTTAAAGCTCACCGCAGCCATGGTGCCGCTTTCGGATCCTTTCGGTTTCGTGTGGCGAGTTGCCCCCCAAGTTCCCCCGACAGGGTGGACATCCCTGGCGCAGACGGCGCGGCGCTGCGCCTGCTGCTGCCGGCCGGAGTCTGAGCCGTGCAACCGTTTCACTGCCCGAGTTGGGCTTGATTTTTTTGTGGGACCAATTTGGTGGCAAACAAGATGTAGCAGACTTTAGTTTCACAGGATGCTATGCCCCCCCCAAGCTCCCCCCCCAAATTCTGAGATCCAAATTGGCTTAATTAGGGTCCAGCCCCGCAACAGCTCTCAGAAGACATTGAGTTTGCAAATCCTGAATCTTAGCATGTTAAGGGTTATAGGCCCATCTTGAGTAGGAGGGACTGGCTGCAGCACAAACCCTTACTACGACCCGAATAAGCGTCCATCGCCCGAACTCTCTTATGCTTTGACGGCAAACCAAGATTAGCTCAATTTGGGTCCTGCCCCGAAACAGCTGTCCAAATCAAAGGTTGGTTTGAATCACGCAGCAGGCGTCAAAGAAATCCACGCAGCCTGAGTGATGGCTTGGGAAAGGCGCAGCGTGTGACTCACCCCCGCCTTTTGAGAGCACGAGGTTTTCCAATGCTGCGAATACTAGATTACGTGCTGGGCTTGAAGCTCAGCAATACTCAAATACTTAATTTCAAATTGATTTTTGGACATGGTTTTTAGGACCAGCAAGTATTTGTGACAGATATGTAAGTCGCACAAATGGTTGCCCGCCCTGGCCGGACCCCCCCCCCTCCCAGACATTTCAGATTCTTGGCACAGAATTTGGCAATGGAAGTCTAAGATCTAGCAACACTGGATCCAGCAGCAATGAGTTTTACATTCAGGAATGGAAACCTCCTTTTGACAGCATCAAATTCAGTATTCGCGATTGTGGGAGTCTCAGATTAAAAAATGGCAAAGCTAAGTTGAGTACGGAATAGATTTTGTGTCACACATTTCGTCAAGCAGCAGCTTGATTTGAGAAACAAAGCCCTTATCAGCGCATTGTTTTGGAGTTCATGCTAAACACAACGTTCAGACATGTTTTTGAAACCAAAGCCCTTATTAATAATTTTCACTGATGCCCCAAAAGCCTAATTACCGCCAGAACAAGGATTGCAGCCTCGCCACCCCGTGGAAAGAGTTTGCCGCACCCAAGTCTCCGTTGAAGGCCTTGTTCAGGAATTCGTTCCCGTAGCTACAACGGGCGTCATGTGTGACGGCAAAACCCCGAACAAGGTCATGTTATTTTCAAACCAACATCCCTTTTAGTGCTCAAATAAGCCGCTAGTAACGGCTTAATAGTGTTTGTTGGACCCCGAAGAAGGCCCTAATCATGCAATAATCATGCACTATTCAGGCCTTGCCGCCGATTCAGGCCTTGTTCTGGAACTCAGGATTTGGGGGGGGAGCCGGGGGGGGGGGCATAGCATCCTGTGATTTGGCAAATCCACCCAGTTTTGAGCCAGTTGAGGGTTTCGAAGGGTTGTGAAAGGGTTCTTAAGGGTTTTTGAAGGCTTTGAATGTGTTTGAAAGGGCTGAAGGGTTGCAGAGTGTATGTTTGAAGTTGAAGTTGTTTTTGAAGGCCTTGAGAAGTTCCTTGGGTGCGCAATACTCGGAAGTGGGCTCTTCGGGGTGCACGCTGACTGGCCCCGAGCTTTCTACCCTAGATGCCCTCCGACCAACTAACATGGAACTGGCCAACTTCATTCCAATCTTCATGGATGGCAATTATGGGGCGGCCACGTCAATGGCGGTGTTGGCGCGCGATGCTCAAGGGGTTGCCCGAAGAGGGTCAAGATTTGGACCCCCCCCATGTAGCATGCTTAATCCAGAACAATGTTCGCACCAGATCCAAGGTGCTTTCTCTCTTTCTCTCTGTCTCTCTCTCTCTCTCTGTTTCTGTCTTCCCTCCCAAAGATGAATCTCTTTTGACTCCTGGGTTTTCAACAGAGTAACAGAGTTTGTTTTCATTATGCGCATCCAGGCCCCGTTGGAGTGAGCGCTGCCCGTATTCCGAGGCGGGCTATCCCCGGACAGAGCCTCCAGTGCCCATCTTTGACTTTGAAGGACGGCGGAGCCGTGGGCCCCGCTTGTCAGCCAGCCGACAGACCACTCCGCACCCAGAATCTTCGACTTCCGCAAGCCAACGGGGGACGGATATGTTTGATTCTTCCAGACTTCCTAGGGCCTAGGAGACCATATGAAGGCAACATCAGGCCAAACACGGCTAACAATGGGGGAAGAGATGTCATTTTGCTTGTTGTTGGCGACCCCTGGGGAAGGCACATAGCCCCAGCTCGGTGAGATTTACTCGCGTTCTTGGCTACCTTGATTTCTCGGCCCTTGAGAATGGGGTCCTACAGAGGAATATGTGTTGTTGTTGTTTTGTTTTTTTTTTTACGTGAGGCTAGGTACATGGAACTGCTTGAAGGTGGAGGATTTCCCCAATCACGTTTTTGCCTTGTCCTTTCGCCGGGCGACACACCCCCTGTGTCACTAACGTGAGCCATGTTTTTTGTTTGTTTGTCAGGAGCCGGGCATCTGAAGCAGATCGCAGCGGACACCATCCAGGAGCTACTGGAGCAATGGGAACCTCAAGAAGACGAGGGCTGCATCTACCAGCAGCTCGCGCTGCACCTCTTGGGATGTAGAGCAATGAGAGCCGTGATTAAAACCCACGGGCAGCTGTCTGTCTCATGTTTGGGTATCCCCTTTCGGTTGTTATTCAATAGGCGTAAAAGGATGATTGAACCTCAAGGCTTCCTTCAATCCCTTAGGATGACCAGACAAGCGACAAGGGTCGACGAGATAAACGGTTTTCTCAAATTTTCGTTCCCAAAGCTGAAGAGGGTGTTGGATCCTACATTTTACATGTCCTGTTGTTTTCCTCGCCTCTTGCAACTGTCATCCTTTTGGGGTTCATGCCCTTCTCACCAGCTGCGCTTTTTTTGAGTGTCGCCTTTTTGGGCCGTGTCAAAGTTTCAAAGGGACACGAAAAGGACCTTGTTATTTTTTGCAACAAACCGAATTTCGGGGGGAGAAAAACACCCAACCAGACCACGATTTCTGCCAGGTGGGTGGATCGGCTCCGGGAGGTTCTGGAGCCCACGGCCGCAGCGGAGAAGCTCCAGCAGAACCAGCCCCACGGCGGTTTGGAGTTTCTAGGGCTCGCTGCCCTTTTACCGTTTCTTGTTTGGGGGAGGGCAAGCCCCTACTAAAATAGACTACCGGAAAAAAAAAGGAAAGAAAAAGGTACCCTTATTCTAACCCCTCTACTGGAGGACCTGCTAAGTGCTGCCCTTTTCCGGACCACCCATTTCTCACTTGCCCAAAGCGAATTGACTTGTAAACCTTTGGATTTCCTGATTTGGTCCATTTTTAGTGAAGATTCCAACATGTTAACCTTTTATGTCTCGGCCCTACCCAAGTGAGAGGAAGTTTCGTGGCAAATTCTAGAAGCTGCAACAGCAATCCTAAAGTTTAGGTCCAAATACCGAACGTATGCAATCATGTCTCCACCACACTCCAAAGCTATGTGAAGACCAATGCTAGGGAGGACCGAAGGGGACCAGAGAGGACAGAGAAGCACAAACACTAAGCCCATGTTTTCTTTTGAATCTCTTGAAGGATGCAGTTGAGCTGCCTAAAAATCACCCGCTGATCTCGAGGGCGTTTTTCAGCCGCTGGTTCCCCGAAAGGAGATCGAAAACGCGAAAACGAAAACGGCTCCGACTGCCGGTGGTGATTTTGCAGTGTGATGTTCAGGGCGTAACCCACCCCTTGTGGGTTATGGGTGTGTCTGTTTGGAATGGCTTAGCGTTTTTTTTTGTTTTTCCCCCGTTTGGTTTCCTTTATCGCCAAAACAGGGGCAATTCCAAAAACGTCAGATCAGTGTTGATCATACTTGCGGATGGGATCCCAGGACTGCAAATTTCTTTGTGTAAGTGTGGTGGGAAAAATGGAAAACCAGTGATTCAAAGCTGACCAAAGAGAGTCAACAAAGCCGAAGTCGAGATCAATCGTCCATTGCAACTGGGGTAGACTTAGGCTACATTAGTTTCTTACCAGCTCATAGTGAAGCAAACCATAAAAGAAAGCTACATCTATGCCATTTAACACTACCACTATACTGCGCCATTTAACATGCCATATGTTTGGCCCAAACAATACTGTGGATGGACGAAATCCTGCACCGCTTAAAAAAAACATGGGGAACCATTGTTTGTTGGCATTTACCAAGGCAATCATCCTTCCAGGGTTTCTTTGGTGCGTTGCATGGATTTCGCAACCATCCGCGGAGCCACGAAAAACTGGTTGCCGAGCTCCAAGCGAACTTTGGCCTCACGCAATTCCAACTCGCCGGACCTGCAGCCGAAGCCAGAGGCGCGACGCAGCCTTCGCGGAGGCCTTGGCTGTAGAGGACGCCATGGAGGCGCGTTGGAGCGGTGAGCTTTCGCCGGGGGGGGGGGTCCCTGGTTTCGCCGTTTTGCCTCCCAAAAGTGGCGGTTTCAAGGAAACCCACCGGCAAATTGCAACTTTTTGGACATGAAATCCAGTAACCCATGAAAGAGGGGGGGCAAGTGACCTCAAGAAACATGGGGAACTGCATGTAAGGCGATCAGCTCGCAAGGTCCTTGTGTTATACAACCGGTTGGCATCCCCCTCGCCCAAGGCCAGTGGATTCCACCCAGCCACTCGGTCGGAAGTGCGTCAGCGGCACTCTAGGATAGGAGAGGCAAGCACGGTTGGCACCCTGGAGGAAAAATCCGATGGAATTGGGCCCCCAAAAAAATGAGTGGTTTCCCTTCCTCAGTTGTTCAAAACCGATCTTTTGACCTTTTGGTTTTCCAGTTTTGGTCCATTTTTAGTGGAGGCCCCAAAAGGTTAACCTTTTATTTCTGAGTCCTTTGGGCAACTGAGCAGTGGTTTCCCTTCAAGCCAACCCAAAGGGTACCCTCCAAAGAAGACACCCCCTTTTTTATTTTTGGGGGTTGCCGCTCAACCGACAGGCACAAGGACAAGCCCTGGGCCCCTCTTTGCCAGAGAAAAAAAACAAAAAAAACACATACACCGGTTGCAAGTCAGCCCCATAGGATCCCTTCAAGCCTCTGTTGTGCTTCCAACAAAAGATCAAGCGATTGATTAAATGGCAGGCTCTCTTTTCCATGGTGGCTTGGGGTCGGGGTGCGTTTTTGTTTGTTTCCACCTGCGTTTACAAAGGCAAAATTTGCAGATGGGAAATCCTGGCAGGCACCTCTGCAACCTCAACCTTTTCCGTCCGGCTTCCACGGCCAGCTAGTCATGGTGAAACAACCTATGTTGTAGATTCAATCGGGTGCTTCATTTAAGAGCGGATTTGGGCTTTCGGCAGTTGGCACCCAAAAAAAAACCGTCAGGCGCCATCGGTAGAGAAGGGCTTCACCTTCCTGCCGGCCAATCCACAGTATGGCGCCTCGTCGATTGGATGTGACGTGCCATGGTCAAAGAGGCAGACCGCAGACCCGTTTTGGAACCCTTTTTGGTTGGTCTCAAGAGGAAACAGAATAGAGGTGCCGAGCCATGCCCCCGTAAAAGTGGAACCCTTCAAACTTCAAGAGCGGTGTCTCAAGGGAATCCGCCAGATTGCAACAGATGTGCCATGGTCAAAAGGCCGGGTCCTTTACTTGGGGTTGACATTGATTCATCCATTTCTAGGTGGGTTCCCCTACTAAAATAGACGTCCTGAAAAAAGGGCACCCTTATTCTAACCTCTCTACTGGAGGACCTAGATTTGGTAGGATCCTTAAGCATTAGAATGATGCCTTTTCAGGAACCGACTAATCAAAGGCCACGTTGAACGCCGCGTTTCTTTCGGCGCTCAACGTGGCCCAACTGGTTCCTTTCGGACCACAATCCACTTTTGGTCGCACCAGGCGACGGGTGTTTCGCCAGTCCAAAGGCTCAATGAAGCGCACCCAGTGGCACCCAGTTGGTGCATACCTCGAGAAGGGCTTCCATGTCTTGTCTTTCTACACAGATCAAGGGCTGGCAGAGTCGGGATGCTTTCCCTGCTTCTTGGGCCCGCGGTAATGGCCCGTGTTTGCTCACCCAGCTTTGGCATTTGTTGCACTTGCGCATTGGGGGGGGTTCTTGGATCCCAGGCAAAGAGAAACAAGACGCAAATGAAATGACAAGGAAGAAAGAACAAGGGAGGTGGAGAAAGTAGGGGAACTCACTGACCCGCTGAGCTGTTTCAAATGCAGCTTCCCTCTTATTGGTAGTTGGGGTGGTTTCCCGTGTACGCTTCACGAGAACCGGGCCATTTACGCTTGACGCTGCAATGTGTGACCCTTCTAACCCTGTTTCCCCAACAGACCTTCCACAGGCCTTGTTAAGGCCTCTTTTGAGTAGTCACCATGGGCCAAATGATTTGGTGTCCTTTGGTTTCCCTTACGACCAACCCCCCAAAAACAGGCTACTAGTACAAAACCACTTTTTAAGAACACCACCCTTTTGTCAAAGACCAAAACTGGGCTACTATACAAAACGCAGAACCAGAGATACTTCGGGGCAGGGTTGTGGAATCAAGGGGTTTATTCCCACTTCTGTGATACAAGGGAATCTCCGCCTGTATATGGGGTGTTAGTCTTTGGGGTTAGGCCCTTTTTGTTGTATCACAGAAGTGGGTTCCATTTCCCACAAGCCTGCTTCGGGGAATCCAGGAGAAAGGTTCGGACACCTGCCGCAGGGCAGAGGCGTCGGACCTTCGATGCCTCCAGCTTCGACGCTCAGAACGCCGTGGAGATCCTGCGGGGCGAGCCCTTCACGGAGCGGGCGAAGGGGCCCGTTGGGATGCCAAACAATTCGCTTGAGAACCTTTCTCCCCCCCCCAAACAAAAAAGAAGAGAGAGAGAGAGCAACTATATTATATATGTATATATATATACACAAGTATATGTGCATGTACGTATGTGTTCTGCAAAAACAAACATAGTGCGGACGCGCCTTGCTATCAGAGCGTGGGTTGTTTCTTTTCCGTTTCCCGCCCAGTCGGATCCAAGATCCTTCGACAGGACCGGAAGTCCACGTTCCAGGCCTTCGCAGCCAAGGTGTCCAACCAGGGCCAGGTGAATTGGGCAGCTCGGATTTCAGCCGAACCCCCCTGGATTGGCATGGAGGTTGTTGGGATCCATTTTCTCACTTCCTGAGTTGGTGGACTTTAAACTTTTTGGAAAGACCATTTTAGTGGTAAATAAGAAGTTCAAACTTGTTTGGCCAGTCAACTTGGGAAGTGAGTTTTACATTTTTGCTTATTGTGGTTTAGTGGGCAATCCCCACTTAATTGCTTAAATCTTTGCTCCCCTTCAACGTCAACCAAGGTTGGTGGATTGGCATTTGAAGCCCTGCTTCTTGTAGAGGGTAAATGGGAACCCGCCCGGCTCCAAACCAACAAGTACTGAGAAGCTGAGTGTAGCTTGGTCTGGGCCCTAAGTGAGCATTTTGAGGGGTTCTCATAATTGCTCGTGGGTATGATGTGGCTTTGAATTGCTTGGGTTGGCTCCAAGGATCATCAAATCCTTGTGGGGGGGGGGGGGGGGTTGATTTGCAAGGTTGATGAATCCGCGGTTGGCATCTGTTGAACGACTTGCTGGCTTGCTCTAAGAGCAATGCAAGCACCTGTTGCACCCAGAGATGGATTTCACCTCCATGGAATGCCCTCTCCTCTGCCATGAATAACCGTTAACCACCATAGGTTTGAGTTGTTCTAAAAGGAAGGCAACTGCGCATTGAAATGCCGCCTTTGAGGCGATATGGGAGTCGGAGCTTACAGATCCCCGTTGAGGACTTATATACCACCAATAAAAGCTTGCAAGGCAGCATACCCCTGATATAGTGTGTATACAACCTCCATTTCTCCAAACTCTCTCCCTGAAAACGCCCTAATTAAATGGGTGCCAGTTGGCACTGCGGTGCTGCTCCCGGTCGAATGGGGCCAGCTTTTCGTGAGGCCTTACGGACGCTGCTCGAAGATCGCAAGATCGCTGTGGCCACCCACAACATGTTCGCCTACAGGCGCACGAAGGGAGGTCGGATTCCCTTCCAGTTGAACCACTGCAAGTCGCGTGTGCAGAAACATATTATGTCAATTGCCTACGTGAATGATCCATGTAGCTAGCTGCCACGGCCCCGCTCTCGTTTTCTATCGCCACCAGAGGTAGCGTCTCAAAAAACGGTGTCGGCAGGTGATGTGTCCGGTCTTCAAACAAAAGGGCCCTTGGGTTTGCAACAGAATTGTGGATAGGACATTTCAGGGCAAGTTGTCTAGTGAACCGTTCCGGTGACGGCAGTAGCCTTGATATTGCGTGTCGTTTCTTTTTTCTTTTGGTGGACGGGATGGTTGTCCTGAACCCTCACGCCTTTGTTTCTATAGTTGATGGGCCAATGGTCCGAAAGATGATGAATTTCTTTCAGGATGCAGTTTGGATGCCATCACTGTTGTGAACCTGTACAACATTCTCGAGAGCACTCGCAAGCACCTACAGGGGGGAAGTCAGAATGATTTCAGCAAGAAAGACATGCAAACCGGTTGGTCCAGCGTGAGTCAAAACACGTATGGAACCAGCCAGAGCGTTCAAAGGAAAACTTTCTAAACCAGGATGCTTTTGTGTTGTTCCATGTTTGGGAGGGTCAATGGGAATGGCTTACTTCTCACTTCCTGTTTTCCTGGACTTCAAACTTGTTTGGTGGCAAATGCAAAGTTCAGACTTTGTTTTGGCCGATCCACGCGATGGGAAGTGAAACTTTGAAAGGAATCATCGATTTAGGTCTTTCGGGAGCCAGCCAGGTTTAAAGACGAGCGAGGGGTGCAGGTCGCAGACAACGAGGACGATGGCGAGGCGGGATAAATATCCCCTGAGTTTACCCAAGGGGCGCCCTCTACGTGTTCCCAGGAAGAATGCAGGGCGGGCTTGAGGGGTGTGTAAGCTTGTCTGATCCAAAATTGGAGAGCCCTCAGGGGATGTCCAAACAGGCTTGGACGTTTTTGTTTACCTGCCGGGCGGAAACACAAGAGCCCGATAAGCGGAACCCACCAATGCATAGAATCAATCCACGATTTCGTGCGCCCTTTTTCTACCAAAGAGGTTGCAGGGCAGCTGGGGATGCCGTTTGACGGAAGAAAGTCAGAGCTTTTCTTGAACGTTGCTCCGGGTGCTTTGGCTGTAGTTTCCTCTTCATGGTGCAAATTAGGCATTCCTACGGTCGTATTGGGTCTTGTTGGCAATATCTGTCGCTGGGTGTATCTCTGTTGGCCTTGAACACTCCAATCGGGGCGCGTTTCGTTTGGAACACCCAGTCTACTGGTAGTTGCAGCCTCAAGTAGCTTCCAACATTTGTTGATGGGGATCCTTCTCTTCAGAAAGTCACGAGTCACCAAACACCCAGCGAACGTGTGAAGCACAACGGGGGCATTTATGCGATTCTGTGCACAAGCTGCAAACCATCTAACCTCAAAAGCATGGGTTCCCCCAAAAACAGGGCCCACGAGCTTCTTGTTTCGGGCGCGTTCAGGTTTGGTAGCCAAAATTGGGGAGTTTCAGTTCCTGAAGGCTTTCCTGGAGCTTTTTTTTCTTGGAAGGGCGAATTGCGTGTGGGGGGGGGGGGGGAGGTAAGGGACGCACGAAAGCAGCCCGCTTAAGATCATGACCTTCCAGTTTTCGCTTGCCCGTCTTATCCTCATGAAGGCCCAAAGCGGCTTGGCCGGATCTGAGCTTTTGGTGTCCACATGTTCAGTGACTAAAATCAAGGTGTTCACCTTGGATTTCTGGGTCTTTCACCTGTTGGTTTTCCCTTTTTGCCCATTCTGTTGGTTTCCTTGGCCCATTTTTGCGTGACCCTTCAAAAGATACATTTTTGCCCCAATTTTTGCTGGCCCATCTTTGCCACAAAAGGTACTGGCCCCTTCGACAGGTCCCAAAACCGCCGCTGAGTCGTGCCCACCCGCTCGCTCGTTCCCCGAGGACGGCGCAGGCTCCAAGCTGGCGGAGCTGCTGAGCCTCGCCAGCTGCGAGGAGCCGAGGGCGCGGGGAAAACCGGTTTACTTCCAGTTGCTTAAGAATATTATATATATATTGTATATATATACATATACATATTATTATTATTATTTTCCCTTGTTGGTTTGAAAAATGTTTTTTTCTCACTACTGGAACCCCGAGAAAAAGGTCAAGACATACCAGGATTCTGCCTGGGATGAATTCATGGTGATCGGGTTCAACTCAGGCTCCTGGCAAGGTTCTATTTCCAGTTGCTTAAGTTTATTTTTTGCCCTGCTGGTTTTAAAAGACTGGACACATATTGCTTTTAAGTTTTCCAGGGGTCTTGACTAAATAGAAGTTTTATAACCCCGACTTGTGTTGGATGAATGGCGCCAACTATGGCTACTTGATGGTTTAGCCCCTACTTACAAGCTACTTGCGCCATAAACAAGTCGTCACTTGAATGGATGAGTTTTACCCAAGTAGCTTAGCAAGCCATCTCAAATGAAGCCGGGTTGCTGCTGTGCGAGCCAGGGGATGCCCCGGCAATAAAACAAGCTTAGAAGCCATGGTTGCAACACCCATGTCGAGGACGTCTTCGTTATGGTGAGCCGCTGGTATGGCGGCATCCAGCTCGGTCGCGGACCCGGGATTTCTCGCAAATTCGCTGTTTCCGTTTTGACCTCATATTAATCAACCAACCAGTTACTTATTATGAGGGTGTTCCCCTCCAAAAGTGGTCTGATTCCCCAAGCCCAGGTCGACACCCCCGTATGAATAAACTGGGGGGTATTGATGCGGGGTCAACATTAGACCGCTACCCCACAGTGGCTGATATGAACAGCTTTCTTCTTGAACTCGTTTGTATGCTGAGCCCAAGTGGGCCATGTGTTGCTTCCTGAACTCATTTCCATTTGTTTGAGCATGTTCGAGCACAAATTGAACCGCCACGCCCGAATTTGGGCTCATGTCGAATTCACAAAAGCGCCTCTCATTCACCGGCAGCACTCGGCAACCACCAGGGCCACCGGACCACCAGGCCTCATTTGGTCGGGTTGGAATGGATGAGTTTCCGCCCCTGACCTGTGATGCCTCTTTGCCTTTTGTTTGGCCGGGTTCCTCAAAAGCTAGATTTTGGTCACAAATTAGAGACGTAGTCTATCAGTTTCAACGGGTCTCTTACTTGTATCATGTAGGTGATCTTTGGGTGTATCGTGTGGACCCTGTTTGGCGCCCTTTGTCCCCCATGCCGTGGCAATGGATTCAGGGTGCAGAACCTCAACTTGCCAGGTGCTGAAAGGAGGGGTTGTAGCTGATGTAGCCACCCAAGAGGTTTGTCAAGATGGATCCTGTTCTGGGTGTGATTGACCAGACAGACCCGGGAAAAGTAAGGTCACATGACGAACCTTTTCCCCATAATGTTGACCCCGGATTTTCCTAAACCCTGTGTATTAATATGCTCTCCAAAAGTGATGAATCTGCACTGAAACCAGGAACACCCCCATGTAATTAACAGGCTGGGGGTTTATGAATCTGGGGTCAACATTCGGCTCCCGACCTCGAGCCTCGAAGCCTTTCTTCCGGCCGAGTGGTGTGCCGAACGAAGCACTGGGGTTGGAAGCTCTGCTTGGGCGGTAGAATCCGGACCATTCGACCTTTTGGGTTTTCCTCGGTGTAGATTGAAAGCACAGGTCCCAAAAGGGAAGGAATCTTTCTTTTTAGGGTTCCACTGCAGCAACAGGAGCCACTTGTTGGTGATGCAAGTAACTTGTTTGAAGGGGAGTAAGGTCGGAATTGAAGCAGTCGATGTCGCTAGGCTCAGATCGCTTCAAGCACATTTCTCGCGCTGCCTCGGTGCTTCTAGACACCGCTGGCTGGAGTGGCCGCAGCTTGGGGCCCAGTTTCAGCCTGTCGACCGGTTCGGGTGCCGGGACCCCTGTTCATTTGCTGGGCGTCAATGTCGACCCCTCCCTTCAACAAGCACGGAAGCTGACAGGCGGGTTTTGGAAGACTACTTTCGTTTTTTGGGAACCTCCATGTCCACTTCGATGATCGTTGGAAGGAGGGTAAGAGAGCGGCCGTTGGGAGATGTGAATTTAGTTCAAGGCAACAAAACACGGAATTTCCCATGGTAGTGCTGCGGACTAGATAGCAGGGGGCATTTCCCAAGTGAAGGATCCCTTTTTAAGTCGGGCAACCCACATTGTTAGATTTTTTCCCAAAGGGGACCCAACAGGTGATTGTGTCATATTGTGTCTTGAGGTTTTTTCCAGACCTTTTTTGTCGCACCCTGTTCTTTTTGTCAAAGTAAGTGGCTAGGAAAATAGGCAGTCGGATCTCGGAGGCAATGCACCGGGAAAAAATGCCATTGACGGAGTGGTGCATCCTTTGGAGGAAAAATCAGGCGCCACTATGTTTATTTACCATTCTTCCTGGCACATCAACGACGCAACGAGCAAATGTTTCTTACACAAGTGGCGAGCCGCACGCCGTTTCTCCGACAGTCATGTGTGAGATCCCGAGCAACCAAACTGGGGGATTGGCCACTAATGGGCACCGGATTATGCTAGCTGGTCCGAAAATGACTTCCCTTTGCCTCTTGTGTCCCAAGAGGCCACCTGCAGCATCTCCCTTGCTGAGTTTAGTCCACCCGGAAACTCGAAAAGGAGGCTGTCGCGCAGAACCAGGCCTTCAATCGTACTTTTGTTTAGACGTGTTTGGGTTGCCTTGGCTGTCCATAAATCCAGTTCAGAGTTATGACCAGGCAAAGCAAATCTGAACTAGTAGGTTGCATCCTCCTGGATGGATAGCTTGTTGTTACAGTTTTGTGAAGGACCCTAAGGATGGCAGAATTCTCTGCTGTGCCAAGAACCAACAAGGGAATTTCGCCATCTGTGACGGTAAGCGAAGTCGGGCCCCGAACACGCCACGTTTCAACCGGACAAGGCCGAAGGAGCCCCAAGCGCTACAAATGTCAGGCCGTGCGGCGCCCAAGAAGAAGAAATGAGCCCAGCGGCCAGCGGCGCGGAAAAGTGGAAGCGCGGATTCATCGTCTTTTGTCCTGAGGTTTCTTCCCAAATTGTTTCATCACCAGCCATGTTTTTCAGTAGTTTGATCCACACATCTCATGTTCACCGTTGTTCCTGTACTGATTTGGCTCGCATTTGGTGAGGGAGGGGGAGATGTTAAAAGGAGGGTTTAGGGGTGATTCCATGATTATCACCCCTGGCGAAAAGTCCAGCCGGCTCCCCTGGTGTTGGGTCGGAAGGGAGAGGATAGCCTAGAGATTGAGCCACGCGGATCCCAGCGCACCATCACGTTTGCGTGAAGAACATGTTTCGGAGCCCACCGCCTCAAAACCACAAAGCAACAACAGCAACTAAACACGGCAGCCGGGGGGGGGGTCGACTAAGACTTGTGCTATGGAATTCAGGCCCGAAAAGAGTAGGTAACCATCCCTAAAACTGCGCCATACCCCTACAATTGAACCTGCGAACGGGGTCACAGGAGATATCTCTATGGAAAACATGCAAGTGTATTTGGCAACTGCTGTGTTTTGGCCTTTCGGGAAGTCCAGATCAAACCATCCGGCTGTTTTGGTTGCTGCTCGCGCCGGTGTTTTTTCGCCTGTCGGCTCGAGTCTCTACGCGGTTTCGCTCCTTCCCCTGAAAGGGGAGGTTGCAAGGCAACGGATCCGGGGGGGGTGGGGCCCCAGTACTTACGGGGAGGCCATGGCAAAACAGCACTTCCTGGGCTTTAGTATGGCTTTAGTCACTTTTTGGGTTTGAACCATTTTGGTGGAAAAGAGCAACAAGTTGACTTGTTTGTTGGGCCAATCCAGTCAGGAATTGCGAATATCGGCGAGTCTCAAAATAGGAAAACGGAACCCCAAATGCGTGATGTTCTTTTTGAAGTTCCCGTTCAGCCTGGCCCCTTCTCTCGGGCCCTTGGAGATCACTCCCATATTTCAGAAGATGGTGTCCCACTATAGGCCAGCAACAATTTTGCCTTTTCATGGTTGTTGTTGGGAAACATTTTACATTTTTGCTTATTGTGGTTTAGTGGGAAATCCCCACTTAACTGCTAAAATTTCATTTTTTTGCTCCCCTTCAACGTCGACCAAGTTTTACCAATGGTTCGCTTCGCCTTTTAGCCGTAGGATTAGCCGCGCCAGTCGTTACTCATGCACGGTTCCCACATGAGAACCCACAACCCGTGCAGACAGACGTTTTAACAAGAAGCATCAACCGGAACCATCTTAAGACCACAAGTCAAAGGGTGAAACGGGCGCTGTTTACATGTGATAGCAACAAATCAAAACAACACAGCCCCAAACGGCCCCGCTCTACGAGTTGGAGCGCAGGACAAGGGTCATGGAGGCTGAGGACTGAAGCGGATCTCGCTCTCGCAAACTAGTTGTACCAAGTGACCTACAGCCGGTTGATTTGCAGGATCCGAATCCTGCAAAGCTCGCGGTTTCTGGGATGTTCAAGGAACCCGCCACTACCTCCAGGGGAAGAAAAGTGGTGTGTAATTGCCCTCTTTATTGCGCCGTTATATCCTCTTGAACGGTGGAAATGATTTGGGTGTGTTTCGAGTTGCCATTTTAGAAAACACCACATTCAGTTGTTTACTGGATTCCGCCCTCCAAAATCCCATGTTGATGGGTCTGAGCAACCTTGGAGAGTGTGTTGATTCTTAACTGGTTGCCGTGTGGCAATCTGCTCGGCGCCTTAGAGTTGCCATCTAAGAGACATGTGTTTTGCTGACTAGCAGGCTTGACCATTGTTACCCCCTTTCTGGCTTGGACCAGCTAAGCATTTTAACATGGACCCGTGATTTGTCGGGGGTGCATCTTTAGGCAGGACCTGCAAGCGCAGTAGTGCCATCTGAGGTTTGCACCGTTCCGTTCCATACTTGACGATTAACTTGACGTTCCGCAACGGAAGTTCATCCGCATTCGGCAATTTATCGCATCGCTTGGTTCCAACGAATTCAGAAGGGAAACGTTGCATGGCAGAATGCTGCCTCGATTCTTCGTGGGTCCAACCCACCAAACAAACTTAGTTTGGACGGTACCACTGAACGGTCAATTAGTCATTGCCAGTCATTGCCATCTCTTGGGTGGTTGCTTTTTCCTCATCCATATGCTTCAACATGTTAGAGCTCAGAGCATGGTTTTGGTGCGGCCTTGGCCCCTAGGACCTCTGGACAAACCCTATATATGAGGGCCCAAACTAACGATCATCGGAGACCTTGTGGACAGAAATTGATCGTGAGAGGACCAGATGGATCATGTTCATACCTACCCCAGCACCTGCTATGGAGGTACCAAAGTACCCCTTTTTACCCCCCCCCCCCAAAACAAAAAAAAACTATCCCACAAATATTCTAAGGAGGTACCCAAAGACCCCTGGTTCCCCCCCAAAAGCCCTCCTCGCCTCGAGAAAAAAGTGACTTTGCGGCGCATTCCCGCTCGGATCGAGAGGACAAGTTCGCGGCCCTGCGCACCAAGATCTTCACCGAGTCCATCGAGACCTCCAACGAGCCCAGGAGCAACGAATGTGACGTGAGCTGACGTGGGGCTCGATGAGGACTTTTGGGACGTTTTTGGGGTTGATTTCATGCAACACCCACGGGGGAAAACCAAGGTGTGTGGTTCTTTTGGGGGGGGTGGGGCAGTTTTCCATTTTGACACATACCCTGAGTTGGGCCCAATGTAAGGTTTATGTACAGTCGTTGTTTCTTCTGCACAACCAGCAATTCAAGCCACCAAAGGCCACCGGAACTGGGGTCAGGTTTTTTGCCCCACTGTCTTTTGGGGGGGGGCACAGTCATCAACTCGGGTGTTTGCACTACCTCTGACGAGGGTGACTTGATAGTGACCAATAATGGGGCCTGGGCCAAACAACAATTCAACTTTTGGGGAAAACTCAAGGCAACAGCAACCGGGCCGCAGGAAATGAGGGTGGGTTTTAGGGGAAGTCTTGATCTAGTCATTTGGTACATGTGGTATGGATGGAGGGATGCTCCTCCAGGTGGGGCTATTTCGGCATCCCCGGCTCGCTGGCGATCGGGGACAACTCCTATGCGCCAAGGTGCCCTGGTGAATGCTGACCCGGGTTGGAAGAAGTGACGCCCCCTGAAATGGGTTGCGTTTCCGTTGGGTTTGCCTTTTCAACCCACCAAAAAGGGGGGCACCCTCAAACGAAAAGACACACCCATGCCCAAAAAGTGAAACTACTCACAACTCGAATGCTGATCAGCACCCAACTGCTTTTCCCCCTGTCCAAAATCCTACGCGGGCGTGTCTTCTTTTTCAGGGGACCCCCCAAAATGGGTTGATGTCCCTACGTTTCCCTTTTGGGCAGTGCTTGGAACCCGGGTGGGATCGCACGAATTATCGAGCTGATGGGGGCGAAACGAGAAGGTCCCTTCGACGATGTGTCGCACTAGGGGCAGGAGCTTTTCCTTTGCATTTCCCCGCAAAAACCAAGCCCCAAAAAGGATCACACACGTTCTGGAGCTTTCCTCTAGCGGTCCTGGGATGTGGGAGCTTGGGCCGAAACAGCTCGTGCCAACATCGCGGAGGTGATCGGAGGCGTTTAAGGGCAAATCAGCATGCGAATACTCAGGCAATCCAAAGTCGGTGGTGTGGGTTGGTGGTTGGGGGATTTGAATTCTCTGCAAAAGAGGGTCCCTGCTCACGGGTCCACATTAAAGCAGGCCCAACATGGTCCTCAGTTGCCCGCATTCTCTTGGATGTTTTGACGGTAAGTAAGTCCAGTCGCCTGACGACTCTTCTTACGGGCCTGACTGCGCTCCACTGAGGTTGACCAAGAAGCCGGTGGTCGAGGATGAGGAGAACACCACCCGCAACATCATGGGGAATCCTGTGAAGACTCTTGGCGCATGAGTTCCTTCGGACTTGTGTCACGCCATGGAAACCCATTCGGGTTGAAGGGATAATCCCAACCAGAGGTGCGCGCGTCCCATCCTGTGTGTTAAAAGGCTTGAATCGGCCCTTTGAGTACCAGGGTTTGATGACTCAAGTGTGGTATGTGCAGGTCATGGGGTTCTTACAAGTGCCTGCCCAGAAGCCACAAGGGCTTAGGTTGTTCTGATTTGTTCCAGACTCTCTATTTAACACCCAGGGCCCAGATTTGTTGAGTGGTCTCATGTTTCTCTATTTGGGTGTGGGTCAAAATTACACCACCAGGGGACCGCCTGTTTTAGTCATGGGTTCCATTTACCAGGGCAATCCTTTTTGGGGTGACCCCATTTTTGACCGACCGCTTTCTTCTTTGGAATCGCAGACCTCCAGCAAGACTCTCTCACGTACCCAAAGCCGACCTTTTGACCTTTTGGTTTTCCCCTTTTGGTCCATTTTTAGCAAAGGTCCCAAAAGGTTAACCTTTTATTTCTGGGTCCTTTGGGCAACTGAACACCGGCAGTGAGTTGTGTTTTTTTTTTTTTTTTTGTTTTTTTTTTTTCGCGCCAAGGAAAGGCACCACGCCGGACGTCTACTTCAAGTTCGAGACTCCGCTGGGCATCGGGGACCCGCGCCCCGCGCGAAAAGAAAACCTCAGCTCTGACGTTGTGATGTTTGGTTGAGGCTCTTGGAGGTTGGCTCAAATGGAGTCCAGAAGGAAAGCCGAGGTCCGTTTTTTTTGGGGGCGGGGGGGTTCTTGATTTTGACATGCGCAAGGATTCTCATGCTGGTTCTCTCAGCCTCTTTCTTCATCTTGATTGGGGTGAAATATCTTTTAACACCAGCCCAAGAGAGGCCCCCGTTTTTTCCCCCATGGAAATCACTGGGTTTGGAAAAGGCTGTGCCCGCTCGTAGATGCTTCCTTGGGATGATTTGAGCGTCGTCGTTTTGAAAGGTTAATTGCACCGAGATCTACAACACACCCCTGTTTGAATTGCCGGGTACCTGAATTCGAACCCAGACCTGAAGCATCAAGTTACTTTGCACACTTTTATTCTTTGAAGGAGAGCAAAGAAAAAAATGAAGGACAAAAATACTGCACATGTTTAACCGAGGCAAATTGGCTCGCATGAATCCCGCGGAGAGCTTTTCTCTTTCAGGCAATCCTGATACACCCTGCAAGCCAGAGACGAATCAAGAGACTCCTAAAATTACGGGGGCCCAGTCAAGGTAATGGGTAATCCCCCCAATGAACAGGGGGAGCCCTTCACTTAGGGCTGCTTGCTTTCCTTTTGGTTCCTCTTCAATAGCCGATCCCCAAAAAAAGGTGCCCTAGTTCAATGAAGAGAGAGCCTCAAATCCCACTCTTGAGATTTGACATGTGCCGTGCTTTTTGTTGTTGTTTTTTTCTCCTCATGTCCTTCACTTGTGCCAATCCGTTGGATGGGGTTGGATTAGATTTTGCCGTTGTTCTGGTACCCCCCAATTGGTGGTTTGGATTGTTTGGGGATTTGAACCCCTGGCTTTTGTAGAAGGTAAATAGGAAACCACCCCTAACCACCAAACCACCAATCAAAACCACCAACAAGGGGTAGGGTGAGTTGTACCTGTTTGTTCCCTTGTCTAATTCACCGATTAGATTGGGGTTGTCTAAATGAAGTGCATTCGTCTTCGCAGCTTCCCATCTGGTTGTCATCATCGTCCCCTTTTCCCACGAGCACAAAGAACGCTAAAATATGGCCTTTCCGGCCTAACCAACCTTTCATTCCCAAGAACCGTTTGCTGTCTACCGAATTGCCGTTGGATCTTGGACAGCAGTGAATGGACACCTATGTGCAGAGCATTCGCCTTGGGAGTTACAAGGAGTTGGATTATGCGGGGCCAGGCGATAGACCTTTGACAAAGCCGGGTTGGTTTTGCTTATTCCAGAGCCGCTGATTGAGTTCGCACAATTCGCCTTGAAATGCGTGTGCTAGGCGTTTATGTGTTGGTTTGTAGGCGGAAACCAAAAGAGGACTCCCCCCATTTTGTGGGTCCCCCAACTTTGGGTCAAGATGAAAGCAGACCGCCCTCTCTCCCCCGCGATTCTCGGTGGGTTTTAGGTGCTCCCCCCTTCCCCCCTTCCCCCTGTTCATTTTGTTGGCTTTTGGCCGCCCATTTCGGGTTTTTGGTGAGGTACCAAGACCCGGGCCTGGCCATGAAGAAGGGCAAAGTTTGGATGCTGGACCCGGACGCCTCCTTCAAGCCCCCGGGCAAGGTGAAGCAGAGCGCCTTGGCCAATTAAAGGAGACGCACGGACGGTTTGGTTTCTGGTTGGTTGGGTTGGTTGGGGTTGGGTTTAGTTGAGGTTGGTTTGGGTTGGTTTGGGTTGGGTTGGATTGGGTTGGGCTTGAAGATGGGTTGGTTGGGTTGGGTTGGGCTTGAGGTTGGGTTGGTTGGGTTTGGTTGGGGTTATATAGTTGGTGGGACTTTTGGAGGTCCGGACTGTGGGGCGCCGGGGCGCGGACGGCCCCCGTGCGGAAGTCTACTTTTTGCGAGCAATGGTGTCCTTTTGATTGGTTCGTTTGGATAGAAATGGATGGGTTCCACTGGTTCAAATTTCGGTAAGCTGATCGGAAGGAGTCCAGTTTGGTTATATAGAAATGGATCGATGATTACATGGGTGCCACAGAATCAAATTGTTGGTAAACTGATCAGAAGGAGTCCACAAAGCACTTGTCAATGTAAGTTTTTTGGTGAGATCAGGCCCTTTTATCTTTTTGTGGCCTTGTTGCAGTGTGTTCTCGAGGTGTTTTTGTGCTGTTTTTTTTGGGGAGTCGTGTCTTGCTTTATTTTCATTGTTTCGTGTCTGGCTTTTGGCGGCTTTTGTGGCTTTGGCTTCCGCATCCGCAGCGTCAGCAACACCGCCAAACATCCCCTATCACCAGCAACACCCTCAGCATAGCTGTCGGCCGGTACTGCTTACCATCTCGCAGGTTCTCATGTTCCTCTTGATTCGTGGTTTGGATTGGTGGCTTGGATTCGGATTTGAGCTCCTTCTTGTAGAGGATGAATGGGGACACTGATCTGCGCCCGCCCATGGCTTCTTTGGGCCGCTCGTCGGCTTTGTGACCAACGGCAAACCCAAACGCGAACGAACCCTGAAAGAAATCCAAAGCCCACCCCAAACCCACGAAAGCTTGTTCGGCTTGTCTAGGTTTCAGCGACTTGGCCAATTTTCGACCCTAAACCTCCAAACCCACCATAAACCAGCACCAAAACTAAACCAACCTCAAGCTAGCCCAAAAAGAATCCGAGAGACCTCCCTAAACCATAAACACCAATAAACACCACCAGGGATGGTCAAAGACCTTCTCACGTGCAGTCCTGGGGTCCCAAACCTCTCAAGCCCTTCGCGGCACTTGGCACAGAGCTAAGGCATCAACAAGCTGGGCTACGAGTATGCCAGGGGCCCCGGCTGTTCGCGCTCGAACCAAGAACTTCCATCAACGAGTCCATGGACGGGAGAGCTGTTTTGGATGATGTAAGTCGGACAGGAACTTCTTGGGGTTGGGGGGGGGAGCTGAGCCAGCGAGAGGGTGACTCTGTGCGCAGCGGCCACTGGTTCCGTTGGATTTTTGGCGCCGTTCACTGAGCAACTGGAAGCCCAACGCACCCTGCGGAACTCAAGCGGAACCCTGAAGACTCTGCAAGCTCAGAGAGTGAGGTGTGACTGGGTCCATCAAGTAAGTTCCACGAAGTGTCCGTCTAAATGCGGGGGTAAGAGGAAACAGGCCCCTCACAGTAGTTTTGAGAACTGAACATGTGACCAGATCAAGGGACCCAGTCGGACACACCTCAGACGGAGCCCAACCGCGCATCGCCTCGCGACGTCCGCATCGCGCCAGGTGGAGCACTGCGACCAAGTGAAAGACCCGAAGGCGGTCAAGGAGAAGCACCTCGTCGAACGGGCTTTGCTTCAAGTATTCCAGGGGTACCTTCCCCATTCTTTCCTGGGATCCTTCTTTTCAGGAGACCACAAAAACCCCAGGGGAAACAGCAGGTTTTTGAAAAGAACGATGGTTGAAAAGACCCCTAGAGCATGAGCAACGACCAATTTGCAGTGGTATCGGTTTTGGGCGGGCCCCTACCGGTTTTGGCAGGTTGGTAGGTATCGGGTTTGGACCTCTATCGGTTTCTGGTTTCATTTGGCCGCTTACTCATAGATCTTCTTCAAGCTGGGGTCTCAGGTTCATACTGCAGAGTAAAAGGCTTGTTACGTCCTTCTGTTTAACTGATGCTGCTTCAAACTGTGTTCCATAAACCCATTCTTTCATCGGAGTACATCTCAAAGGTACTTGTTTCATTCTTATCAATCTTATCAAAGTCTTGTGTCGATCAATCCTTCATAGTCACTTTGTGTTTCTTTCCAGGGGCATGCAAGGGTAAATGTTTAGGGCACGGCACGTACCCAAGGGACACGTGGATATCGCCTTTGATTGCTGTTTGCTGGCCTTAGTTTGCTTCGGGGTTGACAATTCAAGGGTTTGCCACGGTGCCCCTGAGCAACAAGAGGCTGTGCGAAAGAGTCGGCTCATCCAGAAGTGACATATGTGCCATGGTCAAACGACTGGAATGGTCATCTACCCGGTAGAAAGGGCATGATGCTTACTTATAAGGGAGCCATGACCCAATCGGCCCAAGAAACGGATTCGGGGTTCACATTGCCTCAGCTGAGGTACACAGACTACATCCCTCCACGCAACATCCTGGGCGGCAATTCCAAGCGAGGCGAGGCGGTGGCACGTGCCACTTCCTGGTGCTGGCAGAATTCCTCGTGAGGGTTTGATCAGTTTTCCCTTCGGCCCCTCCAGTGGCCATGGGTAACTTTTCCCATGCGGGTAGTATCATTTGTTCGGTGGTTCTCCCAAACGGTCATCAACCCCCACGCTTTCCCCTTTAGTGTTAAGCCGGAATGGCTATGACTGGGTTCAGCGGTGGGTGCGTTGTTTTTCCCCCGTCAAATGGAGGGTTGGTATAAACGAGAAACATATGGGTTTCCTTCTAAGCTTGGTGCCTTATAAGATAAATAATGTTCAACAGGGTACCTATTTGTAGCTTCCAGTTGCAGATTGCACATTGTGGTATAGAGTGTGTGTGTTTTTGATCGATTTCCTCTTGTTTGAAAGGGAGCACGGCCATGACAGGCAAATACCACTCCGAGTTTTGCCGGAGAAAGCACATGGAAGCCAACAAGCTTGACCCTTGGTGTTCTCCTGGCGGTGTGAACCAGATGGCACATCCCATTCATTTGGATTTTGTGAAGGGCATGACTAAATTAAGGCAGGGTTCCGATAGAAGCATGCATCCAAACACCGTTTGAATTTCGGGAGGGTGCGTTCCGAAATGAGCTTGTATTTGGATGCAGTTTTGACTGGCCCCAGATTGTTCCCGAACGAGCTTCAATAAGGCGGGCCTTCTTTGGAAAGAACGGCAGGTTTACTAAAAGGCGCTGTCCTTCTTTGCCGTCCGACTTCTTTGTTGTTTCGGTTTTCCCTTTTTGGGGGAAGTGAAGCAGTCGCGGCTTAGTGTCATGTACCCCTAAACCAAACACTCGCGAAAGTTGTAGCTTTCAGTCATGTGTCACGTAAACAATTTTAGGTCAAGGGCCTTGTTCTGTGCAACTGGCTCACAGCAAGAATGACTCACGGCAGGAACAAACGGTAGTGTTTTCGTGTTCGCTGTCTCCGGGATTGTCTCGACTTGAGGCACCCTCCCAAAATGGGTGGTCTCCTTTGATAAACGGTCACCAACAACCAAAGGGACCCCCCCACAAGACACACATACTTGTCCTTCTGAGTTCCCAGTTTTGGTCCAAGTTTGGTTGAGGCCTTGCAGCATCGGCATGCCCGGGAAGGGGACTCCCCTGAGTGGGAAGACTACAAACATGGAACTGGGGACCCAAACGATCCGAAATCACTGGGTATTTTGGGCAGAGTGGGACCTGGCAGGTTGGGTTTTCTACAAAGCAGTTTTTTTTCAATACCTCCCAGGAGGTCCCTTTTCGATTTTGGGAAGGGTTGGAAATAATCTTGAGACTTTAACTTTTTGGGAAATCAAGAGGTTTTCCACTAAACACCCAAAGAGTTTTTCAACTTTCGGCAGGGGGGCCAACAGCAACCACGAAACAAGTCCCGTGGCGCCTTCCCTCCACTTGAGTTCCCGCTCGACGTGTAGCGACGTCAGGTGGCCCCGGCGTGCTGACGGGCGGCGTGCTCTTCGGTTTCGGGGAGCGGGTGAGAGTTTGCATCTTGAGCTGACCTTAGGGCCTCAGGGATTTTGTGGGGAGCAGTTCGGTGGAGAAAACGACGTGTCCGACTTTTGCTGGGCCACTGGGATAGTTTTGGGTGTGGGCCATACATGTTGGTGGTAAACAGTTTCAGAGTTTTTGTTGGCCACGGACGTTTGAGGCGTTTTGGGAGAGAACAAAATGTCTCATTGAGCCTTCGGATGCGAAAGAGTGAGCGTCAACTTGGGGTTGGGGTCGGTTCCTATGGCTTGGGCCAGTCCTCATGGAAGCTAAAACCTTTCCAGTAATCGAGCCCGAACCAACAAAAGACGTGGTGTTTAAGGGGATCCCAGTCAAGTTGAAGAGTTACAATTAAAATTCGGGTAGATGAAGGTTAAGGGACAATCCCAACCACAAATAGCTGCGGATATCCGCCTTCTTAATTCTCGAAGCATGGTTCTGGGCTTGGACCGTCTCATTACCAGGTTTTGAGTATGACTCAAGTGAGAATTGCTCAAAGTTTGTGGCAAGCCACGTCTTTCAGGAGCCGGGCGCTTTCCCAGAGCACATGCCGGACGACTACGACGCCGCGAGGTGGAGTGAAGCATTCCAGCGGGAGAGCTGAAAGATGTGCACAGTCTCTAGGAGTTTGTTCCTCATTCGTTCCTTGGGGTTCTACACTTCTATCACTTCCAACACACATGCGTGTCTCCGATCTGTTCTATTACGTGTGGCTTTCTTTGGGGGGTTCCCTTGTTGCGGTCCAAAGAAACAAGGGAAGCCCAAAGCAAACCACCGAATTTGGGGGTTCCAGTCGAAGACCCCAGCATTCGGCCAGGAAGCAGCGCAAGAAGGAGCTGGAGGAACACCACAGCCCCTTGACAGCTGGTGGTCACTCTCTGCCCAAATTCAGTGGGAATGGATTTTCCCCGGGATGCTAAACTCAGTTGCCCAAATAGAAGGTGAACCTTGTGGGGCCAGGACTAAGAATGGACCAAAATTGCGAAAACCAAAGATTGCCATTCTTTTCAGCGCTCATAGTTTTTCCGAAAAAGTCGCCCTTGCCTCCATGTCTGTGGTTTTCTGAGAGGATTTGGGAGCTACCCCAAGATGAGTTGGTGAGAACAACATTGGCGGATCCGTTTTTTTTTTTTGGATTTTTCCATATATTTTTTTCCCCGGCGATCTGGTCGTTGGAGCCTCCATTCCGGGCTTCGGCTTTAGTTCTCTAGGTTTCATTGGCTGAAAGGAGAAGAGACCGGCCCATACGTGGCCCTTCTAGCAGTTTGGTTGAACATAGCTGGCATTGGTGGTTGGCTTGGATCATTTCCCAGTGCCATCGGTTTTACCGGAAGGACACCTATGGACCAGCCACGCATCCAACGACTCCAAATCACCAAGTTTGAGGACTGACATCCCACTCGGCCTTTTTCCAAAATACAGTAACCGACCACTGTCATCCAACTTGGCTTCACGTTGGTTCAACCTCACGAACCCGGATGCGCTTGTATGCCAACCCCCCCAAAGAGGAATTCGGGGGGGGGGCGGGGTGACCTGGAACTCCCTTTATGGTGCTAATTTCCGTTTGGTGGGAAAGGCTAGATGAAAGGACCCTCAACGAACCGATAAGAATGGGAGCTCACCCAAAAACATGGTGGCATCCAATTTTTGCGGAGAGAGATGTTGGACCAGGTACCCTCTCCTAAAATGCCCTGCGGTGCACGCCCGAGGCAAAGTGCAGGAGATGGCGTTCAAGGGCCTGGACTATGGGAACAAGTTCTTCCAGAGCAATGAGGAAGCCTTCGGAGGACACTTGCGGCCTATGGAAACTGGCGCCATAGCCCCTGATCAAGAGAACCCCCCCCAGTTCATCAGGCTCCTGGAAGACAGCAACCACTAAAAATTGGGACCGCGCTCGCGTGCACAGCGCGCATCACATGCTATATTGGCCTATTGTGCGCAGTACCACGATGCCACTTGACGGTAAGATTCCGCCATGCTGGACTCCGCGAGGTGTAATCGGATGCTGCTAGCCCGCACGCTGCTTATGCCGCCTTGCGCCGGCTTGGAGGCTTATGCTGCTGCAACAGCACACGCTGCCTTACCCTGCATTGTGCTGCCTTTGCTGCATCATGATTCTTGACGCGGTTGCGCTATGTTGCGCTAGGGCTGGAGTGCCTATGCTTCGCCGTCGCCTCGCATAGGGTAACGCAAGACCCGCGCTTTCAGAGTTTCAAGGATGCCAAAGTCTAAGCTTGAGAAGACGCCGCAGCCATGAGCTGTTTGGGCTCTGACCTTTGAAGAAAAGCGAGTGCAGCCACTATAGAACAACTCAGCAGACATCGTGCAAGCCTTGCTGACGAGCCACCTTTTTTACAACCTTAATCTGCATAACAACCGTTGCGTAGCTAAATGCACAATAACAATCTGAATGGTGTAATCAAGCACTTGCGACACGACACCCGCCATTTCGTGATTCATCAGCATTCTGCATTCTCACACAATTTCATGAGGGTGGTATGGTGATGAGAAGAAGGGTTCACCGCTCCGAGCTGAAAAATTTTGCTTGCCACATCCCTTGGCAGCCTAGCTATTGGAAAACCCAAGCATCATCACAGATGCTTTCGTGAAGCGCACGGTGGGGCAGCATACGCTGCACGCCCAGCATGAGCGGTGCACGGGGCGTACACTGTGCAAGCAGTGCACGCAGTGTTAGCGCGCTGCGGTGCGACGGTCCTTCCGCGTGTCACGCAAGGCACAGCAGTGCGACGGGGCAACAGTGGTGTCTTGCGTGGCGAAGTGCGACACTTGTTGGGCTTGCAATGTTTGCCTGAGCAAGTGCCTTTTGTTTGGGGACCCCGTGTTGGTTTTAAAGTCGTTAAAGGGGAATCCATGGTGCTTTGCACATTGTGGGGCGCCCCGATTCATGCTCCCTGGGTGTCCCCACATGACCCGCAGGATATGAACACCCAACGCATGTCCCGCGCGACCCACAACCGGACACGGCTGCCCCTTGGTGAAATTCACGGGGTCAAATGGCGATGCACCATGACTCGGCTGGGCTCTTGTTGCACGCCTTTGGCATAGTTTTGGGTCTTCATCTTACCCCTTCCCGGAACGAAGAGTTTCAGTTGCTTACTTGGAAGGGTTCTAAAATGACTTGCCGGTGCTTAGTAGGAGTAGAGTAGGGAATGATTCAGGGTGTTGGGAATGAACGCAGGGATTTATTTCAAGGAAACCATGGGATGGTTTTTCTTGGTCATTCCAACTCATTCCCTGCTGAGCACCAGCAAGATGAGATGCAGTTGGGAGTTGGACTATTTCCGTTTCAAAGGGACCCGCACGGGTGGTTCCCATTGGTTCCCTGAGTTGGCGGAGCTGATGGGATTGTAGTTTTATGCCTCGGCAAGCGAGCCACTGGTCAAAGGTTCGCCTCGAAGCCAGGAAGTTCCTTTGTGTAAATATACGTGCCAACATCTCATGTATGCTCAAACCTGATTTAGACAGAGCCTGGACATGTTCCTCAATGGCTCTTATTCGAATGGCTCCCCTTCTTAATTTACTGCCCTGAAGCAGTATGACAAGAGGGTGCATTTCCCAGGGTGTTTGATGGGCCTGTGCAGCTTGCCCTTGGCCTGGCTGACACAGCGATACATCCCTAGCTTTCGCGGAACGGAACTGCCATACGGTCAACTTGCACCTGATTTCGGTCCAAAAGCAAACCATTGCAGAGAAAAGGCGCTAGGACCATGACCTTTCCATGCCCCCTGGCTATGGCTCTAAATGGGTATGAATCAGTGCTGGATTGAAGGGGGTAAAGTGGGCATCCCTTTTCCAGGCAGAAATCTTCTCTAGCGACCTCCGAATGAATCCGCCAATAGTGCCAAGTAGCGCCGGCTCAAAAACCGGCTGCCCATGCACTGCTTCCGGGAACATGTTCGCCCAAGTTGTGGGATGCTCCTCCTACAGGATATGCAGAAAAGGGTCGAATATTGCTTGCTGGAGCATTTCAGAAGCTGCCGGGGGGACAAACAAGCACATTGTTCTGTTCGCTGACAGAGTACGTGGGCTGGTTGGGAGGCTGTATGAAGCTGTGCGAAATCGCCCACCATGACATGACGCCGTCACTGGTGAGGGTGCGACAAGTGAAAGTTCCTTTCTTGGGGCGTGCCCTTTGTTTGGTTGCTGACTTCCAATTTCCCCAAAACTGAATCTGACTAGATGACCCAACAAAAATGGGTTCCTGGAGGCTGTGACAAAGCAGGATGCCTTTCCCAGCATCTCAAGAGGATTTTTCGTTCGGCTCGGTTCTCTTAAGCCATCATCCCAGGCTCCAATGTTTCTAGTGTACTCGGACGAGATCCTGATTTGTGTTGGTTGTTTGGTTGTCATGCTTGTTTGTGCATAAATCGAGTTCGCTCACTGGGCCCGGCGTCATTTCCGGCGGTTCTTCTTTTCTAGTTGGCCTTCATCTATGTAAGGGAATCCCCATCCGGTCAAAACTGAGTGATTTTTGACCCATCGCAGCAAGTGATGTCCTGAGATCAAGTTCCCTCACGAGTCGCCCTTCCGCCCCACCAACCCCATGAAGCGCGATGCGGTCGGCTGCCTCATGGGCGGCATCCCCGAGCTCCTTGACGCGATGTCCGGATGGGTTCGTTTCCGCGTGTGTCCTTCTTTCGGCATCTATGGGTTTGGGAATAAACCTAGGGATTCACTTCAAGGAAACTTGGATGGAATTTGTAGGGGTCATTCCAACTCATTGCCTGCTGAGAACCAGCAAGAAAAGGAGGTCCATGCATCCGCTTCAGCAAAACACAGCTAACTCTCTGTTCGAAGTGGGCAAATGAAGCTCACCAGTTCGGAGCTGAAACGAGCGGCTTACCCAAGATAGTTCCTTGGGGATTTCTCATTTCCAGTTTGTGGATAGCAATTTGCTCAGAGGTGAAGCTAATCCTGGCTGTGTGTGAGGCAGACGTCCCACGTTTGATGGGGGGGTACAACTGAAGAAACAAGGGCCAGCTCTCCATGTTCCATAGACAACTGGGAAGGACAACTTACATTTGCCTTGGATGACTTTAGATGTTTGCCGGTTTGCTTTAGACGAACATGATACTGTCATCTGTATGTTAGTGACACCTTGTGCACATGCAAAGCTAAGTCCGTAATCGCAAGCCGACGAGATGTCAAGCCAACAGTCACAGCTCACCTCAAGCACTTGCAGCCCTTGAACCCAGCTGTTTGACAAGGAACAACCCCCATAACCCACTCACACTGTGGATGATTTACGAAATCCGTTTCGCACCACCTAAGAACCCCCGGTTTCTGAATCGATTCCCCTGCGAATACCAACCAACGTTGTCCAACCATGGTTTCATTTCGTAGTCAGACGGATTTCTTCCATCCACTGCGCAGGCCATTGTTTTTTGCCGGGGCAAGACCTTGGATGCAGACAGCTCTGACTCGCCACATAGCTTCGGGTCAAACGGTCTGCCCTTGGGGCACTTGCGGCTGGGTTGTGGGGACTGCGCTAAGGTACATCCCTTCTCCGGAGGATCCTTTGGTGCGCAAGCCAAAGGCAGGGGTCGAGTGCTGACTTCCCAAGCTGGACTTCTGTGAGAAGACAATTTTGCTCAAACATAATCTCAGCTTCCCTCCAATTGATGTCATTCCCAGCACCCTGGGTCATTCCCTCCTGAGCACCCGAAATAGAATATTCTAGTTCGAGCAATTCTGATGTCATCCCCAATGAAGAAGATTCAGCTTCTTTCTAATTGGTGATTACGATTGGTGGGTGTGAAATGGCGGTTTCCCATTTACCCTCTACAAGAACCAGGGTTCAAATCCAATTCCAAACCACCCATCCAAACTACACATTGGGGGTGATCTGGGCTTAGTGTTGTTTTGGCCAATCCAGCAGAGATCTTCACCAGCCCGTTTTGGACTCCTGGCTTTTGGCGGCCCCAACAAACAGGCGGCGAGTCTCCGAAGAGAGCAGCGACCCCTTCAAGCTGTGACTTGTGACTGTTCCCAGGAACCTGAGTTCCTAGACTTTTTCAACTTTTTGGGACGACCCATTTTAGTGATAAGGACAAAGTGAGGACTTTTGTTGGCCAACCCACTCAGGAAGTGAGTCTGTCGCGTTTTAAGCCAGGTGGAAGATGCGCCTCCAGCTGCTTGGCTCGGGGGGTCAATGGTGTGGGGCCGAGTGGGGCGTCTACCCTGATGCGTAACAATGCCCCAAGAAGCTAGGAGGACTGGATTAGTTTTCTTTGTATCTGATTCTGGGACCTTAGTCAGGTACCCGAAAATGGGTGATTTGGATTGGTGGTTTGGATTCGGATTTGAAGCCCTGCTTCTTGGCTGGGTAAATGGGACCCCCCCCTGCTGTTTCTCGGGGCCAACCCCCCGGGCTGAGCTGAGCTGAGCTGTTCTCGGCCCCGTGGATGCTTTTGCCTGCCGATAAAATCAAGTTGCCAAGCCGTTGGCTTAGCTTTTTCCAGTTTGGTATCAAAACATGTGCTCAGAAAGTGAACCTATGTGAACCTTGTATTTCCTGGGTTGCTCTTTTGCGTTTCTTGGCCTTTGGGCAGCTTGTGGACCACTTGGGGCTGATTGCAGGCTTGCAGAGCGTGGCAGCTTTCACCTTGCTTTGGGGTGGCAATCTGTCGCGATGCAAATCCTCTCAACTTGGGTGTAATCGGTGTAATTATCTTTTTTGCGGTTGGGCCCCAAATATGCCGGTTTTCCTTTCGGTTTCCCTGTCAAACCACCAAAAATGAAGACCAACTCAAGAAAAAGCCACAAACATACAGCAAGTTCGTCGACGACCTCTTCGGAACGGCGGGTTGTGTGAACCACCTTATGCCTTGAGCTTTTTGGGTGGTGCAGGTAGCTTCAAGAGTTAATTTAAACTTACCAGCTTTCCTGTATAACTGTTGGCCTTCTTGCTGTGTTTTCCTCATATTGTTTTTCACAGCTGCAAGTCGACTTGGTTGTCTTTGCTATAGAGTTGACCTGAATCGACCTGGAGGAAGAACCGGGGTCTTGTCCTCCCGCAAGGTTCCCTCCCCCCCGCCCCCGATTACTTGGTTCCCATGAGCAGTTGGATCATGGGAATCTAGATGAGGTTCGGTCAAAATGTTTGGTCTATGGTCCAGTTGGGAGGGAAACGAAGGGCTGCGAGCTTTAGATTCTCACAAAAACCAGAGGATTCATACATTTGCCCGTGGCTTTTAAAGCTCGACCTGGACGCTGCCCGACGATGAAAGCTCCCATGACGTTGGAAGACTCCATTGTGTGCTTTCAGGCGTCTCCTTCTTTGAAGGAGGGTAAGCTGTAAATGCGTAAATGTGTGTGTGTGTGTGCGAGTGCGCTTGCGCGTGCGCGAGTTCTTTGATGGTACGTAAGGCAAACTTGAAACCAACCTCCCCCTAAAACTAACGAACTGGCCCGCAAATACAATGACAGCAACCCCGCCCTACATGCATGTTGAACACAGACCCACGCCTAGGTTTGTTGGTCCCATGCTGACTGGTCCATTAGCACTTGGCAGACCACACATTTGGCGCCACCACTTGGCCCTGTTGTAGGAACTGTTCCTGATTGTTGGGGCGTGAAATATGTCCCACCCTTTTAGGGTTTTGGATTAGTGGTTTTATTATCAAGAGAGGTTACCCTTTGGTGTTTTCTTACAGTTTTTGGGTGTTTCAGTGACCAGAAATCTTTGCGGCCAGACCAATCTGAAGAAACCAAACCAAAATCCAAAGCTGGAAAGAGCGCAAGCAAAAAACCATCCACTCCATTTAAAAAAAAAAAAAAAAAAAAAAAAAAAAAAAAAAACGATTGCCAGCTCGAGGCCTTCCGTTTGGGCGCTCCCCGTGGTGTGGCCAAGCCTACTCCATCTGCGCCTTGGGCTTCCTTGGGTTCTTTTTAGGCAACGAGTTCTTTGGTGCATTTTGCTTGGCTGTTAGGACTTTAACTTTTTGCCAACTAATGGTTTTTCCACTAAACCACTAAAAGGTAAACTTTTAGCAGGGGAGCAGAAAGCAACCGAGAATTACTTCCAGTTGCAGATTACAGGAATACCCTTCCTCCCAGTAACATAGCATTTGTGGGAGCGTTGGAAGATCAATCTCCTCAACAGACCAGCTCTCAGGTGCCACGTTCGTTCGGAGCGAACAAACGAACCCGGGAGGGAGGGTATGTTCATGTTTCCCTGTTGGTGTTAAAGGAACACATTTTTTGCTACTGGAAGGACTTAAGCAAATGGCAGATTAGGCTCACTTAGTCGCCTCTGCGAATCGACCGGATCTATTTACATTCCTCTAGTTGGCAGCTGTTAGTGCCCTCCTTCCAAAAGCCTTTTAGGTTAAGATGCCCCATTGGCTCTGGCTTAAAGGATGGTAATGGCACCTTGGTACATGGAACAAGGGCTAAACCTGCGTAACCCAGCTGTGGAACTCTTTCAGCCACACCCAATGGCCAAGCCAAATGCCACTTGCCGTTGAGGCGTTGGCATACTGTTTCAGGTAGGATGCCGGCAAAGTACCGGCCCTTTTGGAAAAGATGCCTTGTGCCCCAAACTATGTTGGGTTCCTGTTTTTGCAGATGTACTAGGTCCTTAAATTCAGTATGTCAAAGTTTGCTCAAACATACTTTTTGGTGGTTGTTGGTTCCCCTTCAAACCGCCATTGTCCTCTTGTTCTTGCAAATGTACTAGGTCCCCGTAGCCGGGCGTCCCAGCGCTCGGCCTCGCCGGTTCGAGGTGACCACGCTGGCGCGGAACATGCGCAACGAGAGGCCCTCCAGCTTTATGCGGCCGCACCTGGGCTTGCAAGATGTGACTCATGGGAACTTTGGGCATGGAAAGGTGTGGGGTTCAGTTTGATCGCCAGGAAAACCATGGGCGGGGTAATGCAACCGCAATGATTTACCTGCAATCGGTTCAGTTTCACCAGGTAAGCAACTGTTGGGTGAATAGAACCGCGATTCTGTGCCTATGGTTGGGTTGATACCAATCCACGTGTTTTGCTGTTCAGGATGTTTGTGAAAGGGTCCTTCCGCCGTTGTAATGGGGGCAAGGACCCCCAGGACAAAGTGAAGCCGGGTGTCCCCTTTTAGAGTGTTCATCACTGGAGGCGAACACACTCACTATGATAGGACGGCTGGGGTCAACATTACAAGGGAGTGTGTCTTAAGATGGCTGTGTCTTCTTGCTTGAAAAGAGAACCCTCTTTGGTTTCCAAAAAGGGTACCCCCATTTCGACGGGCCACGACAAATCAGGGCACAACCTGCAACCTGGGGTTCCATTTGGCTTCTTGAACCAAACTCGGCAAGGGGCGAAATGATTACACGCGTTGTTCGCGTAACGTGACATAATCGATTGACCTACGCCCTCTGAGTAGCCCTTCAGAAGGAAAGAACACCATTGCCTAGAGGCTACTATAAGGGCAACTGGATCCACGGTGCAGAATGATGTATGCATGATGAAGATTACCTGAGTATTATATATATATATACATAAATTGTTCATGGCGTGGTGAACTCAGTCTGTGAAAGCATGTGCGTTGAGAGGCAGTTCCCAGTTCATGCATTGGTTTGGCTTCATCTCTGGTATCTATAAAACGCTGGCGCGTTTTCGGTTCTGTTCTTCGGGGCCTGGCGGGGCATCTCCGTGGCTCAGGACTCTCTAAAGTGAGCAGGACGGGTTTCACAATCGGCGCTTGGCGTGCTCCGCGAAATGTGGCGGGCAGCTTCTGGGTCAACGTTTGGGAAAAGGTGCGACGGTTTTGTCGTGTAGTGGGAACCAAGTTGAGTACGCCATGTGTTAGACCAAGCGCTTCCCTGGTTAGATTCCCCTCTTTTTGGAGTGGTTTCCTCTGAGTTGGCCTGAAAAAATGGTAGCCACTGAAAGGCCTGGGAAGAAAACACTCAGTCCCAAACACGCTTCTGCAAAGTTTGACACGTCCAGCGTTTCACAAGGCGTCGAGAGCCCAGCAACTGGGCCTTCGACCGCTCTGGCGCAAGGGCACCTGAGGTCCAAAACCGATCCCAGCCCACGGCGTTTTCGTTCCAGTCCCAGACCCAGACCGGACACCGAGAAGTCTTGGGGTCTCAAAACCTGGAGGTTTTTTTCGGGCCCAAAGTCAATCGAGAGCGTCTGGGTAGGATGTTGGGACTTGCTTGGATGTTGGGACTTCAAGTTTTTGCCATCTACTGGTAATGTTTTTTCCATTAAATTACCAACAGTTAAGCTTTTAGCAGGGGAGCAGAAGGCAACCGAATTTTCGTTCCAAGATGAATTGGTGTATTTATCTTCCACGGCAGGGTATGACTTAACGGACCTCACCTTTTGCGCTTTGTGGCCGCTGCTGGCTCGGCAAAACGAGCTCTCGAACAGACTCTGTGCCGTCCATGGAGTTTCAAGAAAACATGGAACCCGTATTTTTGTTCAATCTGTTGATTTTCATTGGGCACGGGGGAGGCATGAAGGCCCAACTTGTGTTAATCGCTTGCAATAAGAGCTGTTCCACCCCATGAAGGCTCTCGGACATTTCGTAAGGCCTGTGCTCGTAGCTGCCAACAGTTCGAGTGCCCCGACACTTGGTTGTCCAAGGCGGATCGACCTTTTGGTTTTCCCAAGGTCAATGTTTAGTCAAGGTCCCAAAGGTTAACCTTGTCTTTTGGGGTCCTTTGGGCAAGCGAGAAACAGAAAATCGCTCTTTTGGTTTCCCGTTAGCACCATCCATGAGAACTCATTGCTCACAGTCTGTCCCGGCAGCGGCTGCGTTTGCACGACTTTGGAATGGCTGGCCGGCGTCCGGAAAGCACGCGCGGTTTGCTTTTTTTATTCTTTCCGGGCGGGGGTTATTTGACACCAATAATTCCACCTGGAACCTCAAACTACCCTGTGCATGCACGTCGATTTGCTAAAATATCATATCGTTTGGTGGTTTTCCTTGATGGTTTTAGCTGGAAAGGCGCGGATTTGTCCACCCAGCCTGCTTCAATTTGCCTAAGGCTTGGGGTGATTTGTTATCTTTCACCATGCCTTATGGATGTTTTTTTTTTTTTTTTACAGCGGCATGTTCAGCCACAATTCCAGCGATGCAAAGCAGCCACTTGATGGGTCAAAATTAAACCACCAGGGGACCGCAGGTTTTAATCCACCCAAAGCCATTTTGCAGATGCACCAAACACGGGCCAGAATCTCAGCTATGAGCCGAGGTAGACCTGGTTTTTCCTCAAAGTGCGGTGGTGGTTTTGACTCGATACTTGATACCGCTTGCCAATCTGAACAAATCGGACGGTGGAGTTGAACACTCGACTCATTTCCCCCTGTTTCCGAGATTCATTACTTGTTAGTGGAGCAATAAATAGGACGCCAACTTATCACTTTGTGCGGACAGCTCAATGTGCGTGTGTGTGCCAAAGGCGTCGCAAAATGCCAGTAAAACTGAAGCGGGCCTCCAAAGGCCGGAGCCATCCCAGGCAGGTGTCCAGAACCTCAAGGCTTTCAGAACGAGTTCTAACTCGTGGGCGCGTCTTGCTTTGAGGTTACCCCCCTGTTTGCTGGTGTGGCAGGGAAACCAAAAGGGACACCATGTGTTTCTTTTTTTGGGGGGGTCTTCCGCCCAAAAGCTCTTGGACATCCACGAGACATATGCGGTCTGTAGTCGTTGCACCTCGGCAAGAGCCGACGGGGTGAATCATTTGCAGACTGTGCACCGATCGAGGGCTTTCAAAGATCCATGCAGTTGCCCAATTCTGTTCGCCCATTCTTCTTTTTAGGAAGCACCAACTTGTCTGGTTTTTGGGTCAGTTTCTGAACAGCACCCAGGTTGGCAAAGCGACTTGCTTTGGTTTTGTAAAGGGCTGTTTTTTGAGGGTACCTCAAGGGAAACGGCGGCAACTGATCTCTTTGAGGGTTCGAACAAAGACACTCCCCCAAAAAAGTGAGAAAAGCAAAAAACAACATGCTGTCCCGTACATAGGTCGATCCCATCACCCTGTATGGCTGGGGCACGCGCCCAGAGGCACGAGTTGTTTCCCCTCTCTTCTCGGCGAGGCCGCGAGTCAAAGCAAGACGGCGACAGGCGCAGCCTGGCGCCGTAGATGGTTTTGTTCTGCAGCTTGCCCGTTTCTTCGAAGAAAGAGGGTGGGGTGTAGCCCAAGCAATCATAAAGGCACTTCCCTTGTTAGCAAAACCCCTTTTGAAATGGCTCTTTGATTGTTTGTTGGGGCTGCAACGGGCAAAGAACCAACCCTTCTCCGACCTGGATGTTGAACCGCATAGGTTGCTCTCGTGGTTCTAAGTGGGGTAACTTTTGTTGGTTGACCTTTCTACTACAATACGACTAGCCCGTGTTTGGGTTGTATCAGTTGCCATCGAACAGTCAGGGAAGAGATGCTGCTGAACCCCCATGGATACCTTTCGGGGGGTGCATGAAATAAAAGGAACACGCAGAATCCGAAGGACCAGTGTCCGCATGTGTCATGGTATGTCCGCTCTTTAGTCAGGATACTCTGGAATTTCAAGCCACTTGGAAGCACACACGCACACACACACACACATTGCGTTTTCTTTGTGGTCCACATGTCATGTGTGACCCTGGAAGCTTTGGTGCTGTCCAATTGTCCGACGGCACTTGGTGGGCTCCCCTTTACACGTGAAATGTCAACCCTCATGCTCCAACTCGGAAGTTGACCCTGGTTCATATTGCGCTGAATCCTGTGCACTGAGTAAAATGCAGCCGGGCTCCCTTTGTTGCTAATGTCGAGTCAGGATAATCGACCCGGTCTAGATTATTACCATAGTGCTTCCCCAAAAAGTGAAAGACCCCCTAAACATGTTACCCCGCATCAATCAGGGTATCAGGGTATGTTAATCCGGGGCTTTGCAGTTGATTGCCTTGTGGGCCCCAATGAAAAGAGATTGGGTCGGGGTCCAAAACAAAGGGTCCCCAATTCTTTTTTGGTTGGAGGTCGGATGATGCGTGCACGGCCGTAGTTTGGATCGGATGAGAACCCAAAGAGGTCCCATTCCAGCCTAGGAGCTGCCACAGGCGAGATGACAGAGCATTAAGCGTTTTTTGTGTTTGGCATTGTTTCCCTTCAACCATAAATTTAGAGGGTATTCTTGAGGATGTCACTTGGGGCCCGGTTGAATTCTATTCGACACCTGCATTGGATGCAAGTGGGGACTGGAGCTACGCCACGCCAAGCTCGATCAGAAATGCTCAGCTGAAGGGTGCCCAGAAAGGCCGGGATTCGCAAAAGCACCCATAAAAGGCTCTTTGACCGACGCCAACCTCGGAAGTCACCAGAAGTCACCAAAGCTGACCAGAATTCACTCTAAGCATCCCTGGTGATTGTTTTTTTCACTTGATTACTCCGGCCTTTTAGGTGGCATATGGTCCATCTCCGGATTTTTCTCGCCAGCCACCGGTCAAGCCCACACGTCGTCTCGGCTTCGGATCTCGGATCGAAATTCCCGTTTCGCCATGGCGAGCTGAGCAAGCAAGACCGCGCGCTCAGCGCCGAGTCTGGCCGCTCGGAAGTCGAATGGAGATCGGTCTTTTGGAAGGGACACCAAATTGGGAGACCCATTTTGTGGGTCCGAATTTTCGGTATAGAAAGGGACACCACATTGATTGGGAAACCCACCAGAGAAGGGGTCGTTGAGTTTGTGGCAAACCCGGGCATTCGGTCCTGTAGCTTGCTAGCTTTGCTTTTTTGTGGTTGGCTTCCAAATTTGACCCACCGAAAGTCAAACTTTTTTAGTTGAGGCTTCCCTTTGGATGTCAACCATCTACGTCTAGCTTTACTGTTACATTGTCCTGCTACTTTGAGGTCCTTTGGGCAACCGAGGCGGCACCACCAGATCATTTCCTTTGGTCACAGGGTCTGCGGTTTTTTGAGGGTACCCCCTCTGGAGATGGTAAAAGGGACACCAAACCTCCACGCTGTTGGGTTGGATCTTTAGATTTTAACTTTTTGGACTCCCCTCGTATTTCCTTTTACCCAGCCAACAGTTAATTTTTTTGCTGGGGGATAGGGACTTTAGTCAAGGGTCTGCGGTTTTATCTTTTTGGACTCCCCTCGTATTTCCTTTCAACCAGCCAAAAGTTAAAAACTTTCTGGCGGGGGATCTACAGCCCCCGAGAAAACGGAGAAGCACCAAACTTGGTCTACATCTGCCAGCCAGGTGCCATGCCCAGCATCATCTACGGGAAGCAGCTGGCCGATGCCTTGGGCAAGGCGCCCGGTCCCTTTGGTTGGTCCCCCAGCCCCTTAGGAGTCCGATGAAGCAAACACCATGGAGTTTTGAGCATGGGTAAGGGCCAGAGAAACTAAAATCAGGTACAAAAGGCAAATTCTTGGTCCAATGGCCACTAGAACGACTGGAAGTCGTGTTTTCGCCCCAAAAAGATGGGAAGGAGGGAACAAGCAATCACGTGGAGGGCTTCGACGGTGTAGCGGTGCTCTTCCTCGGACACGATCAATGTTTCAACAAAAATGGCAGGGCCTTCACGCGTCGAACATAGGAGGCAGCTTGCTGGAAAGAATCCCCCGCGCTATAATTATGGCCTTTGGGGGGGTTAAGCATCCCTTTCGGGCTAATCGATGTTGAACACCAAAGAAATCGGGAACCCAGGATCCGGACAGCGCAAGTTTTCCAAGAAATCCGGATATCAGTGTGTTTGTTGAATTTGACTAGTCCAGTGCAGGCAAGTCATTGGTTCAGTGCGGGCAGGCAGGCGAGAGAAACTGTTGTTCCGAGCTGGGAGGAAGGGACTCCAAAGAATTACAACTAGACGGTTGCCGGTTGCTCTTCTTCCTTGTTGCTATTGTATTTGTTGTTTGTTTTATTTGTTGTTTAAGTCAAAGACAACACTTGAACTTAGTTCAACCCAAAAAGGTTGCCCTTTTCCAGGGGTCATTGGGCAACGGGCGACTGATGCATTTTTGCGCAAGCCGTGCCGTTGCTCGACAGGATGGCAAGCAGGAGAAGGACGCCGCGAGGGGTGAGGTGCCGTGTGGCTTCCACCCCCCCCCCCGGACACCTAGACACCATTTTGCAGCCAGATCTAAGAAACCAAGACCCTAAATGGCTGTGGGTCAAAATTTGGGTAACCCCAAAATGGCATGGTAAATGGAAACAATGACTAAAACCTGTGGTCCCCTGGTGGTTTAATGAAGGAGGGTTGCAACATAGATTCTAACTGTCCATCATCCCCCCCCAACCAGGATAAAAAGGGTACCCTCCCACCGATCAACATGGAGAATGACAGGGGGGGTTCTGGAAGACTAGTGTCCTTTTAAAGGCCCCCCCTGTCAGATTCCATGTGATTTGGCGCGAGGGTATACACTTGGCTGTTTTGTCGTAGCCCAGTAAACCCCTGGATGGCACCGTGTAGAGGGTCAACATGTGAAGACGGACGGCACTAGGCCTAGCTTAGGGGTTGAACATCCCTGCCCCTTGGAGGGGGGATTCGACCCCTGGAGAGCTTTTATGGTAACCCATTTTCCCTTTTGTGACGTGGAAGGTAGATACAGGCAATAGGGTCCCGGTTTTTTTCCCCCTTTTATTGGTAGGTGGGACGGTTGTATCCCCCAACCTTCTTCTTGCACTTGGGGTTTGGTGGCATGGGAAACAGCAGTTGCGGGGGGGTCGGTGCTGGTAGAACGACCCTAGCTTCAGGTTGACCAATGGACCATATGCCTTGCTCCCAGCCATCCGGGTCCTTGGCTTTTTAGCCTTTTAGTGTTTAGTGGTAGTTTCTATCTAACCCTCTAGAAGTTTAACTTTTATTTAACAGGGGATGAGGACAGAAACTATTTGCCAGTATCATTTTTAACCAAAAGGACTGCCAGATGGTCTTGCGGCTCCACCTTGATCTAGAGTCACTTTTAGCGGGGGATCAGAAATCGGCAGCCCAGATCCTTGGAGCTCAGGACTATGCGAAGGCATGGAAGGTGGCCATTAAGGCTCGGGACATCGCTCGGAAAAGAAGTTGTTTTCACGAAGCCGTCCTGTTCTCAACCCCGTTTTTTGGGGGGACGTCGAAAAGGGCCTTTCTTTGGGCGGTTGTGCAACATGTTGCAAACTGGACATGACCAAAAAAACAACAACATGGATGTCTTCCATGTTTTTTTTGTTTGAACTCTGTTTGTTGTCAACCATGTTGTGCTCTGTATAGTTTACCGCCGCTGTGGAACAGTTTCTGAATGGTCGCCACGTCGCCTTGCATCTTAAGTGCGCCACCGGACCGTTGGTTAAGTCACAGGGCGAAGGCGCAATCAGCCAATGAGCAATACCCATCTGGGGTTAAAGATTGGTACCAAAATGGAAACCTGGTAAGAACCTGGTCAAATGGTTTTGACCCCTATCCATCTCAGACGCATCGGAATTTGCAGACCAACCTTCTGCTGTTCTGGAGCTGACACTCAGCCCCAGAGAGAGAGAGAGAGAGAGAGAGAGAGAGCGCACCTCTGCCGTGAACGGGCAGTATGTAAATTCAGTTCCATTTGTCAGTCGGTTTTCCTTTGGGCTAGCCTTTGCGGCCAGCTTTGCCGGACATGCGGAGGCTCTAAGTCCATGCCGGTACCTTTTTGAAAGGACAAAAATCGCCCCTGATATCCTGAGCCGCCTATGTTTCCCCTTGGATGGCGTAAGGGGAACCAATGGACCAAGGATAGATCTACACAAGACAGGGTATCCTTTCCAGGTCCCATATTCAAACTTTGCGGAGCTGAACATAGGGCGACCCTCAAACTGCCCGTCAAAATCCTATATCCCCCCAGATCGAATTATGGTGCAAAATCCAACTCTCACTTCCCGAGCTCCTGGACGTTCCACTTATGTTTGGACATTTTTTACGGCAATTTGCGGGCGTTTGCGTCCAAAACAGGGCCAATGCCGAGAATGACTAGGAATTCCTTGACGTTTGAATCTCCAGGTGGCATATTATTCCAAGTTTGGTTCCTTTTTGGGCATCATTTTGCTTGGTGGCGGGAGCCAGCCATCCGGTTCCTTAGATGATTAAACCAGGTAAACCAGGAATCGCTATCTATTTTTCGAGCAAACAAAACAAGGACACCTATGCTGCTAATGTACCACTAAACTGGGCTGCCTTAGTTCCCCCGCTAAAAGTGACTAACTTTTACTGGGTTAAATGGACATCCCCACTAGACACTACAAGGCTACCACGGAAACCCATCTATTTCCCCTAAAAGGATACCTAGAATTAAACTTTTCTTGGGCAAACTCCTGCTCAACTTGTTGGGTGACGGGTGCATTGCCAGGCCATCATGGCCATGCTGCGCTTCAAGCGCAGCATCGCCCGGTGGTCCCGGAAGAGCGACCCGCGCCGCTGGGACCTTTTCTTTTAATGGGGCTCGGATGTGGGATGTTTGGGCCTTTGACCGGACCAAAATTCCGTGTGTTTTTTTTGTTTGGTCCGGGGCTGGGACTGGGGTCATTATTTTGACTGTTTCTGGGAGTTATCAAAGGCAGACAATGGTTGGTGGTTTCGTTTCCCTTTAACCCGCCACGGGGGTGACTTTGATCATGGTGAAATAATGAGTGGGATGTTGGAGCTTTGGGTCCTTGACCTTTATTTGTTTGACGGCACTTGTGTGTGGGCCCCCCCCTTCCTAAGGAGAGCCCAGCGTGTGTTTGTGTGTGTGTTTTGTCAGGGTACCCGTTTTGGGGTGGACAAACCCAAAAGAAAGCCAGGGGGAGAAAAACAGTGCGGAGGAAATGGCACCCTACCACAGACTAAGCACCTGCGCAGGGGTTCTTTTCAGAAAAAAATAAACAAAAATAAAGAAACATAAAAAACAACAACTCTGTGGTTCGGTGGTTCCTTGCGAGAGGGTAGCCCCCCTGGTTCTTGGTCTTCAAAATTCTTCGAGGTTATGGGGTTGCAATCGGCTTGTTTTGTGCGGGTGTTGGGATGAGTTAAGTGGTTTTGTTTATGAAACTTTGATAAATCTAATCATAGCATACAACTCCAACTTCATACAATATTGAAAGTTAGAAACATATGGATTGATTGTCACATCATAGGCCGGAGTCGCACAAGGACATCTTGAGGGGAACCTTTCTGGGCCACACTTGTTTTGAATCCAAGAGGAAGCCACACATCTGTCACTCACCGTAGGCCTGGGTTCCTTATTTTGAGACCCACCTATTCCTCTGAGTCATGCATGGGAAGGCACGATGCATTTCCCCTGTCCCCTTTAGTGTACGGAAACATGTATGGAGGGGGGCTGTGTTTTTCCCAGATGAAACCCATCCGAGTGAGGTCCGGTCCAAATTGCCAGAAAGGGAGAGAGAGAGAGAGAGAGAGAAAAACAAAAAAGAAGAGAGAGAGAGAGAGAGAGAGAGAGAGACAGTGAGAGACTGTATGGTTCATTTGGGGGAGACATTGGGCGTGTCACTCACTCGTCGTCACGCCCCCCCCCCCCGCCCAAAGAGAAAGAAACAACACAACAAATACGTAGAAACAGAGGACTCACCAAATTGTGCATGTCTCTTTGCCGGAGAAAGTTGTTCTGACCGTGTTTTATGTGCTTTTCAGTCGCCGTCGTGACTTTCAAAGAAGGAACCAGCACCGCAGGTTCCAGAGATGCCGGGTATGACCACACTCTTCGAGGCAGGACACTTATGCCCCGCTGGTTTTTGCCGTTGAGTTGCCTCATCGAAACGTGTTTAGGTATTTTGGGAAGACTACTTCAAAGGGGGCGTTAGCCTCTCACGGATTTGGAGGAGACAGCCAAATGAGACGCAACATGATTATGTCTCCCGTTGCCGTTCTTTGTTTCGAGGGCCGGCGACTTTTGGGGGCAGTCTTGAAGTTGACAAATCTTAACCTTCATATTTCTGGGTCCTTTGGGCAACTGAGTAGTTGGTCAGCGGTTTAGCTTCCGCTTCACTTGGGACCCACTGTCCATCGTTTGGGGGCAAGCCGTCGATTCGGAATCGGGACTTCCTTCTTTGATGGGCTTTGCTACCAGGGCTTTTGGGGGTGGGTCAGCGGTCCCTTCATTTTGGACAAGAATCAAGAAGGCGCCGATTCTTTCGGTGTGAGTCTATGGTTGGGAGGGCACCGGGAGGGCCAAATTCATTTGGCTAGGAACTTTAGTATTGAACCCACTCAACACTGACTGACTGGACATGAATCCCCACCGCAAGAGTGTTCACAAAAGGGTCCCCACCCGTTTTGCCGGGCAGGTTGTTTGCTTTGTTGTTGGTTCTCTTCGGAGGTACCTCGAGTATGTGCGTTCTCAGACCCAACTTGACAAATCAAAAAGGCTACAGAAAGAGCTTCTGAAGTTTTTATACGACAAGTCTCACTTCCTCGGTTCATGAACTTTAACCTTTTGGGTTCGGACCGCTTTAGTGGCCAAATAGTAAAGTTAGAACCTTTTTTGGGCCATCCACTCAGCCAGTGAGAAGTGTTTACCCTTTCCAGGATGTCTTAGCCCATGGGCTTTGCCTAAGGATTCCGCGGGCCCTGCCGAGGCTTCCACGAGCTGCCGCCCACGCCCTTGCGGCGCTTGGCCAGGGAGATGCCGCCGAAGACGGTGGAGCTCGAGCCCCGGGGCTGGAGGGGGACATTTTCGTTCACGCGAGGACGTGGACTGGGCGTTTGTTGAGAAAAAACAAAAAAAAACCATGGGTTGTTTTGGTTGTTTTGTTTTGTTACCCCAAAAAAAGAAGAAAACACAAAGTTGTTTGTTCTTGTTGTTGCTTCCCAAACAAAAAGAAGAAGCGCACAAATCTATGGTGGTTGCTGGGGTTTTCACCAAAACAACAGCAAGCTGGACTTTGTTTTTTTCAACGCCAACCGGTTTTGGTGTTGTTTGTGTGTATATATATATACATGTATGTATACCCAATTATTTTGCGAAGGCCAAATTTTAGTTGTAAAGGCTTGGTTCCTTTCTGTTGGCCAATCCATGGAAGTGAGAGGTAGTCTATTGGAAAAATATATTGGAAAAAGTGCACAGGGTGAACCAGCTACCCGTGGCCTCATTCTGGCACACCAGCCACCAGAGGGGCCAGTTGGCCAGTCTGTGGCTCGCTTTGCCAGAATCGATCAATCCACTGGTTCAGGGCCAGAAGGGAGGCTGTGGGAGGGTTTTGGACATATATTAATCACCAGTAGAATTTGCCAACAGGCGCATATGGGCGTGTAGGAGGATAATTTATCAGGGGTTCACTGAACCCAGTTGCTCAGTGGATCCGCCGATCCGCGAATCCTTAAGATCTTGCTGGGCGAGTGTCAATCGGCCATGAAACAATCATACTTCAGGACCCAGGTGAGGTTCGGACAAAATTACCTGTCGGTTTTGGGTGGGCCCATGTCAACGTTTGAAGAAGAAATTCAGTGAGCCTTGCAGGAAGGCGAATTGATTCGCAGGTCGCAATCAAGGGCCCCAAGAGGGTCATGGCTCACGTGCCAAGGCGAATCGGCCGAATTAGCCGTGGCCGTCTACCAAAACATAGTGGCCACATTTTTTAGTGCCCGCAAAGTGAAATATACCTTGTATTCAACCAGGTCCGTCTTCTCCGACATTTAATACTCAATTTCGACTACATTGAAGTCTGACTGAACATATTCGTTGTTCGTGTCCCCTACAGTTGACCTCCAAGATTCCCCTCTCCTTGTCCTTGACGGATACATCTGGATGTGTCTACCGGGGGGGGCTTTGTATTAGTCAAGGAAGGACATGGGAAATCAACCATGGGACCCTCCGATGGTTCCTTTTCCTCCCTATGGGTGTGTCTTAAAATAGTTTTGTTTTTTTCCAACATGGCCACCTTCCTTCTGGTTTCGGGTAGCAACTCTAGAAAAACTATCCACGGCCATGTGAGCCGCAATCAAAACCTGGGTAGATGAAGGTTAGTCAGGGGCAGTCGCAGCCAGAAATAGTCGCAGCCACCTTCTTAATTCTAGAAGCATGGTTCTGGGTAGACCACCGGGTTTTGATTGTGACTCATGTGTTCTACACTCCCGAAGCTCCCCCAGCCTTCAATTTCGTGGTCCTGAAAAAGCTTCGATGGAATCGCCTGGATGCATCTTTTGGTCGGTGCACCTTATCTGGGATTTTGATGGGTACCTCCAAAAACGGAACCACAGAAATCGCTATGTATATATATATATATGTATATATATATATACATAAATATGTATATATATATATAATTACCAATGTATCTTGGAGGTTTTTGCCGGTCCTTTGGTTTTCTTGAAACCGAGCCCCGCCGGGAAAACAGAACGATAGGCTGGTGATCCACGGCTTGAAGGGCGAGCTGCTCATGGGGCCCGGAGCGGGGGCTGTCGCGGGAGCGCGAAAACGGTGCGGGGGTGTTGGGTTTTTTTGCCTGAAGCCTCAAGGTGACAAGGGCCATTCCACGAAAAGTCGTGTCGTTTTTGTTGGTTTTTCGCATGAAATTATCACTTCCTCAGTTGAGTTTTAAACAACTTGGGGTTGGACCATGTGAGTGGTAACTGGAAAGGTCAGACTTTGTGTTGCAAATCCAATCAGGAAGCGAGAATCAAGGTGACGAGGGTACCCTCAAAACAAACACATAGAATCGGCAAGCACCCATCGAGCCTACAGGTAATCGACCTCTTGCTTAAGAGGAGCCCAGAAAAGAGGTGTTTTTGTTTGAGTTTTCCTGTTTTTGTTCAAAGGGAAGCCAACAGGAAAATCGCCTATTTGCGGAGTGCCCCCTTATACAGATCGACCTAACTTGCCTGCCGATCTGGCGAGCGATTCCACCGATTTCGTGGAAAAGGAGGGACAATGAAGGCCCCTTACTCGGATTTACTCAGGCACCTCCTACTCGATGCTTGAGCTTGGTGGCTTTGAAAATCGAACCGCTGGTACTGAAAGCTAATTTTCGTGCCGCCCTTTGAAGGTGCTTCACCCTCACACGGGGTTGGTTTCGATTTCCTATCGGGTCAAAAGGCAACTGTTTTGACAGAAACGTTTGTCAAACCCGCAATTAATTTCCACAAGACAGAGCGGGCTCACCATGAAGCACTCGGTTTATCCCCCAATGCTTAAACGTAAGCACAGACTGCCCGTGCTTATGCTCATTGGCTGCATGGGATGCTTAGCATCCGTTTCGATGGTGGTACCTGAATCCCATGGAAAACGGGGGCACGTCGCCCCACGTGCCAGGCCTGACGTTGTGGCTTTGAACGTCTACGTCTCCCAGATCAAGCAGCGCTTGCTGGTGCACGCCCGCAATGCGGCGCCCTCCTCGATAGTGGCGGGAAAAGCGACCACCAAAGGGGGGAAACTGACGGAAATCTACCGTAAATATGGTGAATATGTGCATTTTGAATCATAACGTCTGGTAGATATGGTGAGTATGGTGATATATTATTCTTTGAAGCATACTTCTGGTAAATATATAGTGAATATGGTGAATCTCCAATTGTTGATGGTGATTATAAGGTATCTAGCATTAAACCACCACAAAAGGGAAAGCTAGATGTTTGGATATCTGTTCGCCATACCTGGAACCTCCGTCCGGCCAAATTTTAGCCGTTTTGAGTTCAGCAATAATTTCAGCCGCAAGTAGAAAAAATCACCGGCAGCTCTGAAAAACGCCGGCAGCAAAGAAAAGAGCCGTAAAGCCTGGTCTAGCACATCATAAACTGAAGCAAGCACTTGCTCCCACAATGCAAAACCAACTGGCATGTCTTCGATTTGCTCACAAACGCTGCTGAAAATTATGCAACTGGGCACGCAGCAACGACTCCACCCATCCAGAGAACAATGCGTAGGCCGGAAATGGTAAACACTTGCACATCAATAGACGAGCGTCGGTGCCCGCAACTACATAGCCAACTGCAGCTTGATTTCCGCCGGCAATGCATTTGTGGCCAGACTTGCTTTGCTCAGCGATGCTAATAACAGCACGAAGCGCAAGGAAAGAGATCAAGCAACACAATCCCAGGCCCTGAGAACGTCCACTGGTTGGACGCGTGTTTCCGCCGTAATCCCGCGTGTTTCCGCCGTAATCCCGCGTGTTTCCGCCGTAGCCCGAAACACCAACAAAATACAAAACCGTCTATTAAACCGTGCATGCAGGCAAAAACTGATTCCTGCACTTTGGGGCAACCAGCCCGTTTGAAGCCAGAAGCAGTGGAGACAAGAGGGCACACGCATCGAACAAACATAATTCATACACCCGGGCGGCTGCGTCATGCCCTGTTTGAAGAGATTGGCGGTAGGCATGCGCAGGTACTGCGGTTGCTACAAGTTGCAAAAGGCTGCTTTGTGGCTGCATATATTGAATATAACAAGTCCAACGGCGGTTTGCGCAATCAACGCTTGTCACGTTGGTGCATGCTCATGGATCAAAGCAAAGGTCGTGGCAGCAATGCTCTGGAAGACCGCGTATGAAAAACGCCGTCGGAAAAGCAACAATGCCGCACAATTGTTTGGAGACCTCAATTTCCGCCGGCAGACGCAAAAAGGCGCCTTTTGGAGTCCGCGGCTGAAATTTTGGCCGGAAGGAGTTTCCAGGTATTGACCATAAATGGATTCACCACAAACATTTGATATTCACCATGTTCACCATATATATATATATATGTATCCACCATAAATATGGTGATCATAGAACAATTCACCATATTTAGGGTAGATATCCAATGTTCACCTGTGGCTCCATTTGTTTCCAAACTACCCGGATTGAATGGGAGCATTTCTGCGTTGACAGGTGCAGATTTGTTCAGATTGGGTCCATAGAGTTTTCCTTTTAGTGTTCCTTTACAACAACCAACAGTACCCTCAAATTAGGCACAAGCATATGTTGCCCTGTGGCCGGCCAACCTTGGCTCTACAAGGGCTAAGAAGGCCCTCTTCACAGATGTTGACGCGCGTTTTTGTGTTTTTCTCTTCGCCCACTTGTCACTTCGGCTGCTCTTCCGTTGGATCCTTGACCCTCAACTTTTCGGGACAAATGTGGGTATGGGATGGTATGGGTCAAGATTGAACTACCAGGGGACCGCAGGTTTAGACTTGTTTCGGTTTACCTATTTTTGAACCCACACCCACGTCAGTGTGTTTTGCAACTTTCCCTGCAACAGTTTGCATTCGTTCTGCGCAAACTTGCATGGAAGATTGTGGACGTTGCTCCAAGCGTCTGACTCCCTCATTTAAATTCAAGGAAACCAGTTGGTTGTTTCGCTTCGGGGTCATTGGCTCATTCCCTGTATAACTGGGTCCAACCCCCAGAGCCCACGCGGTTCGACTTATACATGTCTTCAGATTGATCAGTTGCGGTTCCTTCTCAAAAGCAATCACTCTACTTGCCCGCGGCGAATCGGCCGGGTCTGACCTTTTAGATTCCCCTTTGTGTTCCATTGTTAGTGATGACCCCAAAAGGTTAACCTCGTATTTCTGGGTCCTTTGGCACTGAGATAAAACTCTGCCAGTTGTTCATTTGCTTGTTCTTTAGATCAACCAATCCACAAGTAGTTTTTCCATTGTAATCGTTTGACAGTTTGTTCTTAAAGCAATACAATGCATAAACACAAAACTAACAAATCACAGCACCATTGGTTCAGGTTCTTCAAAGCTTTCAAGGAATGAACATACACGAGATGCCTTTCTGCTCCCCCTCTCCCCCACCCTCAAGGGGTCCTTATGTTCTCCTTGTTGCCGGTTTTAGTCATCAGCTTTTGAGAGGGGGACCCCCTCAGCGTGGGTATTTTCCATGTGAAACGAGTGCTTTTCCAAATTGGGGGGTTGTGTGCAGTTATGTGTGTATATATCCTCTGACCGCGATCTGCGCTGCAACTTTGGCCAGCTGCATCTCATCCATCTGCATCCTGCGCTGAGTCGTCCCACCCTCCATTCTGGGCTAAGACGGCACTTGCAGCAGAAGACATGACCTACGAGGATCTCAAGGAGATCGTGGATGGCTACCTATGCCCACCTTGCGCCGCAGTAGTCGCCTTGCAGAGCTGTTCCTGCTGGAGCCCCAATGTTGTAAATCTTCTGGCGAGCTTCGTATGTTATACGAAACTTTTCATCTGAACTTTGTCCTGTCATCACCTTATTACCTGCAACTTTGAGAGGCCCTGCTCCTACATCTGCCCAACTGACAAGGTGGCAACCTTCTGCAGCTGCCTGAACTTAAGCAGCTTTCAGCTCCTCCCTGATCTTCTCAACTACCACCTCTGCATCTGCAACCAAATGTGCATCTTCAAGCTCAGCAACTGGAGCAGCACCTAGATGCCAGAGCTTTCTGTCAATATCCTGGAAGGTGAGCTGGGCCCGCACCTGTTCTTCAACTGGTGCCAGGCGAGTAGTCTAATCTTTGCGCAAGTAAGCTGCACCTAGCCATTGGATCAGCTTCTCTACATAAGAAGCTGCATACTTTGAGCTCTGCTGGAGCTTGGTCTTTCTCTGCAGGGCACAGTCAGCTTCTTTCAGCCAAGCTTTCCTTTGCATCTCATTTCTGCAACCAGAAGGGCCAAGAACTCTTTCAGCAGCTCATTGCTTGAAACATTGTGGCTATAACTCCTTTTTTTCTGCAACCGCTCGCCAAGAGATCTCTCTCCTAAACTCTCTCTTTCTCCCTCCGCCAGCTGCTCTGGCAAACCTCTTCTGCAATCTTCCAGCCTCTGTGTGCTCATCTTGAACTTTCTCCTTGCAACTGCCCAATGAGGCTAAGCCTCTTCCAGAATCATCTGAATCTCTTCACTAAGCTTCATATTCTGAAAGGCAAAAAGCTCTTGCTTCCTTCTTCCTGTTGCTTAACTGCCCACCTGCAGTTCCTCTACGCTCTTCCAGAACTGGAGGCCTGCCACCTTGTCTGCCTGCTTCTCTCTGAAACCGCAGTCTTGTTACAACTTCTTCTCGGTCTTCTTTCTCAAGCTCTGCTAGCTTCTAAAATTAAAGCTAGCTTCTGGAGGTAAGCTGACTTCACTAGCGCAGCTTCTTTCTGCAGCTTCTTTCTGCAGCTTGCTCTGCTGCTGCCTCTGGTATGGAACTACCCTGTTAGATAGCACAGGGGCTTGCTGCTCTGGTGTTCCAAAAAACTTCTTTTCTTCTCTAAGCTAGCTGGGCTGGGGCTGGGTGCAAGCTGGCTGGAAGCTAAGGACTCTGTCGGGCTTGCTGTCACCTGAAGCTGTGTTGTCGGGCTGGCCACACCTTTGGTTTTCTTGTTGTTTGTTTTTGGAAAACCTTCTAAGCTCTTCGTCGCAAAGCTGTCCTGTGTTGAAGCTTTTGCTGCAGATTGTCTTATCTTGGCTGCTTCCTGCTGGGCTTACCTTATAAGTAAGAAACATCGAGAAATCAAAAGAAGGTGTCCAAAATCGGAAAAAAAACATCGGGAATTTGAAAGAAACGATCCAAAATCAAAAAAACACCGAGAAATCGAAAGATTTTGCCCAAAACCGAAAGAACCCTCGAGAAATCGAAAAAAACCAAAAAAACCAATCTGGCCAACAGACTGTTTACATGATACCAGCACATTGTCCTGGAATCTTTGGTTTTTTTGGTTTTTTTTCGATTTCTCGATGTTTCTTTCGGTTTTGGACAAAATCTTTCGATTTCTCGATGTTTTTTTCGGTTTTGGACAGGAGCCTGACATCTGTAGGAGGGGGGGGTAAGGTGGAGAACTGTTTGCATGACCCCAGCACATTGTCCCAGAACTTTTCCTTTTTTTGAGATTTCTCAAGTTTTGCGGTTTTGGCCAGAATGCAGCAAAATTAGGTGTGTGCAAAAACCCAACGCTCACAGGGTCCCTTTCTGCAGCTTTTTGGCCTATAAAGGGTGAGTTTGTTTTCCTTGGTGATGTTTTTTTGGAGATCCAGAGGCCGCTCCCCCCCTCCCTCGCTTTGGGTCCCGATGGCTGAGGTGATCAAAGGCCACCTCAGCCGCGCGCTGCAGCTCTACAGTTTCATCGCCCTGGGCGCCGCCGCTCGCTTCGGTCGCTTCGGGGCACGGGTTCGGGGCATCGCGTGCGGTTTCGGCGAAGTGAAGTGGGCGGCGCTGGAAAAGACGTTGGAAGCCTGGGGTTCAGCTATCAGCAAGCCATCTCTACAAGGGCTCCACCAAATGAGGGGACTGGGAGGGCAAGTTTGCATCATCTTGAGGCCTTGAAAGGTTCGGATTTCAGGCAAGTTGGGGCTCCTAGGGACCATCTCGCAAATTTTCGCAATGCTTGCTGGAGTGATGGGGAATGAGCGAGCCCGGGTTTTGGGAATGAACATGGGATCAACCAATCAAACAGGCTTCTAGCTGGGTGGTATGGGTCAAAATGAAGCCATCAGGATATGGACCGCAGAGTCTAGTCCATGTTTCAATTTGCCAGGGCAACCCATTTTGGGTACGTGTTTTTTTAGCCCACACCCGACACTTGTTTTACCGAACGGGTCATGTGTTGAACTAGAGCTTGTGTTCTCCCCACGTTCAAGGGGCCTGCCTTCAGCAGACTGAGGGGTTGGCTCCGATAAGGGGACCCTGCCCCTGTTATTTGTTTCGACTTGTTCCTTACATGTCAAGGTTCACTCAAGATGGGTTCGTTTATTTGGGAGCACCCCTCAAATCTCCATCAACTTCCGGATCTTTGTATAACCAGCGATGGAATGAAGATGACCGGATAAACAACATGATTTGAAAAATTGAGGAGTTTTTGTTTTTTTAGTCCTTTCTGTAATAGCTGTTCATCTCTGAGGTTGATGGTGTACGAAAGGAAATGAAAGGCTTAGCCGCTATCCCAGACGTGTGCGTAGGAGACAGGTTTCTGTTGGTTTCCCTTAAGCCACAAAACAGGGGTACCTCAAAATCAGACACGCCCAATCTGGACAACAAATTCCCGGATATGTGTTTGGTTGCGCAATCATTGAGGTAGAATTCTACTGTCCATCGAGGCCTTTTGGTACTGGTACACTGCAAGTACCTGAGAGCTTTCTGCTAGTAAGGCCAATCAGAACTGCCCGAGCCGTCTGAGAGAAAGTACTCGTCTAGGGGCTCATATGCCTGAAAGTTCCCTTGAATCGTTTGCACACAGCAGAGGACGCACCCCACAACCATGTCAGGCAAACTGGCTCACCCGTTTTTTTCGGCGGTCGCGCAACTTTCTGCAGCACGTGCGGGTGTATGCTTTATTGTTTTGGAGGGTTCTGAAGCGAACGACGGGTGAAGAGAATGAGACTGGGGAATGGACGAGTAGAAAATATGTCCCATGCTTGGCCTTGTCACCCAATTCTCTCCAAGCCTATGTCGTAACAAGTGCAGAAATCGGAACATAGGCAATCCCTTTCGGTTGCATTGAAAACACCAAAAGAGAACCCTCAAACACCACCCAAGGAATGTCTATTACACATGGCATGTGTGGAAGGTGGCGAACCGCGGCTCAGGTGGTGCACCTCTTGCACAAGCGCCGGGCCGTAGGGAATCTGGACCGCCCGAGTTGCTTGTTTGAAGGGCGCACGGTTGGGTGAAGCCGCAACTCAAGCCAGAAAGGCCAGGAAAGTCGTTCTAAAACCCTTGCCTTGTTTTTCAGAATGGTTCGCTTTTTTTGGGCGGTGTGTGTAGGGTTCGAGTCGCGGAAGCTCCGCGGAAGCGCGCCGTAGCACATGTCATGTCCCTTTTCAGCGGGTTTAGTCATCACCTTTTCAGCGGGTTTAGTCATCACCTTTTTGGGCCATTTGGGCAGGCTTGAGGTTTTTTCAAGGGACATATCGGGATTTTGTGAAGAGTCTGAATCCAAGAAGGAAATTCGGAATTGGCAGCTTTTGGTCTGAAACAAAGCGAAGCCACTGCGGCCCCCCATTTGGAGACTCAACATCTACCTGGGCAGGTAGCTATGTGCAACATGTTTCAGGTTTGGCGGTGACCAAGCCCGCGAAAAACAAAGCTTGCGCTTGACAAGGTGATTTGGATTGGTGGTTTGGGGCTTTGAAGCCCTGGTTTTTGCACATGGTTAACTTCGAACCAACCTCCGGACGTCACCACCCATCACCGCGTGGAGTGAAGCTGACCAGCGACCAGGAGACGCTGAAGATGCTGATTCAGGAGGACGGGCACGCAGGCCATGGGGAGAAAGTCCGCGGGTTTCTCTTCCGCGATTGACCGAAACCTGAGCCACGACCGAAACTCGGGGAAGGTGCAGGAGGTTTGGGCTGGGACCCTAAAAGGTCAAAGAAGCCATGTCAGTGGATGGATGAAATCCATTTCACACCACGAAATGAGACAATGGTTGAAACCATTGTTGGTTGGTATTTACAGGGGTCGTTCCAGGTGCAGGATTTCGTCCATCCACAGTGGGAACCATCCATTGCCAGTTGTCATTTTCCAGACATCGCCAGGTTGCGGGCGATTAAATTGGTCCGTGTCGTGGTCAAAGTTTCCCACCTTGGGGGGTCCAATGAGAGCACCTCCTCACTCCCGTATCATGTTGGACATGTGCCTCTTTTTGGGGGGACCAACATGATGGTTTTCCTGTTCATTTGGTTTACCTTGTGCAGGACCACCAAAAAAGGAGGTACGCTGAAAGAAGAAAAACAAACAGCCTTGTTAGTGGCACACCCAGGGCCACTTTGACCCGAGAGCCATTGCGGTGATAGGCGAATGACTTGGAACACCTGTGTCCTTGGAGTTGGTGCCCTGTGTTCTCACTTCCTGAATTCCTGGACTTGAAACCTTTCTGGATTTGGACTCCATTTTAGTGGTATTTTTTGTTTTTAAAAAAAGTACGGACATCTTGTGGCCAGTCCACGCAAGTGAGTTTTCCGGTGTGTAAATGGAAACCGACACCCCCCAGTTGTCGGGCTCCCATATCTTGTGACACCAGACCTGTGCTGCCACCCATGCCCCGAACGATTCCGGAGCCTGCCGGGGAGCCGGGTGGGAGCGAAATCCCTGGCACCAATGAAACCAGGTATACATGGTTGTTGTTGGGAAGCATTTTACATTTTGCTTATTGTGGTTTAGTGGGAAAGTCCCACTTAACTGCTAAATACTGCTAAAGCTTAGATTTTTGCTCCCCTTCCAACGTCAACCAAGTAGATACAGGATCATCATTCCAGAGATTTTCTGAAAGGTGGTGTGAAATGGACTTCATCCATCCACAGCAGGTGTCCTTTTGATCGGTTTGGATAGAAATAGATTTAATGGATGGGTTCCACTGGTTTAGATGGCTTTCTTGCCCGAGTTATCAGGGAATCCATCTATTTGACCAAAAGGACATCTACGCTAATCACTTGCCAGAGGGTAAGATATCAGCTGGCTTGGGAAAAGCCGAAGGGAGCTTCCTTTGCGATGTTTGAGTGTCAGGAAGTGAGTTCCTGGACTTCAAACGTTTTGGGAAGACCAGTTTAGTGGTAAATACAAAGTTTGGTTACCTTGGTGAATTGTTCCTCCCTTGCAGAAATACCAAGGAGAAATGTGGGTGTTTGTTTAGGGTGCTCCCCAAAATGGTCCTTTAAAACTGCCAAAACATGGGTACCAACTGCAAGAAAAGACAGATAGGTAGTCTTTGAAGATGATGGTAGAGGTCATGGAGCTCAGCCCGGAGCCGCAAACGAAACTTGGAGGATCGATGAGGCAAGCCCTGCCCAAATGCGCTGGTTACGTCGTGTTTCGCGCGAAACTAGTTGGGTGTGTGTGCGTTTTGAGGGTACAAGGGCCCACTTTTGGGGTGAAGGGAAGCCAAAGGAGCATCGTGAGAGAACCCACTTGAACACTCAACAATTGTGTGTATTGATTTGGAGGCCAGTTTCAGGGTTCAATGGAAATGTTGAACTGTTAACCTCTGGTGGCAACAAGAAGATCCATTGGATGCGCAGATCAATCTCGATGCTGATTGAAAGACACCCTGGATCAACCCCCATGTGGATGAAACCTGTGAAACTGGCCCTGGTTTAGACTATGTTCCTCTACCGGCGCCATTTCACTGCCCGAGTTCAAGTCAACGTGGGTGGTGACAAAAATCCACTTCACACCAGTTGGAAGGTATGAAGCCCTATGAATGTGCACCACCTGGTGCTTTCACTGGCCGGCACAATGCTTTTGCCACCCGGCCCCCTGAGCGGGAGGCACGGGCGCGTACTCGCCGGATACCATGGCGACGCTTGGACTTCCAATTTGGATCGCTTTGGGTCTTTGGTTCGCATCGCTTCCTTGGAACCCATCGCACGCCGCAGTGCCCCTTCAGGTAAGCCACTTGTTTGTTAAAGATCGGCATACTCCGTTGCCCAATGGTGCCGTTTTTTCTTTTGGTTTGTTTGGGAAGGTTCCCCTTTAAAGTCAACCAACCAAAAAAGGGATGCCCCTTTTTTTCCCGTGGAAATCCACTGGGCATCTGAGCATTACAACTCATGGGTTGGGTTATTTCAACCGGTCGCATGTTACTTCAGGCTTCGCGAATGAAAGGGGGAAGATATGAGGTTTCTGGGGAGCTCCTCAATTAACATGGGGTGGCACTTGCCAAGGCGAATCGACCGGATCTGACCCTTTAGATTCCCCTTGGCAACCAGTTTTAGCCCTAGAAGCTGATCATCCACCTTTGATTTCTGCATATGTCACGTGTTGGTTTTCCCTTTTTGGCAACCATTTCTAGTGGCCCCAAACAGGTGATCACCTCTTATTTCTGGGTTCTTCTGGGTCCGACTGAGTTTTAAACTGAACCAGGACCCCCCAATGCCCGGCAAATGGCCTGTGGAATGACCTCCCAATGGCTGTTTTGGGGTTATTTGCCAGCCATTGGGGGGTCCTGGAACTTCGTTTTTCTCAGGGAGAGCTCGCCGTTCCTGGCACCGGACAGGAACCTGGCCGGCGTTGCGGCCAAATTGCCGGAGGAGAATGGCCTGCAGAGCCCACGCCATGGCGCTGGGCTTAGTTTCCCCTGATATGTATATCTATTTATATGTCAATGATATGTCCATGATATGTACATGATATGTACATGATATGTACATGATATGTACATGATGTGTGTATATATATATATGCATATGTGTGTGTGTGTGTTTCTTCTGTTTTTGGTTGGTTTGCAGGATCAACAATCGGACAACCTGGGAGGGCGTGCGCATGTCATGCTGCATGTGCCATGGCTTTGTTCAGTTGAATTTACACTTCCGGAGTTCCTATACCTCAATATAATTTAATCCTTTGCGGAAAGACCATTGTAGTGGAAAGCAAAAAGCTTGGACCTTCATAGCCGCTCCATTCAAAGCAAAAGTGCAAGGTTCATGCCAAGTTGGAGGAATGTAGTCACTTAGTCCCCTTTCGCATGGAGAGCCGGCAGTTAGCGAGCGAAGGGCTAGGTCGTGCACCCTCAGTGAGCAATACCCTACCCAACATGCAACCTGCCAGCTTCAGGTGCCGCGTATGTTGGACACTTGTGGAAATGCGCTTCAACGGCTTATTCTCCATGGATTCTTCCCTCTTAACAGATCCCTTTAATCTAAGGCCAAGCTTTTTGGGCAGCCGCAAATATCTGAGATGGGTATGTAGGGTTTGGACCCTCAAACGGGTTTCGGTGTTCCTTTGGAGTCCCTGTAGCCAGGCTCAAATGATTGCCCTACAAAAGCAAGCAAACACAAAAACACAAGAAACACAAACGTTGACAGAGACACGCGCACACACACACACACACACCTGTGAACTGGAAAGCCTTGCAGAGCTGAGCAGAGGCCCCAGTACCCTGAAAACACCTCTGGCCGGCGAGCGAGGCAATGACCCTCCGGCGCCGAGGAGACAAAAAAGACAATGAGAGCCCTAAAGGCTCGAAAGATCTTCCATTGTAAGGCCGGTTCCTGTTCCTTTTGCTGAAAGGGCTATCTCTGATTTTCCCCTGCGTTTTAAAGGGAATCGATTTCACTGCTGGAAATATGTGGTTGTTGTTGCAATTGTTTGTCCCTGTGGGGACTTCAGCAATTGGAGGTTTTACTCGAGGTTGGTTCCGAGAACCAATGTAAAGGTTCCCATGGGAATCATGGCCACGAGGCACATAAGGAGCATTGCCCATGGCACAATATGTATGTGTGTGTGATACAAGGAGCCGTTCTGACTAAACCACATCTTGATTCCCCTTGAATGGACAAACAAAAAGCAATAGTGGTTTAAATATGCTTGAACGAAGGGTTGGCAGCACACTGTAAGGAACATCTTATTTGATAATTTCGCCAAATCTCACTTTCTGCACGGAATACAAGTAACATCTCACTGCTTTTTCGTGGTTAGAGTTTCTTTCAAGATCTCATTGGGGTTTGTCAGCATCCTCCAGGAGGTCCCTGAGTTTCTGGACTTTGCACTTTGCGAGCAGACCATTCCAGTGGAAAGCCTTAAGTTTATGTTTTGACTGATCCACTCAGGAAGTGAGTCTTATACACTGCTATTGGGAAGGCTTTAACTTTTTGGATTCCCCTATTTTCTTTTAACCAGCCAAAGTGCTTCACTGTTCTTGGCAGGTTTTTTCTTATTTTAGTTTTTTTGGTTCTGTTTGTTTTTACTAGGGGTCTGCAAAAAACAAAGTTTTTCGCTACCATACCAGAGATGAAAGGTGCTGTTTGGGGGATCAGCCATAGATTTCTCCAGACCCATGGCTTCGGCACGGAAGTTCTGAAAGGATCGAGCTGGTGGCGGTGGTCTTTGTGCACATCTACGGCCTAGTCGCCTGGGGCGATGCGTCTGCAGGCGAGCGCGCAGAACAAACAAACAGAAAAAGCGAACGCGAGAAGTGGGAACCTGATCCGTGCTTTTGGTTGTTGTTGCTTTTTTTTGGGGGTTGTTTTTTCCCCCCGAGTTGCTACGTTTTTTGTTTCTTGTTGTTTTTTTCTCCCAAGAAGATTTATGCTGCTCTGTCTTATTTTGTTTGGTTCTGATCGGGCGGATTTGTATAATACTTTTGTACCCACTGCCCATTTACCTGCTTTCTGACATTGGATGAAGCAAGCCAAAACCGGAAGGGCGGCGAACATGTATGCCTTGCAACGTTGCCAATTTGCGCCATGCTCAAAACACCTTTTGGGGGTCGAAATTAGACACCCAAAGAGTGAGAACGCAATGCCAAACATGACGAATAATCCCCGAAATACTATTCCAGAACATTTGCCCAAAGAAACAAGATAATGCCAAAGATATCAACCCAACTAAACTCAACCCCAAACAAACCCAGAAAGCATTGAACATAACCAATCAAAAAGTAAAGGATAGTCTTCACAGAAAATGCGAGTCAACCCCAAACTCACCCAATGTTCTTTACACATGTTGATTTGAACACCCATAGTGCCCCCAAATCTGATGAACCAGGTAGTCAGTCCTCCCTTTGCTTGATGGCGTGGCACTCCCCATAATCAACCCTGCTTAAGCCTGCGACTTGATCGAGCGGAGATCATATAAATTCTTTCTGAGCATGCTTTTGCCTTCCTTCTTTTGCGTGGGGGAATGGCCATCCCGCGGGTTGTAGCGAGCAACAGTGAGTTGGCACATGCACACCCAATCGCGGCCCCATTTGCAGGGCAAATGTCCGGATGTGTGCTAACTGTACCCATTTAAAACCTTGGGAGAGGAGGAAAAGGCAGTGATTTGTAACCTCGAATTCAACAATCCTAATCAAATTGACATCAAAACAGCCATACTCAATCAAAAGGACTGTAAAACTACCTTGCATCCCTTGATTTCAAGCTGAAAAGGATGCTCTAGCACAGCAAAATCAAAAAGGCAGCTCAAAATTGGCCCCAGCAGTTGATTTGGTTGACCACCTTGGGCCCATGAGACGGTGGCCATTGAAGGTTCCTAAGGGAACCAAAACCCTGAGCCACAGGAGTTGGTTCTCCAAGGCCAGGCTTCGAAAGGTGAACCTTTCCGACACCCACGGCCTTTGGGGCTTTCAAATGGATGGCCTTTTGGCTGAGTACACGGCTCGATGCTTGCGACTGAGAGCCTTGTGTTTTTACCCCCCTCGTTTCCCAACTAATGTGTTCCAGATTCATGAAGGGGCCATAAGAGGCCCTGTTTTTTGGTACATGTTCACAAGGGAGACAGCGCAATCACAGAGGGGCCCTCATGACTGTGGGGTTCTTAACTGTGGGCTGGAGCATGTTCCATTTTGTTGAGTGTTTGGGTTCTAAACTCCAGTTCTTTGTGTTTCAAAGCGTGGCAGTAACATGTTTCCAGGAGCAGCTTAACCAACTCGTGGTTCCAGGCACCCTTTTTCGCCAGCAAAACCGGCACACTTCGGCGACAACGGCTGGTGGTTGAAACAGACGACGGCTGGAAAGGCGCCAATCTCTAGAGACATGGGCTCCAAGCCACCAAACCAGAAGAAGGCGCGGGCCGCGTCTGGACCAGGTCCTCTCAGGCGTCTTGAAATGACGATTTCTCCAGATGCACACCTGGATAAGACCGAGATACCCCATAAATTTAAGCAACAGACAAACACACTCTGTCCAGAAAACCACCCCGCAGTTGTATTTGTTCTCTCCAGAAAGCCAAGAAGGGTTGGGCCACGTTTGTTTCCCAGACGACTCCCTCAGCATTCCGCTTGCTTCAGGTGGTGCCATTCCTCTCTCCATCTCTGAGCGGCTCTCTCATGGCATTACCTTCGCAGTGGGCAACACTCGGGCCTTCGCCGCCGTGGGCCAATCAGGCGACATCGCTTTCGGCTGTTGAGGATCTGTGTTTCGTTTCTTGGGATGATCGGTTGAATTTGTTGGATTGCTCGCTCGCTCGCTTGCTTGCTTGGCTGGCTGACTTGCGGAGGTCAGGTCACAACCTGGGGAGACCCGGCCTGCGGCGGCAGCTCCGTTTCCGTGGCGGAGCACCTGAAGAGCCGGGCCTTCCAGATCTGCCACAACGAGTGGGCCCGGGGCCCGAGGCAAAAAGTCCCAACCGAAGGTGGTAGGGTAGGGGTAGGGTGGGGGTAGGGTGGGGGTAGGGTAGGGGTAGGGTGGGAGTAGGGTACAGGGGCCAAGTTAGTAAGTGGTCAGCCATTTGGGGCAGAACGGTATAACACCTACGGTATTGGTGGTTGTAAGTAGGTTAAAACCATGGTTACTAACAACTTACTAACCTAGGTCCCCCAGTGCTGATTCTCACCCGTTTCTTTTTTGGTTGGGAGATTCGGTTCCCCTAAAACAGACTGCAGGTAAAAGGGTGCCAACTTACTCTAAGCTCTCTACTGGAAGACCTAGAAAAAATCAAAAACCAGAGGATCAATTTTCTGGTGCAATAGGTGGGGCATGAGAAATGGAATGAAATCCAAACGAAAGAAGGAGCCACTCGAAGCAGCTGGGTGCGATGGTGTGGGGTAGGGGTAGGGTAGGGTTGGTGAATACCAAGTTCAGACATTTTCAGTTGGCCACTCAGAAAGTGAGAGGAAAAGGTCCGCTCATCTACTTCCATCCCAAGATCCATAGGGCCATAGGGGCTCCTTCTGCATTGGCCCGAGCCTGTGTCAGAAAAGGCTTTTGCTTTTCTTGGTGGCCAGCCGTCCCCTTAGCCTGTTAGGCTTCTAGGGTTTTAGGGTTTAGTTTCCGTTTGACCCACTGAAAGTTAAACTTTTAGCAGGGAATCTGAGGGCAGCCCAGTTTTGAGGTTGGGTAGAAGAGTTAAGATATCACATCTTGCAACCGATGCTCTGCTCAGAGGCTTCCATCTCCCCAATCCCAAATCCCCCCCCTGCCCGGCTCATTGGCGCTTTTGCCCCCTTTTTGGTCTCCCCCAATCTCCCGTCCCGGTCTGGGCCTCTTGAAGGGCTTGGTCTTTTTGAGGCTTCACTTTGCTTTTCTTTGCCCGTGAAAGCAGAAAAGCTGATCTCCCTTCAGTGGGCCAACGTGTGCGGCGTAAGCAACGGTGCCCGATGTTCAGTGGACTCTGGGCAATGGAGCAAATGGTGCCCCCCAAAAATGGATGCTATTGGATCCACAAACTTGCAAATTGTCACACAACTCGCGCAGGGTGCAGTATCCATGAAGAATTTCTGCATAGATAGGTCTCATGTTCCTTAGCTTTGGGCTGCCGCTGCGTCTGGGTGTGCTCTTAACATACACTCGAACTGGTTGAAAATGCCTGCTCCGTATTAGCGGGGATTGCTCTTTTTTTTTTTTTAAATCAGGTCCCCGTGAACGATCAAACCGCAAGGGTAGAAGTTTGGGAACCGTTGTTTTGCCCAAACTTCTACCCGTGCAGCCATGACAAGTGTACGTGCGCGTGCAAGCCCCGAAGTAACCTTGTGAAATGCAATCAATTGTGCAGGGACCTGACATGTCAAAGTCTACGAATGGCGGCCCTGAAAACAACACATTTTCTAGGCTGGTGTAGAGGATCCAAATCCTGGTAAAGCTGGTGGCTTCTGGATGTATTTGACATGGCGAGCTGACCGATTCGGGGGCGGAACGAGCTCACCTGACTGAAGGTCCTTTACTTGGTGATCCAATCCTTGCTTTGATAGGATCCATCCCCCCTTACTTCCTCCAACGGCATGTGTACGCGGTGTTCTTTGAGTTGGCACCTCTCTTTTGTTGTAGTAGCAGGTTTTTTGAAGCCACCCCTTTTTTGTTTTTCAGGGGGAAACCACAAGGAAAGCTGGATTCCGGTTTGGGGGACGCGTTTTTGTTTAGTTGTTTTTATTGGGGGGAATCCAAAGGGAAGCCACCCCGATCCCGGTGAACTGGTTGCAGGCCTTTGCCGCATTTCGAGAAGGCGGTCAGCTGGTGTGTACCGCGGCCGGTCCGGGGGGGGGGGGTTCGACCCCTGGAGATCTCCATTTCTCACTTCCTGAGTTCCTGGACCTTGAACTTTGTGGGTTTGGACAAATCTGTTTCAACCACACAGAAAGGCTTACTTCCTGAGTTCAACTTGAAGCTTTTTGGGGTTTGGACAATTCGTGGTACATGTAAAGATCAGACTTGTTTGAGCCAATCCCCTCAGCAAGTGAGCCATTGGTTCGTTCAATAGGGAATACTTCGATGGTGCGGGAATTCATGGGACACCCTCCCTTGACACATAGGCGGGACAGTTTCTCCCTTGCCTGGAAAACTATCAGAATGGAATTGGGGACCCCCCCAGCTTGGATTTGTAACCCGCTAAGAATGGAATCAACCTCAAACAGGGTGCCGGTTCTTTTTCTGGGGCCACCGGGAAGCTGGGTGAATGATGAATTGTGATTTGGCGCGGGGGAATTGTTCACCCGGAATTTCGTTTTGGAGACCCATCTTCCCTTTGTGTCCCTTTGTGAAGTCTTGCGTAAACAGCAGTGGATATGAGTGACACTTCGAGTCTAAGCGCCCCAGAAATGATTTACACCAACCAAGCATCATTATAGTCCATGTTGCAGTTCTGTAGTTTTTATATGTATGTTCCTTCTTCTAATTCGCTTCTGCATGTATAGAGGGCGAGGGAGCTTGTTGTTGCTTGCACTCAGTTTTGATATTGCACATTCGTGCTGAATGTCAGAATTGCAGATAAGGATGCATTGCCGGAGAGGGGTTTCGGAGGGCCAATCAAAAAGTGCTGAGAGCCCTTCTAAGAAGGTTCTAGGAATCTTTGCCAGGGGCTGGGGCGCTCGCTTGGCTTCCTCCCAATGAACTGTTTCTGTGTGGAATGGGTGTGAGACGTCGGCCCTCACCTCTCGCAAAGTCTGCTCAGAACTGTGGAAGGCATCGAATCAAGGCGGGATGCTTGGTTTAAGCACCCCACACATGGAGGGGGTGGACATAAACGGGGGGGAGTTCCTTCTCCCCACACTGCCCTATTGTAGGTACAAGGGCAATAATGTATGCAAACAGGGGCCCACACATTTTCCCAGCTACTTAGCGCGGATAGCGGGATGGTTTCAACTGATCCGCTGGCTGTGACGAACAAGGGGCAACTCCGGGCTTTTGGTTCCTTTGGATGAAGCACTTATTGTTTTACGTGTGTGTGTGTGTGGTGAACATATGTGTTTGGTGTTGATGAGTTCTAGCTTTCTTGTTCGGATTCCAGCAGTACTTCCGTCGTTCATTTCAGGGATTTTTTTCAGATGGCAAACACAACTTGGAAGTTGAGTGGTGCCGCACTCTATTTTCCTTGCCGCAAGGTGATGTGGCTGTGGGTCAACACCAATGGGATCCCATTTTGGTTGGTAGGTGAATTCCCCACCCATTTTCGGTTTCCTATTTTAGTGGTTGGATTGGGATGTGCACTGGCGGTACGAGGTGGATTTTGACCCATGGCCATGTCTCAATCCAGTTTTTGCTTCGTGCAATGTATCATCTGGAAGTGACGCTCTGAAGACTTGCGTCACCCAGCTGAGCCGAGAATCGGGGATTTCGACCCAAGCTGAGGCTGGGGCGACCCGGATGCCGGGGGCCACCCCGGGGAGGTGGCAGCGTCCTTGACCTCCGGGGTGATGAAAGTCTGCCAGGGGCCCATCACCAGGAAGCCTCGCAGCATATATATATATATAGTCATTATATAGTATACATCTATATAAATATAACACAGAAATAGATGGGAAATTATGTACATATATATATATAGACATACATACAGGCATACAGGCATAAGTGTGCATGTCTGTGTGTGTGCTTGTTTTTTTGCTTTTTGTGTGTTGTGTGCTGGAGCCGATCTTTTGTTTGAGGCTCCACGGAGTTCGCTTTTGCAGCGCTCAAAGAGAGCGGCCAGGTGCGTGCACGACCGTTCTGTACGGTTGGGCTTATTGGTTCGGTGGAAAGCTCACTGCCTGAGTTCCTGGACTTTAAACTTTTCGGTTTGGACCATGTTTGTGGAAAACACTGTTCAGCCAATCCAGTCGAGTGAGTTTTCGGGTGGTAAATGGAAGCCGAAAGAACAACCACTCATTTGTCGGGCTGCCATATGTGGGGACAACCGACAACATGTCCTTTGCCACCCGGGCCCTGCGGGATTGTTTCCGTTTTTTTTGGCTGGTCCATTCAATCGATAAGAAAACGGTCCATTCGACCCCTGCATGATTCCCCCCAAAAAACGTGGCAGCACTCGCTGGTGATGGGCACCTGCCAGTTCATAGGCCGCGGAAAGGTTTGTAGCACGTGGGCTTCCACGGCTGGGGGTTTGAGTAGTTTGTGCGGATGTCAGTTCTTGCCCTAACAAATTGGCAAGGCCAATTTGAAGAAGAGTTGGTGCTTGGTGAGATGGATGTGTGTTTTAGGAAGCCCTTTGTTGGGTTAGTTGAAGGGAAGCCAAGTAGAAAACCCCGCATATTTTGGGGTCACTGTTGGAAGCCAAGCCATTTTTGTTCAGGGTGGGCACCACGGAAGCTTTGTTTTGTGCCTCTGAGATCAGGGCAGTCTCGCATCATTTCGTTCCAATTGGATGGGGTTGTGTTCCACACTTGGATGGTCGGACTTCGCAACTTGGCGGTTTGGTGTGTGCTTTTTTGTGATTGAAGCCTTTCTGGGTGGCTGTTTCCGGGAAACCGAAACCGAAAGGGGGAACTCGGGGCCGGGGGCTCCCATCTGGGTGGATTGTTCTTGCTGATCCTTTGACCAGTGTCCTTGATCCAACGCGCCTGAGATGGACCCCGTCTGAGACTGCCATGGGTAGTAGTTGTAAACTGGTTGAATTTGCCCAGAGAAGGCCGCAACCAAAGCCGTGATGAAAGCTGCAAACTCGTCCGCGACAGTTGTTTCCAAGGAACCCTTGTCAGCTTGGTTCAAAGGGACACCAAAAGGCGCACAAATTTTGAGGCTCCAGGGTCTGCCTCTAGAGAATGAGTTTAGATGTCCTTTTTGGGTACCCTAGACCAGATGGAAAAAAAAATAACACACACCGGACGGTCGGGTCGAATTTACGTACGGGCATGGAAATCCGGTTCCAAGCAAACGTGTCCTTTGTTTAAAGATTCGGTTGGGCTACCTGACGGCTTGAATGTTGAGACCACGCAGCTGAACCACAAGGAAGACCAACAGGCGAACAAACGTGCAGGCTGGGTGTAATATATTCAAGCTTCTACGGTTCCAAACGGGTGTTTCTCAAAATAGGGGTCCCCTTGTGGAGGGCAAGCAGAAGTAAACCTCACTTCCCGAGTTCCTGAACTTTAGCCACTTTTTGGGTTTCGGCCATTGGTGGTAAATGCAAGGTGGCCCACCCACTCGATCGGAATTGCGAAACCCACCACCTGAATGGGGTCCCTCAATGGGTATGGGTCAAAGTTACACCGCCAGTGGACCGCAGGTTCTAGTCCTTGCTTCTATTTGCCAGGGTTCTATCTTGGGGTTACCATATTTGGCTGTGGGTCAAAACCAACGGTAGCATATTGGGGTAGGTGAAATCACCACACATTTTAGAACCGATTCTAGTGGTTGGATTGGGATGTTCACTGGTACCTGATTTTTGACCCATGGCCATGTCTCAATCCAGACATTCCGCATTGCCCAAACGGCCCAAATGTGAAACACCCAACTGGCCTTCTGGCCGTCAGGTTTTGCCCGCCTCGCAGGTGGTCACCTGGGGAGATGCCTCCGTGGGTGGCGACTCATCCGCCGTGCAAGCGCAGCTTCAAGGCGTCAGGACCGCCGCGCGCCAGCCGCTCCTTTTTTTTTAACGAGTGGCAATGCATGCAATTCTATCAAGATGTTTCTATGGTTTCTAGAAAGATTTGTCTATGATTTAGTGATTTAGGTTGCAATTCCAGAAAGAAGTCTCTTGTCGCAAGCCGGGAGTTCCATCAATTTTCCCTCAATGTTCTCTCCGGCCCCCAAATGCGCATGGGTAACTTTTCCCGTGTGGGAAATATCATCTTTTTAGGAGCTACCGGAGTTCTTTTCGGGAGGTAGATGGATCCAAGGCGCTGTTTGGACATGGGAAGCCTGACAAGTCCAACTCCTTCCACCGGGCCAATTCCCTCTTCTCCAGATAAGGTTAAGGTGAGCGATGGAGACATGTGCCATGGTTAAGGGGAGCTTTTGCCAAGCAGCCAAGGGGCAATTCAAGCTTTCGCAAACCATATCAACTGGGGGAAGCTCCTTTTGGACCCTGTTTGTGGGTTCCATGTTCACGGGTAGGGGAAGAAGGAAGAAGCTTTGTTGAGCACCCCCGGCTTTCTGGTGATCCGTTGGCCTTCACCAAGGTACCTTGGGGTAGAATCTTGGATCGCTGCCTGAGTTTCTTGATGTTTTAAGTTGTTTGGGAATACCTTTTTGGCGGTAAAAGAAAGTTCAGACTCTTGGCCAATTCACTCCGGACGTGAGTATGGTGTTGCCTTGTGGACTTGCATCCATTCTTGTGACACTTCTGTCGATCGAGTCCCTGGAGAATCACATGTGGCCAAGCGCTTCACACATCGAGGTGCCAAACCACAGGAAATCGGACACCACAGCTCACGGCTCACGGCTTGCACGGGGTGGCTTGCACGGGGTGGTTTCCAGGGGATGCTAGGTGCTCCGATGTGTTTTTGCGATTCTCCGGGAAGCTTTTGAACTTAAAGCAAACATGCACTCTTTCAGTTGCGGTGAGAGAGAGGGAGACCCGGCTACATAGCTTTTTACACGTTAGCTAACGTGTTCCATTTGCCTTCACTGCAAAAAAACAGAAAGGAAGCAGGCTCTGCCTGTAGCTCGTGCCGCCCTTGAAATTTTGTTCATTCGACACGCAGCAGTTGCAGCTTGCCATAGCCGCGGAACAGGAAGATCTTGTGAGCTGAATGAGCTCCGAGCCTCTTTTCCCAAGTTCATGGACTTTGTTCTTGGGTTTGGGCCATTTTACTTGGTGGCTCCCAGCCATCCGGTTCCTTAGCTTTTTAGCTTTTTAGTGTTTAGTGGTGTTTTCCGTTTAAGCCACTAAAAGTTAAGCTTTTGGTGGGGGATCTGAGGACACAGCCCAGCTTAGTGGCTTGCACAAACGGGTTGGTTGCCTTCTTTGGCCAGTCCACTCGATCGGAAGTGAGATGGTCAACATACCGATGACTCGTTTTGGAGATGAACTGGACTCCCAGGAGCATTTGGTCCAATGCTGGAGCATTCGTGGCAGTCAAGGACCCGTGCGCTTTTGTTGCGGGTGTAGATTTGAATGGCTTGCTCAAAAGCACACTCAGATTTGCCCCAGTGAGCATAGCCTTCCCCTACATTGCTTTTCCTACAAACATTTTGGGTTTCCCGGGAAGGGCTGCTCTAACGGGGTCCAAAAAGTTTGTCTTTTCCAGGGATGTGGAGGAGAGCACCGTCTACCAGCTGATGTGGTGTTCGGATTTCTATAAGTTTGTTTAATAAGCTGGAATTTGGATGTATCCTTCGGGACACCAGGCACACACACTTTCTGGGATTGCTTTCCTTTCAAGACAACCTCGTGTAGCAATGCAATTCGCACAATTGGTTCCAAGACGCTTTGCGGCTTCAATTCCAAGCAAGCAATGCTGGTGTGTCATGCTAACGCCACGTAGTCCAAGGTTGCTTTGTCATGTCTCACTTGCCCAACGCCACCCCTCGTTTTGCAACCCCATGGTGTTCCACTTGTAGTCAGGTTTCCTCCAAGAGTCCAATTTGAATTTCCGGATCCTTTGGGAAAGTGAGTATATTATGAGGTATGTTTCTGTGAGCAACTCCGCGGCACAAGTTCGATGGCCACTGGTGTCTTATGCGGTCGTCTTGCAAGGAAAGAACAACGTTTCCATGTCTTTGCGGAATGGAGAGGCTTGCAACGTTGGAAGGCCACTCTTTGTGGATTTGCTAAAACTGGCAATTTTGGTTGATGGTTCTTTTGTGAGGGATCATAGAAAGGCCCCCTTTGCATGTTTAAATCTTTGTAACCATCTCAGTAGCTTTGAGCGAACTATAGCGGCGTCACCGGAGGCTTGGCCTTGCGCAAGATGAAGTTTGTCAGGGGCTTCCCCCCATGTTGGATCAACTAGAATGACGTACCCAAAATTACTGTCTTCATTGGGTTATATATATATATACTGTTCTGGGTCGTTGCATCGTTATATCCAATTGGATGTCCACCAGTCAGGACCCATTGCCCGGCTCCTAAGCCCATGTTGCAACATGGGCTTAGCTCACAAAATTGAACATTGTGGACACAAATTAATGAGCTGCCTGTGCTAGTGGTTCTTTTTGGCATCCCTGATCTGGGACAAGCGAGACCTCGAGGATGCTGGAGAGAGAGACACCATGCTTTGCCGATTATACCCAGAGAGAGTTGTTTGAGAGAGACGCCAGAGAGATACCCAGAGAGATTCCCCGATCTTACCCAGAGAGATACCTTGCTCTTGAGAGAGAGTTGTTTGAACCATCCACACTCCCGCCTTTGCGCCTTTCGGTTTCGGCGCAGGAGGACGGGTCCACGGTGGTTTGGGGGGACCCGGGCGCCGGGGGCGTCTTGCCGGAGGCGCGTCGCTGTGGTTGAAGTGCCGGCTGCTGGTGCCGGTTGGCTCAACCAGCCGAAACCTGGCAGATTCCTATGGGTTTTCTGTGGTTGCGTACTGGTTGCCTGAGGGTTTGTCTCAATTGGCCCATCTCGTTCTGCTTTGTTCATGAAAATCCGCAGAAAAAGGGGTCTCCTTTTCTGGAGCAACAGCTGCCTCATAGTGCTTTAAACAATCTTTTGCAGAGGTCCCCCTCTGAGATATGCCAACATCTATTCAAACACCCAGCATGCTGGGGCATGCTGGGACCTCTTTTGATATGAGTGTTTTGTGTGTTGGTGACAAACTATGGCTGCCAGAATCCGAACAAGATTTGCGGAACTCTGAGGTCACCTGGAGGTGGAGCTGGGCTTGAGTTAGGGACCCAATCCACAGTGTTCAGTGGCCAAGTTTCTTTGTGGTTTGGGGGTTGCTCACTGAACGAATCCGTCAATGTAGTTTCTAAACAGGTTGCCGGTTACAATTTGCAGTTGGTTAGGCCTTAAACCTTTCCCTTTTCGCCCATTTCGATCGAGTTTGTTTGGGTGATGTTTAAACTGGACATGTGGGCAATGCGGACTAGAACCACCACTGGGTGCTGCATCGCCCATATGATCGTCCAGTTCGCCTAAGAGACACAAAAGGGAGATGGATCATTCTGTATTTCTTTAGCGAGCTCGCTGATTCGGGGGTTAAACGAGCGAAATGACGAGAAGAGGTCCTTTTGCTTCGGGATCCAATTGTGAATTTGCTGATGGAAGCTCCCACCAATGAACATGGAAGCTGACAGGAGGTCCCTTTAAAAGGAAAATGGTCTTCCAGGACCCCCCCTGTCAGGTTCCATGTTATTTGGTGGGAGGGTAATTAAGCTCCAGCATGATAGAACGACCCCATCAGACCCCCCATTCAGCACCAGTAGGGCTGTGGATGCGGGCCAGGCAGAACTTCATGGTATCGACTCGGTCTACTCCAACATCCGCGCTTTTGCGGCGATCACATCAGGCGGGGAGCCGAGGAACTCTAAGAAACCCTCAAAAAACAAAAAACGGCACAGCACCTCTAGGAGCCCAAAGAACCTGGAGCAATGCCAGGAAACCTTCTGACAAATTCTGGCCCTCCGCATTCCCCCGAAACCTTTGGAGCGCTCTCACCCGGAAGGCTTCTTTCCTTTGGTTGCTTCCCCACTGAAAGTGGTCTCCTCCAGAAAATGTCCTTTTTCTACCAGCCTCACAATGGAGCAACTGGATTCCCGAATTCATGGTATTTCCACCAAGATCACCAAGTGCAGCTACCAAGAAACATAAACAAGGACACTAAACAACGATCAAGGGAAGCTTCTTCGCAAGGAAAAGGATACCACACGCTTACATAAAACAAGCTCACCCATGAAGCTTTTAGGTTTGTGAAAAGTAGTAAGTACCCACTTCAATGCAATACAGGCAGCCAAACAACACTCCATGACTACATGTGTTGTTAAAGTAGCCCACTTGAATTGTTCAAGCCCCTGTAGGGAACCCTCAAATCATAGTGAGTAACTTCCACTCACTACACTGGTTGAAAGTTCCAAAATTGGCTATGCGTAAAGGGACTCCACAGTACCGTTGCAACAACCTGCGAATGTTGGATCAATGGAGCCAGTCATGTCTTAAAGTCGGGGATCCCGAAAATGTTTGGTTTCTTTCTGGGTTTGAAACCAAGCAGGTTGGTAGCCTCCTTGAAAGGGGAGTTCCACAACAGCCAACCCAACCCAACCAACCCAACCCAACGCAACCCAACCCGACCAACCCGACCTCTTTGAGGTGGCCGTGCGGTCGCCTGGGGCGCCCCTGGCTGCGGGGGCGATGCCAGCGCTGTGCAGCATCAACTCGAGGAACGCGAGTGGTTGGCTTCTGGTTTTCCTGCACTTACTCGGTGGCAAGCCCAGTTATCCTTGTTTGTTTTGTTTTTGCCTTTTGAGCTGTTTTAGTTGGTTTAGTGGTTGGGTTTCCATTTAACCCACTGAAATAAACTTGTACCCTCCCATCAACTTACGTGGAACCTCTGACGTTTCGGGAGGTTGTGGTTTGGACTACCGGGCGTGTGGGGGTAAAACACGCAACAGCCATGATGTAGGTCCTTTTCTCTTGGGATCCAATTCTGATTTTAGGAATTTGAACTTAGCATGTGCAGACTGTTAGTGTAAAATAGGATTTTAGGGCGAACGTCATTGGAGGGTGTTGGAGGTCTATGTTGTTTTGACCTATGTTCGAATAGTTTGTCTTGTTTTCGGTCACCCTCAAAGACATGTTATTGAATAGCAATCGCTTAGCACACAGAATCCCGACTGTTGATTTCCCACCTCACTTCCTGAGTTCCTGGACTTAAAACCTTTTGGGAAGACCATGTTGGTGATAAAGAAGAAGTTCCTGAACTTTTGTTTGATACTCAAAGGTTGGTTTCTCACTCATTGTTTGGCGGCTCTGGGCGCCGAACTGCCAGGACGTGGTGGACATCCGCGGCAACGGCCGAGCCTTTGCCGCCATGAAGGTGGGATGGTATCTCCGGTCGGGTGATTCGAGGGCCCGGGAAACGTGTGGAACTCCTTGAATTGCCTGGTCGATTCCCATGAAACGACGGGCAAGTTGACCCAACTTGGATGTACTTCCTGAAGGGCTCCTTGTCGATTCCCATTAAAGACTGTTTGACCCAACTCGGATGAAAATCCGGACGGGCAAGTAATGGTGTTTGTTTTTTCCCCCAAGCATTGTTACCATGGGGGATTTAAGCCCGGCGAAATGGAACTGGGGGGGGATTTCGACCCCCGGAGTCTGGAGTTCCAGGTTTTCTTTAGGGGACTGGAACATGGAATTGATGACCCTCACACCCTAGCCCTGAACGCGCATGGAAATCCTAAGCTGCTTAGCTTTAGTCCGTCAAGATATGTTTATATTCTCAAGCAGGCGAAGTCACTGCTCTAATTGTGTTTTACTTTTGGTGTGTTCTCAGGTTGGGCCAAGTAATGTTTGAGGAGCGATCCTGTCCACATGAGGAGCGGTCCTGTCCACAGGAAAGGACGATATCTCCATCCAATGTGGTGGGGATAGCTCCTCGAGATCGTTTCTATTTAGAGCTCCCATTTGCGGTTGCTTTACTTGTTCGGTTTAAGTTGGCAATTGCCATGGGATGTGTTTACTCGTGGATGTTGTGTTGTTTGCCTTGCCTTTCAGATGTTTTTCCAGGTTGGCATCTGGAATCTGGAGAAGGTACATGCTCATGGCCCGGTCCCCGATTTATCTTATTTGCTCTTATCCTCCCTCCAACAATGGAAGTTTGGAAGACGGCTTTACCGAAAGGGGAAGCCCCCGACCGTCCACTTCCATGATTGGTGGAAAAAGGGGAATTGGTGGCTTGGAGATTTGGACCCCTGTGCTCTTGAGTGAAAAGGGGGAGCCTCCTGATATGCTTCAAGCTACAACTGGGGGCTGTCCCAGATGCCCTCATCAGATGGAAGTTTTTCTTACGAGCAGATTCAACAAGTCTTAACGGTCGACCTTTGTGGATCCACACATTTGGGACGGTTGGAAGATTTGGTTTGGGGGTGAACTCAATTGCCGAAAGCGAATCAACCTCTTGACCTTTTGGTTGCAACCCTGTTTGGTAACCCATGTTTTGTCATTGCCCCAACAGGTTTACCTTGTATTTCTGGATCCTTTGGGCAGAGTAACCGACCCTTCGGCAGGTTGATTCCGGATTCTATTCAGCGATCTCACTGTCCCAAAACAAGGCGACCATTTAACCTTTTGGTATCCCTGATTTGGTCCATAGTCATTGCTCCAATTGGTTAACACTTTATGTCCAGGTCCTTTGAGCTAGTGACGATTAAATGGGCAAGCTACCCCTATGGCTCCATGTCCTTGGAAATCCGTCTTCAACGTAGGCGGACGGCGGCGTCGTCTGCTGGGGCAACCCCGACTTCGGCGGGGACGCTTCTGCCACGCAGCACATGCTGAAGCACAGCATTGTGGACCCCACTGGGGCACTCCCCGACTTTGCTGCACGTTTTAGAGGTCCAAATAGAGCTTGGACCCTCAAACTCCAATGCGGAGCCTTTTGGGCCCAAAAGACCCCAGAAAGATCTTGTGTTGAAGACCCGCGAATTGCTCTACAGGCAACTGCTCCATATCAAGACCCACCCTTCGGGCATAGGCGGATGGGTGTAGCCCTCGTTGTATGAGGGCCCTCAAACTCACAGATCCACGGACCCTGCTTTGCTTGCTGCTACTACTGGCATGTCAACAACAACATCCGTGGCATTTGTTTTGAGGAATGTTGGGGTGCTGTTGGCGGAGTGCTTCGCGCTGAAAACTAGCATTTTCCGACCCAAAGTCGCATCCTGGGGGAATAGACCCCTCGAAGGCTGCAAAGTGGGGAACAGACCCTTGAAGAAAATGTTTCGGAATGCAGTTTCGGAACCTTTGGGGGCGTCCCACGACTACAAATTCCTTTTATTTGGCACAACATGTCCTGTTCAAACTAACGATAGACCAGTAACTGGTGTCATCTTGAATCAAGGGATCAGCCCATTGGGGCAACGTTCCTTTTGGTTTGGGGTAACACGTGGGTGTGTATTTTTTTGAGGCTACCATTTTCGCATTGTTTCAAAGGGAGCCCAACCGGAGCACAATTATGTTTTCGGTGGGCCCCCCGGATTTTGATACATACCCATAGTTCTTTCATACAAACCAGCAGCAAGATCTCCAGGAAATTATGTTTCCACATACCCACCAGGAGGTTCCTGGAGAACTTCCTGTAGCTAGTGGCTTGGTTGGAAGCTAAGGATTTTCCCATTACACTCTGGGATTGCACCCAGGGACTTTACCACAATTTATCGCAAATGAAACGACATATCCAGATTGTATTTGGATATAGGCTGCAATAGAGTGCTGTTTCAGAGGGCTTAATCCCAGGGTGTAAAAGGAATACCATTGGATGAAACCTCAGGTAACCCTAGTTGGTTTGGATTGGTGTGGATTTGGATTTGAACCGGTGTTTGTAGAAGGCAAATTAAAGGGGGGTTCCCACCCCGTTTCACCACCAAACCGCCGATTTCCCTCTATGGAACCTCCAAGAGTGGCGATTCGTGAAACCACCAGGGAAGTTAGATTTTGCAACGTTATCGGTAAATTTAATGACTCCTGTCCAACACTTGCTGGTTCTCAGCAGGGAATGAGAATTGAAATGACCCCTCCAAATTTTATCCCCTATGGTTTCTCAAAGCCCTGGGCCAGTCCCTGCTGAGCACCAGCAAGCAAGCATGAATCAGAGAGGAGCTGAGATCAGCAAGTCAGTGCACCCTATATCTTCGCATCCTGTGTCTCTGCATTCAATAGACTAGTAATTGTGGTGCAAGGTGCAACCCAGAATCGCGTTTGGTGTCCGCGGGAGTGCTCGCAAAATTTTGGCAGGAAAATCTGCGGGAGCACTCACAAAATGTCTGGTACTAGGGAAATTATGGCCGATTCTTGGCAGGGGTGCAGATGCTGGGGAAACTATGCCCGTTTGGGGATAGACACCGCTTGGAAACCATGGTTGAAGCCATTGTTTTGTCGGCATTTACCGGAAAATCAACTCAGAAACCCATTTTTCCCCGGTTTGCCGGCATTTGCCAGAGAATCAACTCAGAAACCAGTTGTTTTCCCGGTTTGTTGGTTTTTCCGGGGAATCAACTCAGAAACCCGTTTTCCCGAAAGCATGGCGAAGGGTTCTTCCGCTGGGTTCACTTGAGTTGTTCTCATGAAAATCATTACAAGATATCATTGCAAGAATCATCATCATGAAAGTCATTGCAAGGAGTCATTGCAAGGAGTCATTGCAAGGAGTCATTGCAAGGAGTCATGGCAAGGAGTCATTGCAAGGAGTCATGGCAAGGAGTCATGGCAAGGAGTCATTGCAAGGAGTCATTGCAAGGAGTCATTGCAAGGAGTGCAAGGAGTCATGCAAGGAGTCATTGCAAGGAGTCATTGCAAGGAGTCATTGCAAGGAGTCATTGCAAGGAGTCATTGCAAGGAGTCATTGCAAGGAGTCATTGCAAGGAGTCATTGCAAGGAGTCATTGCAAGGAGTCATTGCAAGGAGTCATTGCAAGGAGTCATTGCAAGGAGTCATGGCAAGGATTGCAACTTGCACTTGACTCCTTGCACTTGCAACTTGCACTTGACTCCTTGCACTTGCAACTTGCACTTGACTCCATGCACTTGCAACTTGCACTTGCTCCATGCACTTGGCTCCTTGCACTTGGCTCCTTGCACTTGGCCCCTTGCGCTTGCAACTTGCACTTAACTCCGTGCACTTGCGACTTGCACTTGACTCCATGCACTTGGCTCCTTGCAACTTGCAATGGCTCTCATGACTCCTTGCAATGACTCCTTGCAATGACTCCTTGCAATGACTCCTTGCAATGACTCCTTGCAATGACCTTGCAATGACTCCTTGCAATGACCTTGCAATGACTCCTTGCAATGACTCCTTGCAATGACTCCTTGCAATGACTCCTTGAAACAAGCAAGGAGTCAAGTGCAAGTTGCAAGTGCAAGGAGTCAAGTGCAATTGACTTGCGAGGAGTTAAAATCTCTTCTTAGGGCGGCGGGGTAGTGCCGACGACACTACACGAAAATCGACCCTCTGCGGGGATCGGCGTGGTCGAGGTGCAAAAACCCATGGTTTTTTGCGATTTCTAAACGCGACCCTCTGCGGGGATCGGCGTGGTCGAGGTGCAAAAACCCATGGTTTTTTGCGATTTCTAACCTGCTCGCGCGACCCTCTGCGGGGATCGGCGTGGTCGAGGTGCAAAAACCCATGGTTTTTTGCGATTTCTAACCTGCTCGCGCGACCCTCTGCGGGGATCGGCGTGGTCGAGGTGCAAAAACCCATGGTTTTTTGCGATTTCTGCTGCTCGCGCAACCCTCTGCGGGATCGGCGTGGTCGAGGTGCAAAAACCATGGTTTTTTGCGATTTCTAACCTGCTCGCGCGACCCTCTGCGGGGATCGGCGTGGTCGAGGTGCAAAAACTTTTTTGCGATTTCTGCGGTGCTCGCACAACCCTCTTCGGATCGGCGAGGTGCAAACCCGCGACTTTTGTTGTTCGAACTGGTCCTCGGGAGTTGTCTCGTGGTTCGCGCGCCTGCTCCCGGAACCGGCGGGTCGCGGGTTCGATTCCTCCCTGGTCCGCGGGCGGGCGTCGCAAGATGCAACTTGCATTTTAAAGCAACTTGCGCAGAGCAACTTGCGCAGAGCAAGTTGCACAGAGCAACTTGCGCAGACCAACTTGCACCGACCAGTTTGCGCAGAGCACCTTGCCTAGAGCAACTTGCGCAGAGCAACTTGCGCAAAGCAACTTGCGCAGAGCAACTTGCACAGAGCAACTTGCACAGAGCAACTTGCAGGGAGCGCAATTTGCACAGAGCAACTTGCAGGGAGCCACTTGCAGGGACCAACTTGCCGGAGCAACTTGCGCGGAGCAACTTGCGCAGAGCAACTTGCACAGTGCAACTTGCGTAGAGACCAACTTGCACCGACCAGTTTGCGCAGAGCACCTTGCCTGGTGCTGTCTCGCGCTTGCTTCAGCAGCGTTGGGCCGACCTCGCTTGCGATGTTCTGCTTTCGGGCCAACCGTGGTCTAGTTTTGTTTGGGTTCGCTGGCGCGAAATGGATCTCGAGATCAGCCCTCCACGGGGTGAGTCACCCCGCGAGCGCGCGAGCTCGCAGGAGGTGGTGCCCAGTCTCAAGGCCTTCGCCGCGCTCAGGGAGGATCCCATCAGCGCCTCGGAGTGGGGTTTGGGTGGCTGGGCTTGGGGGCCCAAACCAAAGCAAGCCATGGTGAAGGTCCTTGTGGGTTTTGTACGGAAGCGCAAGAATGGGGTAATTCGCCTCAAAAAAGAAACGCCCATTTGTAGTAAGACATTCTCGATGAATTGCCCTTTGAGGTGTGGTTCAAAGGCACCCCAAATGCAGTGTGAAGCCTTCTGACCCTTCCTCGCTCCATACCCGCCTGGATGGGATAGGTAAGCAACATAACACTTGTTGGGCATCAACAAAAGCTGCATTTGTTCCTTTCTTCCTTCTTCCTTCCTTCCATCCTTCCTTCCTCTTACCCTCCCCATCCCTTACCCTCCCCATCCCTTCCCCTCCCCTTCCCTTCCCCTCCCTTCCCTTCCCCGTCTCTTCCCTTTCCGTCCCCTCTGTCCTCCCTCCCTCCCTCCCTCCCTCCTCCCTTCCTTCCTGCCTTCCGTCCTTCCTTCCTTCCTTCCTGGCTTCCTTCCTTCCTTCCTTCCTTCCTTCCTTCTTTCCTTCCTTCCTGGAAGTTTCTTTCTGGGGAAGCGGAAGGAAGGAAGGAAGGAAGGAAGGAAGGAAGGAAGGAAGGAAGGAAGGAAGGAAGGAAGGAAGGAAGGAAGGAAGCAAGCAAGGAAGGAAGGAAGGAAGGAAGGAAGGAAGGAAGGGAGGAAGGAAGGAAGGAGGGAGGACAGAGGGGAAGGGAGGGGGGCAGAGGGCGCACCAGTTATTACCTGGCCGCCTATGCTGTCCATGGTGTTTGCTCCACTCGAAAGGGGGGGGGCTGGGGCCAAATCAGGACCAGCAATTCAACACGAACAGCTAGTTCTTGGACACCATTTTGCTGCAACACACACGGGTTTACGGTGAGTTGGTTTAGGGTGTGTCGGTTTAGGATGGGTTTTGGGTGTGTTTAGGGTGGGTGGGTTTAGGGTGGTGTAGGATGGACTTAGGGTTGATTTAAGGTTGGCGATTGAGGGCAGACATCCTTTCATGGACCTACCTACACAACTTTCACAGGTTTAGGAGGTGTGGATGGTCTAACACAATGCCCACAAAGCAGCTTGTTTTCTTCCCCTGCTTTGCTGTCCTGGCCATTGAATCCAAATGGGGATCACCTCAATTCAGGTCCTTGGTTGCAATTTCTGTTTTGGTAAGTTGACAACCAATTGTTTTGTTGCTTCTCCGTTCGCTTGGTCAGAAACTGAGTGAATACCAGGGCCCTCAGACCAGTCCTACCCAAATCCTCAGTGCTCAACGAGCTTATCAACTGTTGGTGTCCCGTGTTTTCTTTGCGGGGGGGGGTGTGTGTTGTAGTCCTGATTCGTGAGTGTGTTGTTGCCTTTGGTTCATTGTTTCGGGGTGGGCAAGCCTTCCTAAAGTCAACCAAGGAACTCAAGCCTCTTCTTGTCCCAGGAAATCCACTGAAGGTCTGGCTTCCCCAAAAACGGGTTGCCATTTCATCATCAAGAGGTGATGCCCTAGTATTTCCCAGTGTTCTCAAAAACTTCCTTTGAATCGTCATGGGCTAAATTTGAGGATAGCCTGCTGAAACGGCTTTCCTTTTCTAGGTCCCCCAGTAGTGCCCTTTTACCCTTTTTTGGGGGAGGGTTCCCCTATTAAAAAGAATAAAACAAGAAACAAATAAGAAAAAAAAAAACGGGCGGCCATATTCTACTGGAGGGCCTAGTTTTTGTTTTTTTTCTTCGTGAGCTTCGGAGTCATCGCGGCTAGGCCTGGGCTACACCGTGATGACGTGGGGTGATGCTGCCACTGGAGGGGACTCCAGCAAAGTGGGCCGCCTCCTTATCGGCAACGTGCTGCGCCGCGGCCAAAAGCTTCCGTCATCCGCCCAGAAGTTGCCACCCTATTTAACACCCATCGCCAGCCATTTGCAGACCACCAAGCTTCGATTTCTGGTGCTCAGTAGGGAATGGGCTTTCGATGAATTGGTAGGGGATCCCCTTAAAGGAAGCCGCCAGTTGGATGGTTTTTCTCGCTATCAATCGAGTTCTCATTCCCTGCATCCCTCGAAACGGCAAGTTTCGGACAGCCGCTGCTTTTCCCCTTAAGTTGCTCCCATTCCCGGTGGTTTCCCTTGAAAAGATCGCCACCCTGCGATCATTGCTTCAGGTTGGCCAAGCGATATTCTTGCTGGTCCTCAGTAGGGTTCATTCCCAGGGTTGGGAATGAAGCCATAAAAAATGCCCTAGTTGCTCAACATCACTCTTTTTTTTGGAGATATCAAGGGAAGCTCAGTTGTTCAAAGACGACCTTTTGACCTTTTGGTTTTCCCTTCTTGGTCTGCTTTTCGTAGAGGTCCCAAAAGGTGATCACCGTTTAGTCCTGGGTCCTTTGGGCAAGTGAGGAAGTCGATGCTGCCCTTCGAGCCCACGGCTCGCCACTGTTTTCACTGGATTTCCCCGGCAGTTGCCCGCTTTTTCCTGGTGAAACGGGGGCCTTTCTGGTTGCCACCAACCCTAAACCCCTCAAACCCCTGAGGCTTGGCTTTACTGCATGCTACCAACCCTAAAACCCTCAAACCCTCAAACCCTAAAACCCCAAAAGCTTGGCTTCACTGCAAACCTCGAAAACTTGGTTGCCACTTTCCATTTTTTGCAGCCCATGCGCTCCAAACTCCAAGCGAGGCAGGTGGTGGCCAACGACTGGGCCTTCGCGGCGCGCCGGGACGACGGCCTGGTGGTCTGCTGGGGGGACGCGGACTCGGGGGGCGACGCCTCCCAGGTGGCGGAGAAGATCCGCGCCGGAGGCGGCGGCTTTCGGAGGGGTCGGAGGGTTCGGAGGGTGGAGGTAGGGGTCGGAGAGTTCGGGTGGAGGAAGGGCCTGGACCTGGAAAAAAACACGGGCAGTTTGTAAAGGAGGCAGTTACTGGAGCCAGCCAGGCGAGGGGGGCGATGGTTTTCTCTTCTTTTTTTCTGTTGAAACACTGGTTGTTTTGTTAATGTTTGGTTTTTTAGTGTGTTTTTTTTTGGCGGGGGTCCACTAAAAGAAGACACACACGCACAGACACACATGGCATTGATGGTGCCTGGATTGGATTGGTTTCATTCCATTTTCCAGGGCCATCTAGTTATGCCAAAGGGTCACATATGGTCGGGCCACCCCCTTGGTTAAACATGAAGAAAGCGCCAAGATTGGTGAAAGAACCTCCGTGGGGCCGGTCACAGGGCTCCGGAGCTGGTTGTCGCTCCTTGTTGCCATGTGTTTGTGGGAGAGGGGGGGTTGGGGGGGTTGGGGGGGTTGGGGGGGGTTGGGGGGTTGGGGGGGTTGGGGGGGTTGAGGGGGGTTGGGAGGGGTTGGGGGGTTGGGGGGGAGGAGTGTTTCTGGTGCGGTTATCTTGCACAGGAGGATTCGGCAGAGAGATCTTGCGCAGAGAAAACTTGCAAAGTGAGCTTGCACCCGGATGCTGGTGTCGAGCTAGAGAATTTGCGCGTAGATATGTTGCACAAAGAACTTGTGCAAACACACTTGCGTTGAGATCCTACCCTTTCACGACACTTGCGTCGAGAACTTGCGCAGAAAAACTTGCACAGAGAAGCTTGCAGAGGGAACTTGCGCATCACTCGCGGGAGAACTTGCACAGGGTGCAAAGGGAGCTTTCGCAGACCCACCTGCGTCGCTGCATCTTGTTTTTGGGCGCGCGCGCGTGCTCTTATCTTCGGCTTAGGTCATGCTTTCACGCCACCCGTCGTCTAGTTTTGGGTTGGGTTGGGGGAGTTGGGCATACATCAGGGGATGGGACGGCCAAGGGGTTGGGAGAGTGTCGGTGGAGGGTTCCACGAAAGGTAATGTTGGGTCTTCTTCGGTATGACCCTCTGGCTGGAAGAGTGGGAGCACTCGCGGAGGCCCTCAATAGTGGCAAAGAGGCTCTGGGTTTGAGGGGGTCAGCATGGCCGATTCTAATTTAGTATTTCTTGCGCAGAGGTCCGTGTTTAAGTTGTTTTGTTTGGAGGGGGAAACTGTCTATTTTTGAACACCCCAAAGCAGTCGCAGGGTCTTAAATCAAGGAACAAGTTCTATACTTGACACACCATTTCTTAACCCATTGTCAATCAACGAGGTGCGAAGTAGCCCGAAATAGCCCAACATATTATGACCCACACGAAAAGAAAACCAAATGGGGATGGCCAGTTTCAGCACCCAACAACAAACCCCTTGCGTAAATTGGCTAGGACCTACCTAGGAGACAACGAGCTCGCCCAAGACGAAGGTCACTTTCGTTGGAACTTCTTACTTCCAGCATTGGACGTTCCAGCAAGTGGTCAGACCCCACCATTGCTGACCCGACCCTTCACACCACTCTACCCCTACCCACCCTGACTACCCTGACCCCCAAATCGGTTCGATTTTAGGGGGCGCCTCAATGCTGTACAAGACCACGCGCGCCTTTGCGGCGGTTTTAGCCGACGGCTCCATCTGCTCCTGGGGTGAGATCTCCTGCGGCGGGGACTGCACACCGGCGCCAGCCCCAGTTGCAGCGCCGGGGCAAGGCGAAACGATTTTCTGACCTTCTGGATTCCCACTTTTGGCATTTGTCATGGCCCCAAAAGGAACCTGTAATTTCCAGATCCTTTGGGCAAGTGAGCTCCGGAAACATGCTACTTCAAGGCCAAATTGTATCAATGACCCTGTGTGTACCGAGATGCGGGCCAAGATGTCTGGGCCTTCAGGTCTGGGGCAACTAGGGGGTAATGCTTGTATTTTCTTTGCCGGAGAGGGTGCGCCATCTACTTGTAGTCCTGATAGGCGTTTTTGTTTTTTGTTTTTTGCGCACTCGCTCAGACGCTGCGCTCCATAGTCTTTGGCCAGTTCAGTTATTTTCGCCCAGTACCCCCAGACCCCGGGAGGTTGGAGGGCCATGTATCCACAAAAGCCAGCGGTGCATTCTCAATCCACCGCCATGTTAAGAGGAACCTGACTAATTGAGGGTTGCCTGACAAACTTGATGCACACGGGGGAAAAAACAAAAACGAAGCCTGAAACTTTGCACTCCCCTCTCACAACGGAGTGGGCCAGCCAAAAAGGGTTCCAATGCCTCTACCGGGATCTACCCCTTCGGGTGGTTGCGAACGGGACGCTTCGGGCTGGCACGAAGCAGCCGCTGAGAAGTTCCCTCCGGATGAAAAAGGAGCCCCGAACTATATCATACCATTCATACCCATTCGGCTCCTATGGCAACTTGCGGTTTCAAAGTCGTCGTCGTGTTGGGGTCCCTCCTTGGCTTCCTGATGTCATAGCCTAGGGGAAACGAGGTGAGAGCCCACAGTAACCACGCCTGCAAACTGCAGGTTTCTTTTTTTGGGAAGCCCCTTTTTGTTTGCGGAAAACAAAGAAATCTAAGAATTCCAAGTTGGACTTTACGAGGGTCTTCATGTGGAAAGCTACAAAATAGGAGGTGTCGGGTTCCTGCGTGTTTTTCGCAACCGATCCACAAGTTCTCGCACCTCGTGGCTGTTGAAGTGCGCCGGGGTGTCCAACCAATTCCGCGGCCAGTTTTGGTTTTGGGCTCAACCACCTGGTTTGGGTCCAACAAGTAAAAACCGGTTGCTCGACGATTCCGAACTCAAATTGCTGCGAGTCCGAAGCCTACGGCTCAGCTATCATCTCCTCACAACTGTTTTCTGAGCCGACGACCTGACAACGCCACTACATTACTGAACATAGCCATGTCCAAAAGGTGTTGCGTGACCGGCTACAGTGGTTCTTTGACACGTCCTTTTTCTCACTTGTCCAAAGCCGATCGACCTTTTGACCGTTTGATTTCCTGTTTGGTCCATGTTTTGTGGCCCCAAAAGGTGATCTCCTTGTATCTCCGGGTCTCCTTTTGGGCAACTGAGTTGGAGATGTTTCTTGGGAGATCTGTCTTTTTTGTTGGGGGGGAAAACCCCGGACCCCCACCATGCCCTTTTTGGTGGTCCTAAGGAGGCCACAAAAAAGGGGGGTCCCCTCAATAAAAGGCACACTCATGGGGGAGCTTGCCACCTGGCGCCGCATTGTCTCTCTCCCAGGCGGAAGTGGAGCTCGCGGGGGCGAAGGTGGGAAGAGGTTTACTGGGAGGAACCGGCCCTTTGTGGTCGCAAGTCTTGCTGGTTTTCCATGTTCCCTGTGCAAAGCGAAAATGGAAAAGCCGAAAAAAATGAGACCACAAGGGATTTGAACAGCAAATCAATGGAACTGAGGAACCCCGACCCCCCTCCCAAAGGTAGAGGGGATGTTTAATGCGTGTGGAAGCTACCGTTTTTTGAATTATTTTGACGGACAATAGAAGGGCTAAGCACTGGCTTCCAACTTTTTGACAAGACCATTTTAGTGGTAGACTATTTACAGGCTCTACACGTTTTCTGACCAAACCACTCAGGAAGTGAACACTTTTCTTTTCTGGTTTTCCTGAGGGTACCCTTCTGGAGTGGTCTGTAAGGGGGAAGCAAGAGGGCGCCCACCATTTCGGGCGCCCCAAATCCCTGTTTTCACGCAGGGGCTTGCGGCGTGGGAACAGCGAGCGGGGGACGGGAGGTTCTGGACATGTGCGCCAACGACTACGCCTTCTGCGCGCGGAGCTCCACTGGACGCGTGGTCTCCTGGGGTCACTTGGCTAGACTTCGGACCGGTTTCGTGCCGGGGCGCTTCGGGTTTCACTTGTGCCCGTCCCCTGTGGAGTCTCTAAGCGGGGTGGTCCAAGGGGTTGCTCTAAGGAACCCTAAACAGCCTGAAGCGGGATCAGGGTTTAGTCCAATGTCTACATTTATGAGGGCAACCCATTTTTTGGATACTCACTTGTGACCCACACTTGCCTGTTGGAGGTTCGTGACGTTTGGCCCAGCATGGAGAATATTTGCACAGAGGGTCCAAGTGCATTCCTCCTGGAAGGAGGCGGGATAAGAGCGAGCAGCTGTTTGAAGTGGGTGTGTCTCAAGGAGTCTCAAGGCCTTTCCAAATGACCGGCTTCATCGGTTTTCCTTGAAAGGGTATCCTCAGCAAAGACACACCCGCGTCCCCGAAAAGGGGGTTCAACCCAGTTTGAGGGATAACAAAAAAAATACACCAAAAACCGCGTGGGATCCAAGCCTCCTAGGGTTAAGGGAAATCAGGGATCGTGTGACATCCAATGATAGGTTCGGATGAATCAAAAGAAGGTCCTACTGGAAAAAGAAGCCTACAAAAATGGTTCATTTCCTTGCTAGAGAACCACTCCTGATATGGTCCGAATCAATCCGAAGGTCACATTGAGTCAAACCCAAGGGCTGTTTCATGGAAAACCTCCCAGGCCACAAGATGTATGGCGGCAGCATCGATGAGGAGCACCCCGACGAGCCCGATCCGGGACGATTGATTCCGGTTCCTTTTTTTCACGGGTCAAGAACCGAGTTTCCAAGCTTCAACTGTTTGGGCATATGATGCCAGCGTTCAGCCAGAGCACATGTTGTACTTCCATGTTGCCTATATGTTTGCCCATTTGCTGTGTCTTTTCAAACTTTGATATTTGGTCAACTTCATGCAGCAAGTGTTATATGGTTACTTTCTAACCAAGAGCGCCTGTTCCGTATATAGCCGTAGTTGCAGTCTACTTACGTGGATTGAACATCCAAGCGCGCTTTTTACCGTGGGCTAAGACCTCAAATCTGACGCGAGGAGACGGCGAGCAAGCTGTCCAGCGGCGTGACCAAGATGATTGGCAACTCAGACAAGCTGCGCTTTTCCTTGTCGCTGTGTGCCAAAACAAAAGTGGTGCGACACTATGTTACATAGCTTTGAACATTCATACACATAGACATGCATAGAATTATGATATATAGATTAATGTTTATATCGAGATGGTTTGCAGATATAGGTTACTTTTCGAGAACAGGTACGTATTTGAAGTCGTGTGCGTGTGTTTGTGTGTGTGTGTGTAGGGATGGTTCAGGTCGTATATGCTATCTTGGGTTGATGTCCAAGCGCAAAGTGTCCATTGGCAGGCTTGGGATTTTCAATCACACACATATATATATATATATACATATGTGTGTATGCACAAATTGCAAGCACGTGCACCTTTTTGGTGAGAAACCTCCTTGGTGGCTGTGCCCAATGTCTTCCCCTAGCAGTATTTGTTTTTTGTGATTGTTGACATGGACACATTGCTCATATGGAAGGTCACGAAAAGACTTGCCGGGGGCTTGAGGGCAAATACTCAACGTGGAGCAAAGTTTGTTCGAAAGATACGTTCGACATGTGTGGCAGTTGGCACTTTCCGGTGGCCCGAGTAAGATAATGTAACTAACGCAATGCCAAACACAAGGCACTTACTCGCAACATCAGAAAGCAAAGTCGCTTGCAGCCTTCTATGGGGGAGATCCCATTGAGCACAGCATCATTCGCTCACGGGCTGGCTTCCAGGCCTCCAGGCCCTGTCAGAGATTTGCGGCTAAACCTTCCCTTTTGCCAGCTGAGAGGATCCCAACTGCGAATCCCAACTACGTCCAGTGGGCGTATCCTAACGGAGGTTTGTTGGTCTCCTGACTGCCGCTTGTCATGACTCAGAAACCAAGCTTTCCTTTGGAGTGAGACATCTCGAATGGGCTCTTGTAGGGGGTAAATCCACTATCCACCAATCCAAACCTAGTGAATATCATTCCAGTCTGGTGCTTGGGGCGCAAGTCTCGAGAGCTCGCAGGCAACAAGTTCTCGTTCTTGGCCATGAAGCGCTCGGGGACCTATGTCACCTGAGCTCCGAAAGGGTGTTCGAAGAGCTCGAGCTCCGCATCCTGCGCTGGCACGTTTGGGATTGCAAGGCTCCTTTTGAGGGGCCCAGTGGTGTGTCTCCCTGCCTTATGGGGTATCAATCAGACAACCATGAGTTGGTGGAGGGGGAGGCACAAGAATGATCCATGGGTCCATGGTTTTCTTTTCTTTTTGGGGGGGAGGATCAAGCATTGCCAGTTTCAGGCTATGGTCTTGGAGCAGAACAGCAGGATTGAACGGCGCAGTTGGATGTCCTACCTGGAGCAATGGCCAGCTTTCTGACTGATTTGGTTTCACAAGGCTTGTCTCTGACTCATGGGGGAGCCAGGAAAATGGGTGGTGTTTACTTGGTTTCCCTATCACCTGAAAATGAAAAAGATGCTCAAGACACCCACGTGGTGCTAGAAAAGCCTAAGCCACGCCCGCTGTACCCGTATGTCCGTTTCAAGCCACTCAGTTTCAGCAGCATGTGGTAATTGCACAGTTTGGGTGAAGGGATAACTTTCAAAGATCCCCCTAAAGTATCTCCAACACCAAACGCAGCAGCACAGACTGGAAGGGCACAATGACAGCTGCGATGCAAGATGCGTTGCAGGCTGTTGAAGTTTCCATTGGGCGAGGAATGCGTGGAAGAAGTGGCGGGCTCTTCGCGGATGCCAAGGTCTATATGGATGAACTGACCTATGTTATCAGCCAGAAATTGGCCAAACTCTTATCATATCCTAGGTCCCCGAGTGCCCTTTTACCCTTTTTTTGGGGAGAGGGTTCCCCTAGCAAGATAGCCTTCAGAAAAAAAAGGTGGTACCAACTCATTCGAGCTTTTCCCAAAGCTGGAGGACCTATCGATTTGATTGCTTGGTGTGACCATTTCTTGTTTTAGGATCCGTCCCCCGCAGCCTGGGAGGCGTTTTTATTGCGGGGGGGTGAAAGACCAACCCAGTGCAATGATTCGTCCTTGGGGTTAGGATTGGAGCACCTTAGGCGTTTCTTTTTTGTTCTGATTTCAATGTGTTGGTTGCCCCGGCTGCCCAACAGAACTTGCAGACTAGACTGCTCACGCCCTGAGAATTCAGGGCCCCCTTTAGGGTGAGTTGTCCTTGGCACGGGCAGGAATCCTGTCAAACCCTGGCTTGAACAGTTGGGAAGGGACCTTCGTGGTTGCCTACTAAAAGTCATAGCCATATACACGTCCTGATTAAGTATTTTATATTGAATATGTGTTTATTCGAGGGACCACTGTAGGCTCAAGGTGCACGTGGTAAGTTGGTTGCCCAGTTCACTCAAAAGCTTTATCTTTGTTTCCCCATTTGCTGGACCTTTCCATTGCTTGCACCGTTCAGCGCCGGCCTGCTGATAAGGTGAGTCTTCGGCGATTTTTCCAGGACACCTCCCAGCAGCTAACATGGAACTTGACTGGTCCCGCAAGACATGTTCCGTCAAAGCGGCTGTCTTTCCTCCACGGTGAAAACGATGAAGGTGTAAATGAGTCTTAAATGAGGGCTCCATTCACGTCACCGCAACCCTGGATCAAAGCGCATCCGCTTCCCCCCTGCCGCGTGGAGCCTTTGAACAGGTTGCTCGTGTGCCGGGAAACGGCCATATAGTGCACCCACTTCCTGTCCCCGAAAGCAAAGACCAGCTCACTTCCCGAGTTTCAGGACTTTATACTTTTTGCGGTTTGAACCATTATAGTGGTAAATCACAAGTATACGTTAATGTTTGAAGTCGATGGGCTGCTCCCTCACCTCAAAACCTGGCCAAACCCGAAGGGCGGGAAAGTGGCTTGGTGTCTGCCGGGGGCCAGGTTTTTATTTTCCCTGGCAAAGCCAAGCAAGCAAACAAGAGAATTTGCTGTTCCTCAGTTTCTCACTTCCTTCAATCCTTGTTTTATCAGGGTCAGCGAACAGCAGTATCGCCCACACCCTCGGCTCCTGTTTTGCAGGTGCCAGCTTGCCAGATGCGCGCCCGCCTCAATGGACTGTGTCTGGAAAATGCCGGTTCCTCGCACTGTATCTGCCCGGTTCAATTTGCATCTTGGTAGATGCTTCCATGGGTGTGGCTCAAAATTCAACAGGTGGGGTTACGCAGGTTTTGGTCCATGTTTCCACTTACCAGGGTTCCATTTTGGGTACCGGTTTTTGAGCCACTTCCCCATCATTCCAGGCAAGGCCCCAGTTCGATTTTGTCCTGGCCACTCGTTGGAGCAGGTCAGATAAATATAACTAGCAAACAGTCGCTTGTTCCACTGGGGTGTGTTTGCATGATTCGCACTTGGGTAGTGGTTTGGGGGCTATTTTCGCCTGACATATTTTTGATTCGAGCCCCACTGATTGGGGGTGTCAAAGCGAAACCACTCATTTGAGCAACACAGATCTAACAAATTGTGGATTTGGGTTTTGGCCCGTCCACTCAGGAAGTGAGTTTATGAAGCGATGAACGCCCAAATGGGCTAGAAGGGCCGCCCAAATCGAAGGCCGCTCAGGCCAGGCTGGCTGGCCTGAAGATCCGCACCCGTGCGGCAACTCCAAAGAAGTGGTGGAGTCTTATCCCAGTAGTGCCCTTTTGCAGTTTCTTTTTGCTACACCACAAAAAGGGTACCCTTATTCTAACCCCTCTACTGGAGGACCTAGTACTTCTCCCCCCCCAATCAACATGGAACCGTGTGACGTGCGGGGGTCCGATTTTCCGGGTTTCCTTGCGGAATTTCCTCAAGGCAAACAGCTCGGGGCAAGGGAAGAAAGGTGACCTCGAGCCTGAGACGTTCCCCGCCCAGGGACCCGAGGGACCCGGAGGGCTTCGAAGGCTTTGGGGCCATCTTGGGGCGATGGCGCCAGCAGCCGGGGGGCCCTGAGGCGAGGCAGCGAGGCAGCGAGGCGTCAGCGGCGCAGCGGTATCCAGGATCAGGGATCACTGGGGGTTTTCTCCGACCACTTCCGGGATACAAGGGCTAGGTCCCTTTGACCAACTTTTTTGGGGGAGGGTTCCCCTACTAAAATAGACTACAGAAAAAAGGGTACCCTTATTCTAACCTCTCTACTGGAGGACCTAGAGGGAATCTCTTTCCTGGAAAGGGGGGGCAAAGTCTTTGGGAAGCCCTGTCTGTTGTATCACAGCAGGTTCCATTTCCCATAGCCCTGCTATGGATCAGCGGCTTCGGTGGGTCCAACTTGCAACCCTTCAACCTGTTTCCCTTCCGCTCGCTTCCCCGAGTTCTGTTTCAGACTTTAGTCGGACAAAGTTTTGGGAAGGACAAAGTTCGTTCTTGTTTTGGCCCGTCCACTCAGGAAGTGAGGTTTCCCATGCCCAAAATCCCCTTGGTACAGCCAAAAAGCAGTGGGGTAAGAGACGGGGTAAGAATACCGCGGGAGGTTCCTCCGAACCTAGAGCTTCCCTTTTTTTCCCAACTTGTGGTGGACATCATCCACAGGCATTCCAGCTTGACACATTATATTGTTGGAAAACCGGGGAGGCCTTGGACCGATAGCCATATCTTGTTGGTCTCCTAAGGCGGCTTCCATTTCAATATGCGAGGGGGGGTCCTCTTTGCGCATTTTGGGGGTCCCAGGAATAGCAGAGAGAGAGAGAGAGAAGGAAACAAGTTTTCTACTAGTGGTAAGGGCAAGGGGGGCCCCAATGATGGAATTGCGAGGCCCAACAGGACGTCAACAGGGCGCAGCAGATCGCATCAGGCGATATTAGGCAGTTGCCCTGCTGCGGGCCCTGCCTCTTCTTTTGTGGTTTTGGGTAGCCGGGGAGGGTAGTTGACAAGCCTTTGTTGGACTACATTGCCGCTCTGACATAATCCCGAAGTGGAGAGTCCCTTCAGGATTCCAAAAAAACTCAGCTTGGTGAAAGTGATAGGCCTCCAATGGGAAGGGCCAGGCTCGCCAACGGTCGCCTTCAGCTTCCATGTGCTTCTATAGATGGGTCCAACTTCAACGCCAGGTGTTAGTTCCTGCGGGTTTTCCATGTACCAACCCGTGGGGCTGGCCCAGTGAAGGCCTGTTAAATCAGCAAACATTTCGCCGAGGTTCGCGGATTTCCAGCGCGCCGGGCCCTTGGAAGGGGAAGGAGGCCGCCTCGGGTTTCGAGTTTCCTTCAACTCCCCGGAGTTGGGTTCCTGCAGTTCCTGCCATCCATTTGCCTTGGAACCTCAAGCCAGTTTCTATACAAAACCAATCCAGGGACCGTAATCCAACCTTTGCGGAGCTGGGTGCGCAGATCCGGGAGCCCAGAAATTGGGTGGGCTTCTTGGTTTCGTGAAACTGTACCAAGCTGGAACAAAACGGGGTCCGTTTCGAGCCGCCAGATTTGCGTGTGTGTGTGTGTGTGTGTGTGTGTGTGTGTGTGTGTGTGTGTGTGTGTGTGTGTGTCGGTGCGGGGCTTTTGTTTTTAGCGCAAAGCCCAACTTTTGGGTGTCCCCCTTCGTGAAATATCCCAGAGGTTGGATCATATCCTGTCTATCTGCTAGAGCGGACTCTCATAGTGGCTGTTGGACCCAAAAATGGCATCGGTTGTGTTTTTGGTCTCTCTTTAAAGCTGCAACAAAGGGGCACCAACTCCAACAAACTGCACATCGATTTTGAGAGGCCTTGCGGAGAGTTGGCCGACCTTGGGAAACATGATCCCAGTTGCCCCAAGCCAACCTGAAACGACCTTTCGGTTTTGGCCACCATGTTCAATGGCTCCAAAATAGGTGATCACCTTTATTTCTGTGTCATTTGGACAGGTGAGATAATTATAGCAACAATCCAAGACTTGTCTTGCCCCTTTCTCACGATTGGCCTTTGGGCTTTCCTTCACTTGTAGGATTCAAGGCAGTGTGTGTTTGCACGTTTGGTCAACCCATAGTTTTGCCTCAGCTGGCAACTTGTTGCGGGCGCGCGCGTGTTCATCAGCTCAGTCAAGGTTGTCTTGGCAACGTTCTTTGCACCCAATGGACCGGTTGTGTTCAGGTATGTTGTGATGAGGCCGTTTGGCAGGATCCCATGAGCGGATCTCAATGATCACGGGGCTTCTCAATGTTGGTTATGTTGGTTCTTGTGGTTCAGAGTATTCGTTCTCCGCTGAGATGTGTGGTATCTCGCTGGCACTGTGTGCAAAAACCAACACGCAAGTGGGCCTCGCAAGTGGAGCTCTTTTCATCATTTTTTCTTGGTGAAGTCCATGGAGGGTTCGCTTGTGAGTGTCATACTCCCCCTCCCCATGCCTCTTTCCTCCCCCTGCCCCGCTCCCCCTCCCTGCATCTCAAAACCGGTGGGGGGGGGAATGGATTTTCCCGTGGGCATTCGGTGCATACCTCTGACCGCGGCTTCCTGGCCGTGGGCTCGATTGCCAAGCAAAGGCTCGCTGGCAGTGTCTCACTTTGCGACGAATCCAACTTGGAACACTCGTAAATCAAGCTTCCCATAAAGAAATATGAGACTTTACTTGAGAATCAAATTCCGATTTCAGGTCGGGCAATTTGCAGATGGAATGTTTTTCGGGGTTCCCCCCTGTATTTGATAATTTCTTTAGTTATGGCAATCCCCAAGGGTGAATCTGTTCATCCCTTGCAGGTGAGATGATCAGGGGAATCTCCAGCTCGAAGCTGCGTTGAAACAGAGCTCAGCAGGCGACTCATGGCAACTGAGCTTTCAGATAGCATCGCCCTGGACACGTAATGCTCAAGACTGTTTCGATCTTGGATAGGGTTTCGGTTTTGACTGGTTTCATGCAGGTACCTGTTTGAACATGTTTCTCAAAGTTTCTGCTTTGCACCAAACTTTCTGCTTTGCACCTAGGAACCCGTGTCTGTAGTAAGCAAGTCACTTTGGCCAACCGACTCAAAAAGCAAGTTGTTGACCTTCAGTTGCGTTGCCAGACCAATCTGTACCTTATCCACTTTTAGCTTTCTGGTTGTCCAAGTCCTGTTAAACCAGCCAACAGTTGCAGGGGCTCCAAGTTTGCCTAAGTCCGGACGAGCGCGGAGCCATGGACAGCCATTCGCCCATGGCACATGGCACCTGGAGGGTGGTTGGTGGCGCAGAGAAAGGCGGGTGTGTCCTTCTTTTGAGGGTACCCCAATTTTTGTGGGAAGCCACTTTATCTTGTGGGGGTTCTAGCCAAACTCAGTTGTCCAAAGCCAATCGACCTTTTGACCTTTTGGTTTTCCCATTTTGGCAACCATTTTTAGTAGAGGTGCCAAAAGGTTAACCTTTTAGTTCTGGGTCCTTTGGGCAACTGAGCAAAAGGTGGTTTTCCTTTTGGTTTTTGAGGGTTTCTACAGTGTCTTTTTTTAAAGGAAGCCAAAAGGACAACCACTTTTGCTTGGGGGTCGGGACCCCTACAACAAAAAACCCTCAGTTGAAGCGAAGTGTGGTTGCAACCGATCTCACCAACACCGTTTTTCACAGGGAACCTTCGCAAAAGAGCAGCAAGCACATGTGGCTCGGAGTTTGTAACAAATACTTCTTGTTATTTTTTGGGGATACATCCGCAGCTCCGTTACTTACAATACCCTGCCCAGCTTTTGGCCTTCAATTGCCAGGTGGAAGATGGCTGACGACTTTTCCAAGGTCACAACTGACGTTGAATCATCAGCATCATTCAAGGGACCCCCAACGGACTCTCATAATCGGGTTCGGATCACTTGCAGCAAAGGACCTTCAGGAGTTTAGTAACCTAGAGCATATTTGTTAGAAGCCATTTAGAACCACCCAAATCACTATCACCATCATCGTCACCGCTACCACCACCAGCACCACCACCACCACCACCACCACCACCACCACCACCACCACCACCACCACCACCACCACCACCACCACCACCACCACCACCACCACCACCCACCACCACCACCACCACCACCACCACCACCCACCACCACCACCACCACCACCACCACCACCACCACCAGCAGCACCAGCACCAGCACCACCACCACCACCACCACCACCACCACCAGCATCATCGTCCACCACCACAACCACCAGCAGCAGCATCATCGTCCACCACCACCGCCATCATCATCAGCAGCGTTGTCAAGCGTTTGTTTCCTTTAAGGAAGCCAGGTTGGGATGTATGGGCCAGGGAGCCTAAATGTAACCCTACACAATAGATTGCATCCGTTGGATAAACCGCTATGAATAGTGGGTTTGTCCTTCAGTGTGGCAAGCCCCAGCCTTTCTGCGGGACTTTGGGTCAGGGGGCTTGGTACGCGACGGTAAGAAATCTGCGGTCGTAGCCGCTAGCCCGTTTGGCTCAGAGCGGAATAAATGTCAACTCATGCGAAGTCAAAGACTGGTTGACCTGTTGAACTCTTGATGAATCCATGCCTTTCGGACGTTTGGTAGAATTCACCACCTTACAAGCCCACAGCTGCCTGCAACTGCCGACTAAGCACGTGCTGTCGCGCTGCACACAACCAGGCTCACCCCAAACATTGGCTCGGAAACCAAGGTCACATTGCCCCGGCAACCAGCCATGATCTAAATCCCAACTGGTGGGTTCCCCGCAACACATGCTCAACCAACTTTTGGTGGATTCCAGGCATCCCCTCAGGCTTTTGCGGTGTTCAGTTGGTCCAGTGGTTGGGTTTCCATTTCACCCCCTAAAGGTTAAACTCACTTTGAGCAGATCAGACAACGGAAAGCCCAGACATGGGGTTGCCATTAGTCTCTACCTAAGGCGACACTTGATTCAGCCTGGGCAGCCATTTCCATCGCCTCGTCCCATGCCGAATCAGCGGCTGCTCCCCGGAGCGCAGCTGGCTTTTTCTTTGACCTTGTTTCTTCTTTTGTTGCGGGGCACGGGGGGTGGTGGGAGGGGGGGTGGGGGTCCTTTGTTCTTTCCTTTTATTTGGGGGGGGGGGGCGGGAATGGTAGAGTTGTTTCGCTTCAATCGAGGGGTGTGGTGGACACATGATTGCTTGTTTGGATCTACCGTTTTGGAGCATTGTTTTTGTTTTTCAGGGTGTGAGTCTGCAGAATGACCTCCATGTACCCTTTTTGGGCCCACCCAACAAGCAAGCCCCTTTTTGCCTCAAGACATGTTGGGATGCAGAGGCTTCCTTGTTTGCTTGTGGGCGCTGGGCAGCATGCGTTCCAGTTGTAACCACTTTCAATTTTTCCCGCCTTTCTGTTAGTGTTTTTTTAGGGGAAACCAAAAGGAGAACCACACTTGTTGGGCCCCGTATTTTTTGAAACATGTTCATGTGTATATGTTCGTCCTATTTGACACCCAGTGTGCTATTGCAGGTCGACTCACCTGTTGCCAGGGTCACTGTTTGCAAGTCGCCCCCTTGAAGCCTGAGGAAGAGTCAACTGCGCTTGGGCCAATGGTTGCCATTACACGCGGTGGTTTTTTGGCTTTCCGACATGGAAGCGCTGTTTGTTTGAAGGGACATCGGAATACTTGCGTTGGGTTTCTTGGTGGCTCCCTTCCTAAACTCCAGAAGGGATTCTTTTAGAGTTTAGGTGTAGCTTCCATATTTACCCCGCCAGTTCACCATTGATTCACTTTCACTGCCATTTATCCCACCAGTTAGTCCACTTTCTGCTCGGAAAAAAACGACGCGAGCCCAGGTGTCTGGTTGGTTCTCCCTTGCGCTGGCCCCAAAAAGGTCGGGGAGCCGGAAGTTGGAGCGAGGCTGTGCGACATCAGCCGCTCGGGGCAGCTGTTGGAGCTGGGCGTCGACCCCCTGGCGCGGCCGGACCTCAAGAGTTTGGGCGTGCAGCGGCCCGGACACAAGTTGGCGTCCTCCAAGAGCAATGGGCCCTTACTTACCTCTTAAAAACACAACTTTTCAACTTTTTGGCTAACATGGGTTATATGTCTGTAAAAGATTAACTTCCCCAGGGCTTGGAGTTTTAAGGGGTAGGCTTAGGATCGGCTGACATGGTGCTGCCTCAAACTCAAACGGGGGTAAACAGGAGGCAAGGAGGCAACTTGGCTTGCCGCTGACTTTGAAGGAGCCTTCGTTGCCAGCGCCTGTTTTTTTTTGGCATCCCTGGGCTGGGACAAGCGAGACCTGCATGCTGGAGCGAGAGGGAGAAGGAGGTTCTTCAAGCTTTGGCATGGTAAGTAGGCTTGGAAGATCTTGGAAGACTTCTACTTGCTGGGCATAGTTATGCGGGCAAGATTGGGAGTTACTGTATGTAGTTATTTACATTCTTGAAGAGCTGATTCGAATGTTTCAGAGCTACCCAGCGTCTTGGGCTAACCTGGGCGTTGAGAAGACTTCTTACTCGTGCATGGCTCATCATGCCATAATCTCCGGAGCAGATAAGCTCAAGCTTCGTAAGACGAGCTCCATGACGAAGGTTCTCTTGGGCATCCCGGACTTCCAATCGACGAGTCTTAGTGCTTTACCTAACGTTCAATCTCAAGCGGAAGCGAACAGGAATGTTTAGGGACAGGGTTCCCTTCTCGAAATGTGACCTCCAAGCGTTGTATTGGCAGGCATTGAGCCCGTCCTTCCGCCATTTCTTGCATTTGCAGGTTTCACAATGAGAAAAAAACATATTTGTTTCTTCCTACGCTTTGTATGTTTTGGGAGGTCCATTTTTTGTGGCAAACAACAAGTTTTGGCCAATCCACTTAGAAAGAGATATGGCCATGGCTAGTGCATAGTTCTAATAATTTTGGGCAAGCGGGAGTTCTGGAGCCCAAGCGCAACTTCTTAGATTGTTTCAGCAATGTCCATCTTGTCTCACTCTCTGAGTTCCTCGACTTCGTACTTTTTGGGAAGACCATGTTGGTGGTGAGCAATCTGTTTAGTTTGGACTGTTGTTTGGCCCATCCAGGTGCTTCCATACACAAATCAAACTCCACGTTGTTGTTTTTTTTCCCCGAAGGTGTTTCTTTTTCCCCTTGCTGGGTCCTTCGGGTCGGTTCCCTCGGCTTACAACGCCGTGCAAAATCCACACGGCTTAAGCGCTTGCCACACAATCAATCCCGTTGTTCAAACCACTTTAGGTTCACGCATCACCGCCATAAAACGGACTCATTCCCTGAGCATCTCGACTTGACGTGGTTGGGGATATCGATTGTTTTTGCCCAATCCACCAACCATGAGTCTTCTCGGAGGATGATGTTCAACGCAAACCACAGGCAACAATCCAGAAACGGGCGTCTCTTAAAATAGAGGTCCCCAAGCACAACCAGCGCCTGTTCCTGTTCCCTTTCCCCAAAAAGGGTGCAACCATCACCCCCCAAAAAACCGCCCGGTGACCGCCTTAGGACCGAGACCTCCTCCTGGACGGCCTGGTCGGAGCAGCTCCCCCACGCCGGCGCCGGCCTCGACGCCGAGAGCCTCGAAGGCGACGGGCTCCGGCGCCAGGCGGCGGCGGGGCAGGTGCTGCGCCTGGCCACGGGATTGCGCCTTGGAAGTGGAAAAGGGAAGCTCCATTTTTCCGAGGGGAACCTGTATCCCCTTCCATTTCCATTCATTCTAGAGATCCGAATCTTTCTAAACCTGAATCGGAAAAAAAAACAAACGGGGGTTTGTTTCGAGGGGTTAGTTTCATGTTGATTTACCTTTACCTACCATTTGGGGGGTGACTTTGATCATGGCAATTCTAGGGCTACCTTCCATTTCCGGTCTTTCTAGAGATCCGAATCTTTCTAGAAAACCTGAATCCCCCCCCAAAAAACGGCTGGTTTTTGAAAAGAACGATGGTTGGAAAGAATGGGGAATCCAACCCTAGAACTTTTGTTTGTTTCTCCCAGCCGTCCCCTTGCCTTGGCTTTTCAGCTGTTCAGTGCTTAGTGATTAGATGTCCTTTTAACCTACTAAAAGTTATACTTTTAGCGGGGGATGTGAGCCCAGTTTAGTTTCACTTTTTGGGGTTGGTTGCCATTTTAGTGCTAACTAATTGAAAAACTGTTCAGTTACTCATTTGTTTTGGCCAATGGAAGTGAGCATTAGGCGCCAAGCGGCGTCCAAAACGGATCAACCTATGACAACTTTGATACCTCTTGGGAAGCCCAAGTTGGTGCTAAATAACTGTTTCGACTTTTTTTACCCATCCACTCAGGATGTGAGACTTTGGGTTGTCAACCACTTTGGCGACCCTGTTTTTAGTCAAGGTCCCTAGAGGTCCTTGTACTTCAAGGTCCTCTAGGCAGCTGAGGGGTCTCCTCCAAATGCCTTCTCATGTTGCTTTGTAAGGGCGCGTTGGTTCGGATGCGCGATGAATCATAGAATCCCACCCCCAAGTTGAGTTTTCCGGCGTGTTATGCAAGTCTTATCTTAGGGAACCAGGGGAAGAGGTTGTTGGATCTTAGGACGACTGGCGATCGAATATAACGAACTCGCCTGAGTTGTCAGTGCCCACAAATGGGACACAACATCCAATTGTGTTTGGTGTACCCCCTCCCTCCGGATGGTATTTCGGTCCGCAGTGAAATCCATTTGGCGCCTTTCTTGGAACTGAAGTTGTTGGGGAGAGAGCCCTTGTTTCGGGGTAAGACGTTAGTTCAGGTAACCCGAGATTGGTGGCTTGGATTTGGATGTGTAATTCTGGTTCGTAGGGCAAATGGGCGCCCACCTCCAAACCACCAATTAGAGGGAAGCTGAAAGACTTCGTGTAAATACATTTTTTGAGGCAGGGTACGGTGAGCTTCAAGTTTTGGCGCTTAGGCTCGGGCTGGAGCTGCATGAGAAGCCCAACTGCTGGGCGGAGGCGCCGGAATCGAGCCACGCCGAGCGCTCGATGGCAACGAAAAGCCCAGTGATTTTGTCAGCCAAAGATTATTTTTCACCAAGGCCCCAGGCGACTCGACCTGTTGACCGTTTGGATTTCCCCCATGTTGGCAACCATTTTTTGGGTGGAATTACAGACAGGATGCAGTTCCAGTTGAGGCATCCAGTTAGGTCTGGAGGGGAGTCCTTGCGGCTGGCCTTTATATAGTTCCCCTGTTGAGGGCTTCGAAGCTCAGAGGTCATGGAACTGGTAGGGCCTCTGGGCGTTTTCCTTTTCCGGCCACACTTTGCAGTGTTTGGCCCCACCCGGGAGTCAAGCCAGTCGTGGTGTCTATTGCGCTACCGATTTCCCTGTGAATTCAAGAGTTTGTGTATTTGGTTTTTTGGGGGGACCCCATAAAATGGGTGGCCACGAGAAAGGGTGGCCACGAGAAAGGGGGTTCCCTCAACAAAGACCCCCCCCCACAAAGTGGCCAGCAAACAACGTAGTTTCCTTTGTGGGCCCATGAGTCAGCAGAAGGCGTTGCCCATGGGAAGTGGACAGGGCAGCTTTCCGAAATGGTGGTTGGGATTGGTCTGAGGTGAAGCATCCAATGGTTGAGGCGAAACATCCGATAATCCGGTGCTTTTTATTGCCAGGGCAAGCAAGCAGAAGAAGCCATCACCTAAACGTTCTTAGTGGGAGGTTCGACTGTCAAGAATGGGCCCCGGGTGTGTCGCGGCTTGCTTTGGGTTGAGCCTTAATTAAGCCTGCGGATGGACAACATCCACTTCCGAGTGGTGCAGATGATATTCCAGGGAGCCCTTGGCCATGTCCGTTTGGGCTGCAGAAAACTCACAGGCCTAGGGAGACCTCCTTTGCGACCCTCTTTGCGTGGCTTGAGGTTGAACACCAAGAGGAAGCTCAAAAAATAAGGGTGCTTCCACTACAAGCGGGCACGCCCATGTGGGCGTGTCTCTTTCTTCACCCTCCCACCCAAAAAAAAACAGACAAACAGATACAGTAAATACATGGTGTGGTGTTCCTCCTTCTGCCCCCCCCTCCACCCCCCCACCCCCCCAAAAAAAAGCAAGGCATTTGAAAGGCTTTCCTTTCCCCCCACCCCACCCGCCCCAACCCCCCTCCCCAAAAATCGGACACCGACTCAAAGGGGACACGGCGCCAGGTGTGGCTGAACTTCCAGGGCTCGAAGCTCCTGCCGCAGCTGGGCTTAGAGGCCCGCCCTCACCTCGCTTTTTTGGGTGGGGGGTTTGGTGAGAGGCAGGAATCCAAGTGAGCTGAGTGGGATGACTCTCTGGATTTTTTTTCGGGGAAGATCATGTCGATTGAACTATTCTCTTGGGGGAGAAGCACATTGTCGGGTGATTCCCGGACCTTGACCGTTTTTGTGTTTCCTTGGTGTTTTTCCCCCCGGGAGGATCATGTTGGTGCTGAGCAACAAGGTTTGGTTACTTTGTTCGGCCCATCCACTCAGCAAGTGACTAACAGATGAGCCGTGCCCGCGGCTCCATGGGCCTCCTTTGAATGGCCCGGTCGCGGGAGTTGTTTCGGGTCAATACTGCCCTTTGAATTAAATGCCATTTGTTGGAGATGTGTTTTGCGGATTTGTTTTCTTTGGTCAAATGGTTTGGCTTTCAAAAGCCCCTTATGCTCTTTTTGAGGGTTGTCGAAAGATGGAAAAGGAAACCAATTTGGGTTTTGGTTCCCATGATCAACCCTTTTTGGTGTCCAACTCTTCTACCGAACGGGCCGCTCGATGAATGAATCGGGGGAGATGCTCATTTAGATCAATAAAAGCGCACAGCTCCGGGGGGTACGGCGAGCGATTTACCCAAAGCCTTGGATCCCTTGTCTCACCAAGTCCCAAGGCGAGTCCACCTCTTCACCTTTTGGTTTCCCCTTTTTGATCCATTTTTAGTGACCCAAACAAATTAACCTTCTATTCCTGGCTCCTTGGGGACCCTGAGCTACTTGCCTTGGAATGGCAAATTTTGCCCAAGGAGCAAACACGGAGGCGCAAACATAAAACGTGGGTTCCAGAGCACCGGGTTTTTGTTGGAACTCTTGCGAAAGGCGAACCAAAGCGAATTGATTCATCAAGCGATGGGAAGATAGCCAGCGCAAGGGCAAAGCCGTCAACTTTTTTCTTTTTTTCTTTTTTTTGCGTGGCTGCCAGCCATGTGTCTAACTTTGAGGTCTAGGGTTTTGCTTGGGAAATTGATACTTTCCTGAAATTGCCCTATCTCCACTGGTTCTTGTTTTTGGTAGTCAGTTGTGTTGTGTTGGGGGAGTGGGGAACACCACAGATTTGAGTAAGCTAGCGCATTTAACATTCAAGTACTCTAAGTGGCATGTGTTGTTGATGTGTCACTTGGTACAAAGGGGAATCGAAAGGACTCCCCCTGCTTTGTCGCTCTCCCCATTGCGTTCCAAGCCCAACTCGTGGCTGTGGCTCAAACACATGTACCAAATGACACTTTAACTAAAGCAAGACCAAAGACCAACACCTGCGTAGCCCCTGGCTCTTTCCTTTGCCGCCACGTCCCTCTCCGAGAAGTGAAGGCGGCTGCCGTGCCCCGCGGGACTTTTTTGGTTGAAGCCTCTCGCAGGCCGAGAATGCGCAGCGAGAGATCAAGAGGACCCAGGTGGCCCCTAGGCTGAGAGGATCTGAATGAGGCGCCCAAAAATCACTGGCGGTGGCTGAGAAAACGTGGGACCAAGACTTACCAACTTTTCAACTTTTCAAACTTAGTGGGATCAAATAACTGGCTCAAGAGCCCAAAACTTACCTCTTAAAAAACACGAAGCTTTTCGTAACTTTTTTTGGGGGTAACATGGGCTATATGTCTGTAAAAGATGAACTTCCCCAGGGCTTGGAGTTTTAAGGGATAAGAAAATGCCCCGGTAAATGGAAGACTAAAACCCGCGTAACCCCAGCTCGTTAATCTTGAGCCATACCCAATTGGTTCAACCAAAAAACATGAAGGAAACAACAAAAAACGAGGTAACCAAAGCAAAGTACTACATTTACCCCTGTAGGTATTTCCCAAACAGCCTCACTGTTGGGTGGTTTGGGGAGTGTCAGGATCACCAACAGCACAATCCCACACACTAGGGGTTTTTGTATCACACCCTGGGAATACACAGGGTACTGACCGTGTTATTTTGAACCATTCTGGGTCATTTCCCAAGGGTGTAATCCCAGGGTGAAATACAAACACCCTCAGACACACGGACCCACGCGTGTCCACGCGTTTCGCCCTTCCGTTTCCCGTGGCCTGCACTTTTTGGGGCTTTTTGTGGCCCACTTTATGAGGAAGGGAGGTCCGAGTCCCTTCCTCAAACTACTGGCTGCCCCTGATGGACTATCGCTCATCTCACTATCCCGGGTGGCATCTACACAGGAAAACAGTCGAATTTTGTTCTTAACACTTCATGAGGCTTAGAGAGGCTTAGTGAGTCTTACAGTAGCTTTTCAACTAGCCCTTTTGGTTCTTTTTGATGCTTGGACGGTGGATTGAAGACGCCCCTGAACACGCAACTCGCCAGATTTACTGTAAATGACCCTTCGCGATCCTACTTTACAGAACAACGCGCAAGCCATTCAACTGCTTCATAGAGCGCAAGGCTGTTGCATGCCACTTGGGCGACTTTGGTTGCAAAAGGGGTCTGTTGATCAGCCTTGGGATTGCCCGCTACGCTTCAGCAGTTTTAAGCAAATTTGAGTGTTGTTGAAGTGTTTTGCCGCACGTTTCCAGGGAAATGAACTCCACTCAAAATAGCTTAACATGACTCAAAATAGCTTAACATTACTTAACAACTAGCTTAACCGGGCTCAAACTGGCTCAAATCGACTCCAAAAGGCTCAAACCCAAATCGCAACTCTTCACAAGGACAATGACATCCAACAAACACCCTGTTAAACTAGGTGGCTATAAATCAGGGGTGGTACTTGTCCCTTTTGGGCCAGCTTGAAAGCGAAGGGGGAATTCTAAGAATTCCCGACTTTGGAGTTGGTCATGTTGGGCTGTTTGGGCCCAACAGTAACTTCCAACTTTGAGGGGACAGTATATAAACTGAAGCATCCATGTAGTGGGGAACCTGGACCATGCTGTAAGCGCAAGCACCTCTCGATTTTCAGGTGGCTTTGACTAGGGGAGCATGCACGCCCACTGGGCCTCGGAGAACACGGCTCCCACCAGGCCAGAGGGACATCTATAGAACCTGGGTAGTTGAAACTATTTTGCAAGTACCAGGGCGCGGGATATTTGTGCCCTGACAGCGCGCAACGTGGTTGTATATTTGTAAAACCCCTGGCTCGCGGTGTTGGGGGTAGTGAAACCATCTTCATTCTTTTGGGAGGGGGTCGTCCCAAATGTTCAGCTTCCCACTGGTTGGTGGTTTGGTGGTGAAATGGGGGCTCCACACCACCTACAATTTCCGAAATCAGTTGGTTTTTCCTGTGGCTGGAGGTCTGTTGGGGCTAGGAGTTTCCATCTCTGAGGAATGGCAGCAGAAGGTCCTCTCCCACTTGAAGGCGAGTAAGGTCTCGTCCCGGGTGGAACAGCCGTCGCTTGGCTCACCGGAAATCCGATGGGGATGTGTTGCTCTATTTTTCTGAAAAACACACACACACACACACATCCTAAAGCCAATTTTTGGTACCGTTGTTTGACCCTTGCCCTTCTGATGATGCCAGTGAAGACATGAGTCATAGGTTGATTGTGGAATGTTGACCGTCATCCTTGTCTTTCCTTTTTTGGAGCAAGCCCATAAGTTGTATTTGTTCAACAGGAAGCCAAAAGGGGATGTGTGTCTTTCCGTTGCTCCAGACCCTCTATTCGCGCAGATCCCTCCAGTTCCAGTAATTGCAAGGAGCAATCATTGCAACGTGGGATACCTGATATTTCCGCTCAACCGACAGCCTGATTTCTCATTAAAAAAGAGCTACACGGGACATGCTGCAAATTGGGCGTTGCTCACAAAAAGAGAGCTAGGATGACGCAGCTTTTAGTTGCCAGGTTGCAATTGTGGGTACCATGTTTTGCAAGTACCCAACAAAGCCTATAGATTTTTTTGCCGGTTTCTTGGAATGTCGGCATTCCCCAGCCTTCGGGACTAAGGGCTGCAAGGATTTGAGGCTTGTGCTTTGGTTCCTGGTCTTCGTTTGTTTTTCTGCGTTTTTGCGTTGAAATATAGAAGGTTCTGATGTATTGGGTTTAACAGGTAGCACTTATTGCTAACACGCTTGCAGCTTGTTCGTGTCTGTGTGATGTACTGGGGGCCAGATAGCCCATGCTGTTGATGCTGCCTAAGGAAACGAACAAAGCGGGTGTATGTAGTTCCTATTTAGCAAGGGATCGTGGATGAATGGGATCGCTGGTTGATGAATGTAGGGGAGTGTTCCATGTACGAGGGGCTGATCAATCTCGGGGGGAGCCGCCACTGACACTCACAAGTGTTCTCAATCCGGGTGTCAACAAAAATCGGATTGGCATTAGCCATCGTCAGACTTTGGCCTTGGCATGCCTTGGCTTTCCTTCTCCCCTTTCAGCCAGTCTTCGAGTCCCGAGCCATTAGCAGTGCAGACCTCTTGGCTTTTGCTGGGCCATTCCGAGATGAAGAAGGGGACAACATGGAACCCGTCGGAGATTCCGTTTGTTCAAAGGTTGAGGCAAAGACGGGGTGGTAAACGTGGCCTCTTTGCAGGGGCACCTGAGAAACCGAGAAAGGGGCACACCCAAAACTTCCCTTACTGTATTTGCGGCTAGGCGGGGTATGCAAGCAGGATAGAGATTGGTGCTTGGACATGAAGGGATGTAGACTTGACGTAGAAACTCTAACTTGAGTTTGACCCCTTTGCCTTAAAAGTAGAATGCCTCCATAGAACTAGTGAGCTAAACAGGGTCCCCTTGAAGGACACGTTTGATTTTCCTTCGCAAATCACGACGAAGCGCAGACGTCCGCTTGCGTCTTTTTCGGGCCGCGATCTGAGGGAGGGCTTCGAAGAGCACTTGGAGCTGGCAGACTTTGCGCTGAAACGCATCACCCACGCAGTGCCCCTCCGCCGCACTCGAAGACTCGAAGACTTGGGACTTCTCTTCAAACCCGAAATCGGGGCAGACGGAGTTAGATGGAAGAAGGTTGAGAGGGTAGCTGGTTCTTGTAAGTAACTCACTTGCCCAAATACTTTTGACCCCTTTTGGTTTTCGACATGTTGGTCCATTTGTAACGAAGTCATGGCCCCCAAAAGCTTAACCTGTTATTTCTGGTTTCTTTGGGCAACGGAGGCAAAGGGGACGACGACACCAAAATGGGGGAACTGAATTTGCCATCTACTTTCACCCTACTGCAATAAGGGCGAAATTTATACACAACATTATCTACCCCACAACCCCATTATAATTACGTTGGCCCTTGCGTTAATTGGGCCTGAAATTGGTTGTTAATGTTGGACCCTCTTCAATGTGAACCCCCCTCCCAATCCCTCCCAACAGTGGAACCAGTCACCGGGGCCTTCTCAGTGGAAATCTGGGAGTCGGGGTTCGACTTCGACTTGCCAATGCTTAATTTAGCATTGCCAATTCTAATTTCACTATTGCCACATATTGCCACGCCTTACTCTCAGATTCCCAGCATTCAGTGTAGTATTGCCAATTCTAGATTCAGTATTGTTATCATTGCCTCTCAGATTCCTGGTGCTTAGCATATTCCTCTCAGGTCCCCAGTGCTTAGTTTAGCAATACCAATTCTAATTTAGCATTGCCAAGATTGGTTCTCAGATTGCCAGTCAGGGAACCACCCCACAAAAGTGAAATGCTAGGGCGTTCATACGGGGAAGTTCTGCAACTCGCCTAAAAGTTTGACAGTAAAGAGGACCCGAAAACAGTCGCACTAAACAGCATCAGGCCCTCTTGTGGGCAACCCTTTGTGTGACTGTTTGCCCTTACCTTCTTGTAGAGAAGTTATCTTAAATTTGATGGCTTGGGGGCCACTTGCAAAGATTTAAGACTCCTTTGAGCTGGGAAGCCCACTTGTTTGCCTTTTGGCTGCCCGAGTTTTGGTTTCGGCAAAGATCCTGAATCAGGAAAACAACCTTTTGCAATAGAGGTCCCAATTGAAAAAGGGTCCAACATTGGTTGAAGGAGCCCAGACCAATCCCCCCAAAACAGATAATCCATTGCAACATGGACCTCCCCAGCAGGGGTCCGCGACTCGTGAGAAGAGGGGCTGTCGCTTCCGTTTCGTGGCGCCCAGGAACATCCTGCAGAACCCACGCCAGGAACGGGCCCTGATCCTGGAGCAATACACGGAGGGCAGGGTCGAGGAGGCAAGGAAGGGCGCCGGAATTTTTCCAAAGCCTCGGAGAACTGGTGGCCAAAATGCGGGTTCTAGTACTATTTGGGCATGGGTGAAAATTAAGCCACCAGGGGACCGCGGGTTTTAGTCCAGGTGTCCTTTTACCAGGGTTCCATTTTGGGTACCCATTTTTGACCCACAGCTACTTGATTGGGGTTTCTCGGCAATATTCATTGCATGTCAAGGAATACGGGTGATTTGAAGCAGATATTTAGAGAAGATGGAATTCCTTCCAGCCGCCCACCGCAAAATCAACGCACAGTCCCACCAAGAAACAAACAATTCAAGCCGGTGGTTTGGCGGGGGGGAAGGTTCCATCCATTCTTCAGACCATGCCTTAGGGTTGGCCGTTTTCCTATATGATCCAAACTGGGTACATTTCATTCTGGACACACTGTTTCTTTTGATCCCCCACTAGGATTGCCATGCGTTTACCCTACGCCTTACCAAGGCCGGTGTCTTTTTCAGGCCGCCACGAGTCAAAAAGGACGCGCATCGAAATAGAAATACGAACGACTGACCTGGGTTGCTGCTCCAAAAACCACCCTTTCGGTTAGAGAAGCATATCCCGCGGCCAAGATCTCAGTGAGTCACTCCCCTTTGGGGGTTGGACGGGTTGGGCTGTGTTGGTGGGGCAGCAGTGGCCCCTCGTGGGTGAGCTGAACCCCACGTTTTTCCCGTAAGCTGGGTGTGCGGGTAGGGTTGGTTGATTATTCGCCAACCTATGAAAGACGCCACTTTCCTCCATTACCATGCGGTTTTACGGGTCCGACAGACACGTTTATTAACCCACAACAACGAAAGGGCACGCCTGCTTTTTGGACCAGCTGGGCAACTTGGCAATTCGTTTTCTTTTTTGGGCGCAAGGGAGTGAAGGGACCTGAACTTGATTGTGGGGCTGGTGCCCAGGAGGCTTTTCAGGTTTCCCTCATTTTCTAGTTTGGACTCGTGGTTTGGATTTGGATCCCCTGGTTTTGGGGTAAATAAATGGGAACCCCCGAATCTCCAACACCAAACCAAACTGAAGCTGAAGCAAACCAGCTCTGGACTCAGCAAAGCTTCAGGTCTTCTTTTTCCCAGCAGGGAATGTGGAAAATGCGCTTATACACCATCATTGGTGGTTTCCTTTCAGGGAATCCCCAGGTGGGCTGTGTTCAAATCTAAGCAGGTCGGAAGAATGTGGATTTGGTTTTGAAGCCCTGGTTGGGGGTAACTGGGAACCCGAGCAAACCATTTCTCTTGATTTCCAGGTGTGCCAAGATCTGTCCCAATGGCTGGAGCGGCTGGCGCTGGCGGTTTCCGTGTACCACGTGCACTTGTTGGACCTTGAGAGCGATAACCGGCGTTGCGGCCCCTCGATTCATCCATGGTGGGCTTTGTGGGACATGTGGAACATACGGGGCTGGGCTGAAATTTGGTGGCATGCCACCATGTTTTCATCCCCTTACCCTCATAAATAAAGCAGATCTGTGCCATCTACTCTTGTCCTGGAAAGTAGGGTTTTAGGGCAACGTGTGTGATACTAAGGTAAATCCTTATCACAAGGGTTATCCAAGAGGAAAGGCTATTTTGCACTATGCTCCAGGGCCCTTTTCCTTGTTTTCTGGTTCAAAGCCCTACTCAAATACCTTTTGTCTAGGGCATATTTCCAACCCATCCTCTGGTGGGGCAGTTCCCTTTGCAGCTTTGGTTTGTGGGTTTCCCTTTCAACTCCCAAAAAAAGCCAGCCTTTGTTCCTCATCGCCACTTAAATCCGGGATTGATTTGGGCAAATGATCACGAGCTGGGTGGCAAGCACGTGCTCATAAAGGTCATTTAAAAGATTGTCCACTTCAGTACTTGCGCCCCTGGTGTTTTTTACACCTGAGAGGCCATGCGGGCCGACAAAATTCGAATGGAGCCCTATGAATACTGGGATCAACCTGCTAGCTGGGTGCCTGGCGAGGATCTGCCATGCTTTACTCCCACTGCTAGCCTGTGGAACGCCCTCCAGACCTTCCTTCGGTGCGTTTTTAGATAAAGTTGCCAGCGGTTTTGGCGCCAACGGTTCTAATGGCACGTAAATTGCAACTTGTGACGTGCAGTGACTGGAGGTGGTCACGGGGTGCCCCCTTTTTCCTGGCCATAGGAAACGCATACTGAATGAAACAGCTGGGTGAGCGCCTCGGGGTGAACATGGGTTGGTTGCATGTTCATCGCTGACAGGAGCAAACGATTTTGCTTGAGGTTACTGAAGGCCATGTATCCGTGGGGCGAGTTGCAAGTGGAAACCAAGGAGAAGCCACCCAGTCCTCGTGAGGCAGGTTTTTATTTGCATACCCTGATCCAGGCAGCAAGGTCACCCAGCTGGAGTCCAAGTTGAAGGAGCTACAGAGTGAGCTTGAGCACGAGAGTGCATAAGTGCACGTACTGATGCATAAGTGTCCTTTTAGGTCAGTTTCGTTAGAAAAAGATGGGTTCTGCTGGTTTTGATTGTTTTGTTGAACCATTTACCAGGGAAATCCAATGTTTTGTCCAAAAGGTTGCTGAATGGGAAGGAGTTGGAATCCCTAAGAGGGTTCTACAAGTTTGGTTTCTACTGGAAAAAAGGCACTTATATCAACTTGTCGGCAGCTGGTGGCTGGGATTGGTGGTTTGATCAGGGCTCCTTAAAAGATACAGTTTGCCCATTTGAAACATGGCTTGTTCCACCAAAATAAAGGGACACCGCCATTTACAAGGCAATGTTCAGATGTATAATGCAAGGATCCCTGTTTGATGGTTAAGGAGGGGCTTCCAATTTGCCCTCTACAGGAACCAGGGCTTCAAAGCCGAACCCCAACCTCCATTCCAGACCACCAATTGAGGGCTAAGGTCAGTACCAGGCCGCACACCAAAATCACAAATGAGCCAACCACCATCCATCACCCCATGCCATGGGTATTGAGGAGAAGCAGCTGACCCCGCGGATTCCACCCCCTACCCCCCCCCCCGGAAAATTTTGGGTTGAGGAGACGCAGCTGGAGCGCGACGACGCGAGGCGCCGCTTCCTCGAGATGGAAGCCAAGTGGAGCGAGGAGAAGATGAAGCGCCGCGCCGAAGCACTGACCCTCGGCGGATGCGGCGGGCACCGAAACCGACGGTATGATCATGGCGCAGAGAGAGAGAGGGAGAGAGAGATCATAAGATGTACATATGACTAGAGTATATATTATATGAGTATATGTCCTATACGACTTTATAAGGCTCTATTTGTAACAGGTTTCCTTGGTTTTCACCTTTCGCGCGTTTTAGCACATGTTCAAATCTGAATTCAGCTTTCCGGTCAATATTGTTCTATGATTTATAATTAGGGTGGTCCAAATTTGTGACGCGGACTCTGAACATCTGACCTTTTGAGTGCCCCATTGGGTCCAGCTGGGTCCATCTTCTGCAAGGGAGCCGTGGGAGCCAATGGGAGGTCCGTGCCCTCAGATTGCTGGATCCAGTAAATGTTCAGGGTTTGCCCACATGTGGGAACTTTGCTTCTGTTTCTAGTTTGGTATAGCCGCCCTTAGAAGTGGCCCCCTGAAGAGAGATGGTAAGGATGGTAAGGTAGGTTGGGCGGCTTCCGCATCTGGGCGGGATTGCGCAGTGCGCGCTTGCAGGCTGGGGGACAGGGGTTGGAAGGCCCATTTCATAGGGATCTAACGTCACCCCTCAGTACGAACGGGGATTGTCATGTGGGTTTGCTGCGGTCATTCGACGATCCCTGGGGTCCCATAACCCAGTAAACCCGTACATTGCAAGAGTCTGCAAGTTTTATCTCAAGCTTATCCAGGAAAATCACCCTTCCCATGGCTGTAGCCCTTTGGCGGGGGAGCCTGGTTTCACACTCCACGGCTGAGTTAGCTCAGACCCTTCATTATCCCGAGTTCTGCCCTTTGCATGACTGAACCATCGCCATGCAAGCTCTTTCTATATGGTCCTCTTGGTTCCTTTTCTAGCGGTGCTTGTTTAAAGGGTCCCTTTACGCGCTTTCTCCTTTCAAGAAAGGTTTCCTTAGGGCACAAACCGCAATCTCCCCCGTGTCAGATCCACGGAGTTCGATCCACGGAGAGAGTGGGTGACAACAAGGGTAGAAGATGATAGAAGCTGGTGTATCGATTTGGTGCCTGCTTTAAGGGGAAACCTCAAGGACACACCCCACAACCCGTGCAGCGAAGGTTCGGAGTGAAGACGACGGATGAAAACCCAAAGATCTACAGCCAGTCGGAGGTGGACGACTTTTATGACCAGTGGAAGAAGGAGCAGGCCGTTCAGTTTAAACCTTGAAGTTCCGCGTGCGCCGGTTTTTCGTTTGGATGTTGTTTCAATACAGAAAGAACCCTTGAAGATGTTTGGTGTCTTTCGGGTTTTCCTTTACAACCAACCAAAACAAGGATCTTTAAAAGGGGAGGCGCCGGGAGGTTGTATGAAATAATCACTATTGTCCAAAGCATTTTGACGGGAGGATTTCTGACAAAAGACCAAACATGATAAACCGAAGACCAGACATGACAGAACAAGACCAAACAAGACAAAAGACCAAGCATGAGGAAAGTTCATGGCATAATACTGCCAAACATGACCAAGCACCTAACATGACAGAAGAAGAGACAAGCCATGGCAGAAGAAGACAAGCCATGGCAGAAGAAGACCACACATGACCAAATGCCAAACATGGTATAATCGGACCAAACGTGCCGAACATGACAAACGTCCAAGCATTATTTACAACAGCAGACCAAGCACGACAAAAAACAAAGCATGATGAAATAGAACCAGCCCTGACACAAGACCAAACAGGACAAGCGACCACCCCTGAGAAAGAACATGACAAGACAAAACATGATGACAGAAAACCAAGCATGAGAAACAGCCAAACATGTAAAGAAGCAACAATGATGACAATACCAAGCATGAATAAAGAAGACCAACCATGACACACAACCAAACGCAGCAAGCATGACAGGACCAAACATGAAAGTCGGCAAACATAATAAAGGAAGGCCAAACATGAAAACCGACCAAACATGAAAAGCAACAAACATGACAAATCCAAACACACAAGTTCAAAGATGTGATGTTTTTTGGAGTTCCTCCAAACTAAACTCAGCTTGAGTGCTGGGAGTTTTCTTCAGGTGGATCCGCTGCTGGAAGAGATCAAAAGCTTACGGAAGGCCCAGCGAGACCTCATGGCCAAGATGCAGGCCATGCGCCTTGTCATAAATCAAAGCGGGGGTCGAAAAATGTATGGGGTGTGTGTCATTAAATGGGGCGCCCAAATCCCAAATCCCAAAAGGGTTCCAGGATACCCAAAAAACAGAAAAGGGTTTGGCTGTGGGGTTTCCCATGTGGGGGGTTGGGATACCCAAAACCCAAAATTGTATCCCAAGCAAATGTGGTTGTGCTGTTAGGAAACCCAAAAAAAACGAAAAGGATTCCAGGATACCCATTACCCCCGGACAAGAATCAGGGGATCAATGAAAATGTTAAGCCACCAATCAGGGGGTATACCTGGACCAACCTCTCACCCCAACAGTTTCGGTTCCAAGCCAGTGGAATCCGTCTAGCGGACCGAAAGACCACCTGGGGGGGGTGGTTTACACCCTCAAAAAGATTTGCACACTCATATGGATGGGTGTGTTCTTCTTTTTTGGGCTTGTTCTTTTCGGAAGCGCTAGTCTCTGCTTGTCGGACCCTGGTGCCACCGACGGTGTTGTCTTTTCAAGTATGCCAGCAAGGGCCCTTTGTTTTGACAAGCCCCCAGATGCCTCACGTTTTTCGAGAAAGGGCCTCTAATCTTGACTAACCCCCAAATGCCTCACGTGTTTACAACCAATAGTGGAAGAGTTTGCCATTGGAATCAGCCAACAAGAACGGGTTCGGGGGATTGGCCCTGTTTTCCTCATGGGAAATCCACGCGTCTAGGCCCAGCTCTCCGTAAAGCTGTTTGAGAGGCTCCCATTCCCCAAAGCACTTCTGGCAAGCGAACATAGAGCCCAGTTCCGCAGAAAATGGCCCCAACCAGGACCCAGTGAGGTTCCATGTGTGTTGCGTCCCTTTCTGTTTGGTGGGTGGCGTGGGGCTCCCTAAAGGCTCTTTTCAGGGGATTTGAACCCCTGGTTCTGTACCGAGGGATGGTTATATCCACGACAAAGAACCCGTTACCACGACAAAGTGCATCGTTACACCGACACCCTCAGCGAAGACTATTCTGACATGGTGCATAAACAATACTGAGAAGGCCAATAGAAAGCAATGAAAACGTTTATAGTGCACCTTTTGCCGGCGGTCTAAGTCTGGTCAAGTTGCTTGCGTTGGCGAATGATGCTATTTCACTTACACGGATTCGGCTTAATTGCCGTTCATTCTTTAAAAGCTTACCTTTTTTTTCGTGTTCAATCCTGGAAGTGGACTTCAACTTGCCTTTAACCACCCACAAGGGGGTTCCCCAATTTGAGATGGACCCATGCGCATTTCCCTGGACAATCATACCGAGCTCATTTCGGAGTAAAGCGAACAACCCATGATGCCAGTGCTTTCCTGAAGGGGTTCTTTGCTTTGAGTTTTGAATAGCTGAAATTGTACTTTCCCTGTTAAGACCTTAGAAGAGGGCTTAGGGGTGGGGAGCTGGGACGCAGTGCTGCACTTCAAATGATCGTGGCAGCCAACAAAGGGTTTAACGTCAATTTGCAGAGAGGCCCAGTTTCCCATTGACCCTATGTGGGTGTGGGGTCAAACTCAAACCACCAAGGCATCGCAGGTTGTCTTCCATGTGTCCATTTACCGATCGGGCATCCCATGTTGGGGTTACCCCATTTTGTGAAGACAGCCATGCGGCTTCTCTCTCTTTTTCGCCGGGTCTTCCGGGGACCGTCCAACGGACCCGTGAGGAAGCAGAACCAAAGCACCTCGCGGGTTGTGGAAGATCTCAACCTCCTTGGCCAGAAAGAGGCGGCGAACCACCTGAGTTTCCGGGGGTCGTGCGCTGGTGAGGGAAGTAGATAGGCTCCACTGGTCTACTTGTCCAAAAGGTCGCCTATGCCAAGGGCGGCTATTTCTCCCGGATCTTTAATCGACTTGTTGGTTGGATACTAGCCACGCCGATTTGGACCCCACGTGAATCCCATCCAACTTGTTGATCTATTTGTTTGTATCCTTTCTACCTTATGCTGTATATAGCTCGTGCTCTCTCCCTCTCCATCAGGTCGTTTCCCCAGAGACAGCTCTCAATGTTTCATCCTTGATGTGACAGTTGTAGCTGGAGAACCAGATGTAGGAAGGTGCAGGAGGTCACCTTATCTTTATCTTATGAATGCGACTGGAGTTCCGGTATATCTCTCATTGCATTCCTTTTCATATTAGGTTTTGCTGGTGATTATCTGATTGTTGGTGTGCGAGAGAATCCCGAGTCAACAGTTGTTTCTGCACGGGCTCTTTGTGGGAGACTTTCCCTCTTTGTGGTTTCCTTCTGGCCACATTTTTGCTCAAGGCTACGGTGCAAATGGGAGATTAGGATTGGCCAACCCTCGATTTTGAACACCCAAGCCTTATAAGAACACTGTATGGCCCACCTCAGAACTCGATTCCAGTTATGCAGCAGGTTTGCTTCGTGTCCACTTGGTGTGAACCACCTTTGAGCCAAAAAACACATCCGCTAAATGCGGGTGATGTGGTTTCGGGACCGGGCTCCCACAAAACCTTCATTGGCACCCACCAGCTTCACCAAATATGGATCCGAATTTCATATTCGCGCCTGGCGTATCAAGCGTTCCTGTTCCTGTAAGGAAGCAACTGGTTTGCTGCCGTTCTTTGTTTTTGCCGGGGTTGATGCGCCAAGCAAAACCAACATAATGATTTCTTTTTGGCCGGAATAACAAGAGAAGTAGCGACCGGTTATTGCCCTAGGGTGTTTGCCGGGGTTGATGCCCCGCCAAACAGAACAGCATGATTATTCGAGAAGCGACCGGTTGTTGCTCTAGGGTTTTTGCCAAGGTTCATGCCCCGGCAAAAACACCTCATGACTATTTGGCTGGAGCAAAAGAGCAAACGGAGAAGCGCAGCAGCTCGTGGCGTTTGTTCGTTCAGGTCACTTTGCTGCAGTCCGCTTTGGCCGCCGCATCCCAGCGCAGCTACGGGGACTTGGGCCGCTGCTGGGTCAAATGAACCGAGTGCAGCCCACTGAAGTCTCAGTTGCCCCAAGACTCAGTTGGTGAAGCGAATCGACCGTCTGGCCTGTTGCGTTTCATTTTTAATAAAGGTCCCGTAAGGCAAACCTTTATTTCCAAATCCCTTGGGCAACTGAGAGCTGGAGCCGTTGGGCTTGGTTTCGGCCTACTGTTACTCTAGGATCCAAGTGGCAAGTGAGGTACAACAAATTGGACATCAGTTCCACTCGTTGGCTGGGTTGACTTGTATGCACGGCCTGTCCTTCCCCTATTGTTTAGATTCTATTGGATGTGCATTGAAGATTAATAACCCATGCATGGGGGGCCCCTTCAAAAGTGGTGAATTCCCAGACAAAAGGGGACCCCCCCTCCGCATCAATTAATCAGATCATTTCGAGGATGGATTGTGTGTACAACCTCCGGGATTGTCCATGAAACACAGCTCAGTAAAGGCAATGGCTTCTGGCCATTTTCCCCTCGCCACATCCTTTTTTGTTTTTTGTTTTGATCGCTTTATTTTTCTACCGTCTAAGCCTATATTACGCAGATAGGCCATGGCTTCGGGTTGGACATCGGCTCGGGTTGGGCGGTGTCCTGTTTCCACGCTTTCCCCGCCGAGTTGGTCGGAATGGGAGCAACTGACGAGAGGGTCACAGTTTGAAGACGCCGATTTGGGCCTAAAGGGGCCCAAAGCGATTTTCCTTGGCGGGGATTGTTCAAGGAGGGCACTTCTCAACTGGTGCGGACCGACGCAGCATGTGGGGTTCAAAAATCATTCCTTAATCCGTATGCCAGATGATTCGATGGATTCCGTTGTAGTGGTGTTTCATGGTTTACGGATTCTATGTAGGGACCCCACCCAGACAATAAACAAAAACAGCATGCCAACCTGCAAACAAACAAAACAACCAAACAAGCAAGCAAAACAAACAAACGAATCAAACAAGCAAATCAATCAAACAAACAAACAAACAAATAAACAAGCAAGCCAACAAACCAACAAACAAGCCAACAAACCAACAAACCAACAAACAAGCCAAACAAACAAACCAACAAGCCAACGAGCCAACAAACCAACAAACAAACCAACAAGCCAACAAACAAGCCAAGAAACAAACCAACAAACAAGCCAACAAACAGTCAAAGAAACCAACAAACAAGCCAACAAACAGTCAAATTACATTCACCGAACCCTGCGTCGGGTACGGCCGAGGCTTGTTGACGCGTCTCGGGGACACTTTGGCCACTGGCAGCTTTCACGAGCTCCCGGAGATCGTGCGGGCCATCCAGGCCAAGCGATTTTCCGAAACCCGGGCCGCGATTGCCTGGACTTTAACTAGGGGTTGATGGTTGTTGTTGGGAAGCATTTTTACATTTTTGGTTATTGTGGTTTAGTGGTTGAAATCTCAACTTAACTGCTAAACAATTGTTTTTTGCTCCCCTTCAACGCCAACCAAGCGATTGCCTGGACTTCTCTTGACTTTAACTTGTTGAAATCCAGGGGTTCCATGAAACCTTAAAAAAAGTCAAACTCTTTGCAGAGGGGTCAACAGCTAGGTCCCCCCGTAGTGCCCTTTCTCACTTTTTGGGTTGGGAGGGTTCTCCTACTAAACTAGACTACAGGATCGGAATAAGGGTACCCTTATTCTAACCTCTCTACTGGAGGAACCAGTTAAACTTTTTGAGACCATGTTGGTGGTAAGCAATCAGTTTGGACTTTTTTCGGCCCATCCACTTAGGAAGTGAGAATCAGGCTATTTGGCTGGATCTTTGGTCTCTAACTGTTTCCCACTAATCACAAGTGCTGGGACGTGGCCGTCCTACAGCCTTGCACAAACGTGCCAAGGCAATATGGACGCATTGCTCGCCAAAGCTTATGCGTGCTGGTGTGACGCCCTTTGCTTGGTGCGGGGAGTAAACAGGCGAAAAAGGTTGCAAGGCTGACCTTCATGCTTTCATGCTAGTGGGAAGGTGGAACGCAACTAACGCACAGGTCCAACTATACCATGTTTATGTGAGCATCATTGTCGGGATGTCGGACTCGTTTTTTCTTACGTCAGCACATTATGGAGGCGTTTATTATGTTCAAGTTGTGCGTGCGGAAAGTGCTACATATCGCCAGACAATTGTGTATGTGTATTATGTTGAGTTGCAGGAAAGAATGATTCACTCTTGGTCATGAACATATTGAAATCGCTACGCGATCCGCCGATGCCAGTGGACAGGCCCCTATTAATAAACTGGGATGTCCCAGATGCTGAGGATGCTGGAAATGCAAGGGATGCAACCACACAACATACAAAAACACACCCAATCTTTGCATCCAAAATGTCAAGACTTTCACAGAAAATACCAGAGATGTCGGGAATGCTGGGAATGCAGCCGGCTAGCCACAAGAAAGTGCAAAACAAACCTGGGTTTTTCAACATTTCACAAAATCAACCATCAAAAACAGATTCTAACAACCCCCGTCAAATACCATAAAAATAGATTTCCAAACGCACGACAATGCAGGGGATGTTTCGCAGTAACTGCTCCGTACAGGCGGGGAATTGCAAAAACACTCATTTGCAACTTTCAACAGTTCCTCAAAGTATCACTGCACTTGGCCCCACCCCAGCCAATTCCAACATCGCTTGAAACAGCAAAACACCACTAGTAGCTGCAAAGGAAAGACACACATTCATGGCAACAAGATAGTCGTGATGATGCTGGGGATGCAGATCCTGCGCGTCCGGGGGAACCCCTCCCCTAGAGACCTAGGCGAAACGCAGATTTTTAGCACGCAAGACCCAAACACACTGGAACAAATGCAGGGTTTTGGACACCCAGCGCAGCATGCCCAAAAAGTAGTGGGACAAACTCTATTAAGATGTTGAAGCCACTCGTGATTGAAGCTATTGAATAATCAGAGGGTTAAACAAATGAAAAGGGGAAGTGCCCTGTGACTTGTTTGGTTACAGCCCACTTTGGAAGAAAAAACCGAGCTGCTTGGCTTCAACGGGCTACGTGCTTGAACAAGCGGGGAGGCCCAGCCCTGGCTTACCGTGGCTTGGATTCGATTTTAATGCGCAAAGGAAGCAGCTGAACCGTGGTGTCATTTACGGAACCAAAAGGGCCGAGTTTCTCAGTGGTCTCCACCGGTGCCCGTTCAAAGTGGAATCGACCGCAAAATGGGTGTCCCAACGCTTTTACCGGACCTTTGAGCAACGAGGGGATTCTCCTTGCACTATGGATGCCGGCTTTGTTCCACAACCAACCTTGCTGTTCCTCAAGAAAGTTGACTTTGTTGGAAAGGGGCACCCTGGATTTCACCTGAACCAAAGGACAGACTCAAAGGGGTCTGCGCCTTTGGACATAAAGCCAGTATGGTTGTCACTAGCCACCCGACAAATTATGGGCCATTTGGTTGCCGGAAACCATCTTTACGGCGCAAACTGTTCAAGAGGATCCTTGTATTTCGACACCCTCCTGTCCACTTTCACGCTGTGTGGAAAAAGGGTATGTCCATTAAGTACCTATCCTTTGCATTCAGAAGGGGTCGTTGACTTCATATTGAAACTGTATGGCTATGTGTTGTCGATTCCGTATGCTGGCTTTTGTCCCCACACTGGTAGCAGTGCAATCCTCTCAAGAAGATTGAATGTCAAAAGAAAACTCAGTTCAGTTTGGCAACCACAAGGAGGTATCTCAGCTACAAATCCGCCGGCGCTGTCGAGCGTGTAGACTGCAGTCCGCAACTTGGTCTTCCTTCGGAATCTCTTACCAAAGCCGAAGGCTCTCGGGACTTTTAAACGGAATCTATCACTACTGAGCATATTTTAGTCAAATGGAAGAGAAGCTGGTCCCTAAGAAGCCGTTTCCTCTACTTGGGCTCTATGCGCCTTTTTCGCCCCCCGACGTCAGGCGCTTCCGTTGACGGAGCCCCTGGAAATGGCGGAGACGGGGTCGCAGGTGGAGGACAACACCCGGGTGGGGAAGGAGGAACTGGAGCAGCTTCAGCGTCTCGGACTTGTAGCTCTGTACTATTCGGTTTATACACAAGTGTGTTAAAGCACAAGTGTGTCTCGGTACTATTTGTTTTGTCAAAGCAAAATACAAATAATAAACAAAAACGCGTTTTTATTTGCTGTTTATTTGTTTACTTCATGGATAGACATACAGACAGACAGGTAAAGAGACGGAGAGGTAAAGGGATAGAGAGGTAGAGAGATGTACGGCGGGAATCTACCCGCCTTCAACTATCATGGAAGCTGACAGAAAGGTTGAAAGACTATTGTTTGGGGGAAGCTTTGTCCTAGGGGCAACACTTTTCGACTGGTCAAGCTTGGGTCAACGTTATCCCCGTGTTCAACGCATTTTCAAGTTGGTGAGTGGTGGGGCTTTGGAGAATCACTTTGCAACATGGTTGATCGCTCTTTGTTTGGTGCAATTCGTGGGAAGCCAGGCGTAGCATGGTGAAGGGAACTAAACTGTTTGGGGGTGTGGCCCAGTGGTTTTGCCCCAGCAGGAAAACAGAAGAGGATGGGAAAGTTATAATTCCTCTGACTCTCCATTCGACACCGACGTTAGAAGGGTTCTCGGTGCTTTCTGAAATGAGTATCTATGCCTGGTTGCAATGGTAGAGTGATTGGAACACAACTGATGTTCTGCTGCGGCGTCGTTGGCAAGGCAGCATAGAAGCTAAAAGGCGCCCAACAAGGTCCCCTACCTAGAGACCGTTCTATGCTGTTGGAGGAAGGGGGCGGCTGCGTGAGTTTCTGCACGCCCGCTGCGTCATATTGACTCACGCTCGTCAAGCAAGGGAGTTGGGGAGCGGGGGTGGCATCGTCTTGGGGGTCGTTTCAAAAGACAGCCACCAAGTAAGCAGCAGGCAGCGCCTGTTGAAGACCCCCGTGCTTTGAAAGGTAGACGCCCGGATTGGAGGCTTCCCCTTTGTGCCTTGCTGCGAAAGGCACGAGCGCCCCCCCACCCTCGCCGCACAGGATCCTTTTCCCGCACGGCGGGCTGGAGACCTTGTAAGATTTCGGGTTCAACGCTGGAAGAATACTCTACCTAATGTGACACGCGGCGACGGCCGTGCGGGGATTTGTTTTTGTCAGCAAGACGCAAGAGGGAAGATGCTGTGCAAGACTACCGCTACACGGGTGCTTCACGCGAGTCAGTTCACAGCGTCTGTCAACATCATTGCCCTTTCTCGCTTGCGAGCTTCCGCAGACAATGTGGACTTTCACGAATTGGTTTAGAACATTTTTGGCTTGCGCTTGCGACTCGAAAAAGCTTCTGTTGTTAGTCAGCAGACCTCGCGCAGGGAAGGTTGGAATCAGGTCTGGCGCCCGAGCTTGCTGCAGAAGGGAGCGGGCTTGGCCAAAAACGGCTTTTCTGAGGCAAAGAAGGTGTACTTGCTGCAAGTAACGCGGGCTGGGCGCAAATACGTTGGCTCTCGCGGCGCTTGAGAAGCCAGGCCAGGATCGCGTTGTTGGCTGGCCTCGCAGCCAGCCCAGCAGGAAACGTTCGTTTCAACCACCACCAATTCCGGCAAAAGGTTAATTAACTCCCAAGAATTCACGGGAGGGGGTAGTATCTGGCAAGCGCCTAGCTGTCAGGAAGGGCAGGTGGGAGTGGGTGCTCGCGGGGCCCTGCTTCAATTTTTCTTGCTTTCAAAACTTGGCTCTTACAGCTTTCGTTGCCCAGGCCAGCCCATTTGTTGTTGAGTTGCCAAGCCACAAACGAACACAAAACACAACTTCCCCAAGGCTCGGGCTGAAAGCAGCGGGCCCGCATGTCCCGCCGGAGCTGGGCACTCTGTTGCAGCAGCTGGGGCAGAACATGGCAGAAGGCCGGCAATTGCGGCTGGCGCGAACTGCCAGGAAAGCAAGCAAGCGGGAGCTTGAGGATTGCTCACTAAGCCGTTGCTCGCTGCATTTTATTGCGCCTAAGCCGGGATGCCCCCCCTTTCTTTGGGAGCGCCATGTGTAGGAAACCTTGATCTACTGTTGATGGCGCGTACTGCGGTGACCTCACCCATCCACTGAGTTAGGCGGAACACCCAAGGGTTCCGATGTTCAGGGGCAACATATGTGCAGAATCTTCACCCAATCGAGGAAGCGCAGGTGCTCCTGCAGTTACACGCTCCCATGGCTTCAAAACATCAGCTTCTGAATTAATTTGACGCGAGTATTTTTTTGGCTGGGGAGAGAAACGCCATGGTTTTGCCGCAGGCGCCGAGATGAAGAAGGTGGTTGCCAGCATCCAGCGCCTCCCCGTGGCGCCACGTGAGGTGTTGGCAGCGCCTGCCCGCCCGGAGGCAAAGGATTTCTTCCGAGAAGTGGGCCCCCAAAGGAAAGTAGACTTTCAAAACGCTGTCAGCCTCCATGCTTGGAGGGTTTGTCAGATTCCAGTTGCTAGGTGGAGCGCCCTTTTCGTGGCTTAAAGAAAAGGGACGCGGCGGAGCCATCCCACCCCCTCCCGCAGCCTGGAAACAGGTGCGCTCCTTCGGGACCAACACCACGCAGGCGGTGGCGCCGACCTGAGACGCGGTGCCTTTTTGGGGAAATGGTGCGATAGGCAGGGAATGAGTTGGAATGACCCTAACCATCCCACCAGGAGATGGCGAGAGAGGCCCTATAGTGGCCCTATGTTTTCCTTTAAACGAATCCCAAGGCTCATTGTTTCTCATTCCCTGCCTGTCGCACCAGAAAGTTTTTTGGGGCGGCTTTTGTAAAGCAATGGCACATGTTCAAGGTTTCCTTTGACAGAAACGGTCAAATTTCCCCCTGAGGGTTGGGGAGGATTTGCCATTCGGGTCACCGAGTCGGGGGTAAAACTAGTTTACTTCCTTCAGTTCGGGAGTTTTTGTGTCAGCTGGCTTGGACACTTGGTTTGACTTACTTCCCAGCGAGTTACCAGCGCTAACCATTTTTCCGCAAAAACGCCAGCGGTAGGGATGCTCACCAACCTGTTGATGTGGGCCTCAGACAGCCAGTATAAAAGTTCTTACAAACGGAACCGCATCCATGACCCAAGCAGCTCGCATGGGGCCACGGGAAAAGCGTGGTCGCACCCTTGCGTCAACCCTTGCGAGTTGTTTTGTTTTGCACCTCAGGTGCAAGGTTAGGATGGAAGGTTAAACCCGCCCAAGAGTGCGAGACACCCGGTCATTTTTGTTCAATGCACTATATATATATATACATATATATATATATGTGTGTGTGTGTCTATGTCACAACAACAGGACGCCGCCAAGCTGAAAGGGGGCGGGGGCCATAGCCACCAAAGGGTTGATTGTTTCCACACTCCTGGCCCAAGGAAACTGAGAAGTGGCCCAAGGAAACTGAGAGGTGAAATTGAAACTTGGTTCCCGCCCGCGAAAACCCTTCCTTCTGGTCAGGGCTTGATTTTGTTCCTGGCTTGGCGCTACATTCGTGTTTATTTCTTAGGGGATGTCTCAAGGGTCAAGTTCCTTAGTGGCATTGTTCGATCTGCAACCGGCGGCTTTCTTGCTAAAAAGCCAGCCCCGCGCCTGGCTGTGCTTTGTTTAGTGCAAACCAAGAATGTGTGTTTTGCAGCTCGGGGTTGTCTCAAAATGGGAGAGACTCCCAAATGGTTGATGCCTTTAACTTCTTTCAAAGCCACCCCTAGGGCACACACAGCATCTTCAGGTGCTGCCCAGCAAACCGGCGCAAGAGAAGGAGGCTGTCCCCGAGCATGTGGACAGTCGCGACTTCGAGGCTCGCGATCAGATGGGTTGGGGTCAAGAAACAGCTCCCCATGACCAGGAGGAGGGGGGGTGGGGGGTCCGCCAATAGCTTCAGGACGTTCTATTTTTCAAGTCTTTCCCATGTCGCTTGCTGGTTGTAAACATCATCTTGTGAGTTCCCTTGGTCCCCTGGATTCAGCCTGAAAGGTGTTGCTTGAGCTTTGCCAAGAATGCGCAAGGGGGCATAGCAGCGCCGCTTCCCTGAAGAGACATTCCTAGAATTTGGTGTGCTTGCAACGTTGTTTGTTGCATCCTCCTGCTAAAACATGCTAAAACTGCTGAAGCGAAACTTGAGAGATAGTCGAATGCTGGCTCCGCTCGCGTTTGCCAGTGTAACGCTGCTTTTTCACCACCCTTAGGCACGATGTATTGGTGGCGGGCAGGAAACCAGTTCAGCCCAAGCCGCGATGGCAAATCTCAACAGTCAGGAAAGCAGGCATCTCATTGCAAGGGAGCGACTGGTCATGAAAGGATGGTTGAAGCAGCATGGGCATGGAGTTTGCAGCAAACCCTAAACCCTAAACCCTAAACCAGATGTGGAACCCGGTCTTTTTCGGGGCTGAAGTCAAACGACTTCAGGGGGAGCTCCGAAGACTTCGGGAGCAGCTGGAGGCCGGGGCTTGCAGTTTCGCGCGACTCGTTTGTCCGGATTGACCTAAGTGTGTCTCACGGTGGGGAACCCCCGCAACTAAGATGCGTGGGTGCCTCGTGGTTTCCCTTTGACATAGCGACAAGGGGCCCTCGATCTGCGAGACTCCCACCCTTTGGCCCATGCAAGCCAAAATCCTTTCTGAGGAACCAGTAGGTTCCATGCCAGGGTGGGTATATCGCGCACATTGGCTTAAGCAACTCCATGGGTAATCTTCGCAAGTTGCCGGAAGAAATGCAAGAAATATAGTTAGCATTATGTTTATCATGGTGTGTTATTTTTCTCGCTCTCTCTCTCTCTCACTCACTCGGCTCTTTCCGAGTATGCTGATCTTTGTCTTTCTCTTTCTCTCATGTCTATGTTTCTTTCTCTTCTCATATGTTTTCCTTGCTCTTTGTCTTTCTTGCTTAGTTATGTTTGTTCTTTCCTGTCTGTCTGTCTGTCTGTCTGTCTGTCTGTCTGTCTGTCTGTCTGTCTGTCTGTCTGTCTGTCTGTCTGTCTGTCTGTCTGTCTGTCTGTCTGTCTGTCTGTCTGTCTGTCTGTCTGTCTGTCTGTCTGTCTGTCTGTCTGTGAGGAACATTACTTGTGCAGATTCGCATGTTTATGTTTCACTATCACTGTCTCCTTCTTTTTCTTGCTCTTTCTCGTCTTCCCCTGGACGATGTGTCTACTTATTTTCTTATGTGGGCAGTTTCCACAAGCTCCGGTGTTTGGGGTAGATGCCAACCGGTTGCACCCCAGGCTTTCGGGGGATTCCCGCCAAAAAGTTCTACAGGGTGGCCTCCTACGCGGAACTGCACAGGTTTCCTGCGAATAGGAAAATGGTCTGCCAGCATGGATCTGTGCACTGCTATGATTGGGAGGGTGTCTATCCTCACTTACCCAAGGCCGACCTTTCGGCCGGTTGGATTCTGAAACAGTGGTCCATTTTTTGTCACGGCCGCAAAAGGTTATCGTTTTATTCCCGGGGTCCCTTGGGCAACTGAGCGTCACATTTGCAGATAATTTCACCGTTTGATTTTGTTTGGGACAAACATGAACAATCAACCCGCACCAAGATAAACCACTGCTTCTCTGTGGGAATGAGCCAAAGTGTGCGCGGCTGGCTGGTGGTTGTCTCAGGATAGTTTTTTGACAGCTCTACCCATGCACACCCCTGCTGTTTTGCACCCAGGGCTACTTTTCTTACTCAAGATTTGATCTCCAGCTACCTTTTCTATTTTCTAGTAGCCCAAGACCTCATTTTTGTTGCCTTTGGGGCTTCCAGGGGAGCATTTTGGGCCCTAAACTCTAAATTTGCGCCAACCCTTGGTGTTAAACAGAAGGTGTATTTGTTACTGCTTTTTGGCCCATCCCCCTTTGTTTGTGGGGGTGGAAGCGATTTCACCATATTTTCTCGTTGGTTCCAGGCTGAAGCAAATGGAATGGTTCATCCGCTCGGACGCTTTCTCCCAAGGCCCAGATCTTGGCGGCGCAGAAGGAGGCGGAGAAGCAGCGGCTCCGGGCGGAGGACCAAGCCGTGGAATCCACCCACCCGCACAGCCAGCCCAAGATTTGTGTTCTTTTTCCCCGGGAAAAAAACACGCGCCAAGAACATGTTTCACCCCACAAGTTGCGGTTAAGATCTCACTTTGGCAACGAAAGAAAACGTTGTTGCTTGCCAAGAAAAGGGTGTCTGTCTTTGGGCTATTCCAAAAAATGTGGTTTCCATTTAGTTTCCAATGAAAGGCCTCTCTAAAAAGACAAAACGTAACACCTGCCACTTGGGCGGCCCGGGGCAAGAGGTGGATGCGGTGAGGAAGCAAACTCAGGTGCTCAGGAATCCACATCCCTTCCCTCTTTTGCCTGAGTGTCAAGCAGGGGCTCTGCAAAAAGCATACTAAACGTCTTTCTTGTTGTTCTCCCTTAAAAAACAAGAAGCCAGAGGGAGGGAGGTTGGGGTATTCCGTTCTTGCTCTGCTCTTTTGGAGGGTATTCCTTTCAGGGAGTTTTCTTTTTAACGGGAAACCGACTGAAGTCTGTAATGTTGGGAAGCCCGAAGGAGGAGGGCTTTTTTTTTCTCGATAGTCAAGGGCATGTTCAGGTATGTGGGGGCCTGGCTGAAAAGAAACAGCAAAAGAAGCTGGTAAGGCAGTCCATACCCTAGCGACCTTCAAAACCCATACCTGAGAATCCCTTAGCCATTGGAGGTCTAGCTGTTGCGTTTCAGGGTGGCAGATTGGGTAGGCTTGACAACAGGTCCAGCTTGTGGGATATGAAGGCTTACACAGGTCGGGTTGATGGCCGTGTCAGAGGGATATCCGAAGTTCCAGATTGTGCTTCTAGATTGTGCTTTGCTTTCTGGTGGAGATGTACACCAAAGTTCACCAAAGTTCCACGGACACCGTCCTGTCCACGAGCATGGAACCCGCCACAGAGTCCCTTTTAAAGGCAAAGATACTTCCAGGACCTCTCAATAAGGTTCCACGTTGGTGGACAGGAGCATACCCCTTGTTTGGTCATGGTTGTTGCTGGGAAACATTTTACAGTTTTGCTTATTGTGGTTTAGTGGTTGGCATCCAACCACTTAACTGCTAAATTTTAAGTTGTTGCTCCCCTTCCAACGTCAACCAAGTGGTGGTTGTTTGGCTCAGTTGCCCGCCGGCCTGTTGGTTTTGCCTTGGTCGATTTTAGTACGGGTCCCAAAAGGTGATCACCTTTTCTATTTCCAGGTCCAATGAGGGCAACTGAGGGAAACCCAAAGGACAACTACTACCCTCCCTCCAAACAATTGAAGCTGGCATGAGACAATTTTTGAAGACTGCTTTCCTTTTTGGGAAGCCCCTGTCCACTTCCATGATTGTCGGAAAGAGTTTGTGTTTTTTTCCCAACCTAAAACTTGGCCAGCGGAGAGCACCCCAGTTTCGGGGCGACGGGGCGACGACGCGGCGGCCGCTTCGCAGGAGGCGCTGAAACGCCTCGAGGAGGAGATGAAAAAGGCGGGCGAGGGGTGCGAAGAGTCCAATGGGGGGCAGAGGGGGGTGGGAGAGGGGGGTTGAGGGTGGGTCGGGGGTGGGTGTCTTCAGTTCTTCAGTTTGTTTTTCCCGGTTCGTTGGGAGAAGTTGAAGCTAATCATTTGGCATTCTGAGGTCTAAATAGAATCAAAGAGATGGTTTTGTGCGGGGCGAACACTGCAGTATGTCCAATTGAATTGGCAAGCTCTAAGTGCTAGTTGGCTGGTTGTTTTCCGAATTTCAGGGGAACACAATGAAACTGACCAGTCAACTTGGCGGGTCAGGTACTCCCGGATCTCTCAGGATGCTCTAGGGTTGTTGTTTGTTTGCCGTACGATCTGGATAAACCAATATTTATTTCTGGATTGATTGACCCTCCGGATTACTGCTGATTGGTGGGCATGATTGTGCCAGTTTGTCACGCTTGTCAAACTTAGAGTGTGGGTCCTTCCCACTTACCCAGGACTAGGACTGATTGGCACAACGAGCGCGCTTACCTGCATTGGGCTCCTGACGGGTTCATGGGGATTCCATGTTCCTCTTGGCCGGCAATTGGAAGCAAGCCGCGCATATAAATTCGGCAACTACTCCGAAATGGTCTCTTCCCAAATTTGAAATAGGCTGAGGCCCATATCTGGAGATAACCAGGGCCGGATTTAGGCAAGTAGCAACGTGCTTGCCCCGACATATGAGTCCTACGAGTGGTGACATGCTTCCTCCATTTGGAAATAGGAACATGGTGGGAGCCAAACAGATGGGACTTTTGAGAGTTCCACTCACGATGCCAAGCTTTTTCAGCATCCGCGCAACTTCGGGAGGTCAACTTCGAATTTCCTGATGGGTGGTCACATTTGGAGCCTCTCAGGGGAATTCCCGGGAATTCCTGGGGCACGTTCGTTCCAGAAAACAAATTTTGGCCGATGACCATTCTTCTGTCAGGCTTTAGATGCCACAAGCAATTTTGGGCATCGGTGCGTGCGGCAAAGCTTGGCGGTCAAAGATCGACGACATGGATTGAAGGGGGTAGATCATTTTGCCATCCTTCAGCCTTCAACATGCAATCAGGAGAGCGGCAATTTTCGAGCACATGTGCAGTCTGATTTGTTTTTTTCACGGTTGGAAGAGGGCATGCTTTGGCATTCATTAGCCCTCAAGCTGGCCCCCGTCTTGAAATTGGGAATGACCTGCTCTCACTTGTTTGCCAGTATGGTTTTCGCACTCAGAATTGGTGGTTGTCGGAAGGTACGGAGACAGGGTCCATTGGGCGGAGTTGGTATTTATTGGCTTTGTTCGTGGAACTTCACCGGAAAAAAAAAAAAGAGGAAACACAAGAGAAAAACAAACTCGTTGGGGGGTGATGTTTAGGGCAGGGGCAATCAAGTTCATGAGGCATCAATTTGTCCAAAGGGTTTATCGCCCTTCGACCCCCGGTCAAAAGGAACCTCACTTCATCGGGCCATTCTGTTTCAACCACGAAAGGCTCACTTCCTGAGTTCAACTTGAAACTTTTTGTGGTTTGGGCCATTTAAGTTTGGTTACTTGTTTTGGGCCATCCACTCAGTGAGAAGGGGGTACGAGGAAACATATTTCCCAAGAAAGGAGGGGATCAAGAGTCTGCCACGCTTCTGCGTTGTCCTTGGAATGCTGTGAGAGCTGTGCCTCGTTTTCTGGGCTTTGTGCAGCTCGAGCGGGGGGGCTGTCTCCTAGTAGGCCAAAGGGTCAAATTGCATCCTTTCACATCCCTCACCACAAGTATAGGGGACCGCTGAGAGGTGTGTATGGGGTAGAATCGGTTCAATCACCTGAGCTCCCCCTTGGAAGTTGTTTCAAGGGGCTTGCCCCATCCACACCCCACTTCTCCAGTGGGTTGCGCATGTTTGAACGGGTTTTCCTCTAAGGAACACCTAGGCTTCCAAGGGATCACCCTGCGGCCGAGCAAAATCCTGCAGGGATGGTGAAGCCCGGAACAGCCGATTTGGACTGGCGTAGGATTTTAAGTCCACGTTTTTCAGGAAGTCACCTCCAAATCGCCAATCCAACTCACCAACTCACTCCATCAGTTCCTGGACTTCAAAAACTTTAGGAGAAGACAATTTTAGTGGCAAACAAAACTTCAGACGTTTACTGACCCCTCCACTCAGGACGTGAGCTGCTCATTTATTTTTATTTTCTTGTGCGGTCCTGTTGAGCTAGGAACTACTTGGGTGTGTTCGTTTTCAGGGTACAAGGGCCCTGTTTTTGGGGGCGAATGGTGGGGCCAACTGTCAGGTACCCCTCATTTGGTGGTTTGGGGATTTTGAGGTAAATAAACCCCTCCTTGGCCACCAAACCACCGGCCACCAGCGGTTGATCCCATTTTTTTTTTGCAGCCCCCAGGTTTATCTATAACAAAGGCTGCTCAACCACCAAACCATCTATCCAAACCACCAGTTCGAGGGAAGCCGAAGTGGGGGGGCAAGGCGAGTGTTTCTTGTTGGGCAGGCGGAACAGCTGATCGCGGAGCTGCGGCGGAAGCTCAAGGCGTTTTGTCGTCTCGACGGGGGGGGCGGGTCACATTCAATCCATCTTCTTTGTCTTTTTTTTATGTGTTTTTTCATCTTTTTTTCCGTGTGTTTTGTTTTTTCCTGTTTTTGTTTGGGGGGGGGGGGAGTGGATATGATATGTTGTTTCTCTTGGGGTCCATTACTTTGTTTCGTTTTTATCCAGCATTCGTTTTGTGTGTGTTTTCGCTTGGGGGGGAACACCTGCTGGGGAATGGGGGTAGAAACTTCCGGGGCCCAGCTGCATCTTTGAGAGCCCCTCCCAGGAAAAAATCCGATGACCAAATTTGCTCGCTTTGCTAAGTTTGGGTCCGCTTTAGTCAGAACATGGGCGTGTTTTTTTTTTTTTTATTGAACCCCGGCGGTTGTGGTTTGAACAGGGGCACCAAGAGGTCAACTCACCGTTTTGGGGGTCCCCTAATGAAACTGCTGGGGTCATACAGGTTTTAGTCCACCTTTCCAGTTGCCAGGGTTCCAGGTTGGACCCCTATTCTTGAGCCACGCCGATTTCAGTCTAGGGCCGCAAAAGTTAAAGTTCTGACTGTCCCCGCTTGAGAGCCTGCCACCAACAGAAGTTCAGAGGCTTGCTTGAATCGTCCAAAAGACCGTGCACCGGCCACAATTTTTGCTGCTTCCATGTCCAATGTACACTTACTCCAGACTAGCTTGTTTGTGTTTTTTGGATCTATCACTTCTGGAAATATGTCCACTATCTTTCCAGAAGACGCATGGGCAAATGGAAGGGTCGGAGAGTAGGGTGACCCATGGGGTTTAAGCACCCTTGTTCCCGATGCAGATCACGGCGATCTGCCTAGGAGCTGGAAGCACTGCTGCAGAAAGCCGGGCTCGGCAAGCAGGCACAGCGCTTTCGACGGCTGCGGCTGTGAGAAAGCGTCCTCACTCTCGTGGGGCGAGTACCCCCGTTGTTTTGGATTTCAGTGACAAGGGACGCACACACACACAAGCACAAACACAAACACAAACACACACACACACACACTCACACACACACACAAACACACAAACACACACGCACACACGCACACACGCACAAACGCACAAACGCACAAACGCACAAACGCACAAACGCACAAACGCACAAACACACAAACACATAAACACACAAACACACAAACACACAAACACACAAACACACAAACACACAAACACACAAACACACAAACAAACACAAACACAAACACAGACACACAAACACAAACACAAACACAGACACACAAACACAGACACACAAACACACACACACACAAGCACACACAAACACAAGCACACACACACACAAACACACACACACAAGCATGCACAAGCACAAGCACAAGCACAAGCACCAGCACCAGCACCCAGCACCAGCACGCGCACGCGCACGACGCGCACGCACACGCACACGCCCACGCCCACGCACACGCACACGCCCACGCACACGCACACGCACACGCACAAGCACAAGCACGAGCACGAGCACGAGCACGAGCAGAAACACAACCACAACCACAAAACACAAACACAAACACAAAGACAAACGCACAATCACACAAACACACAAACACACAAACACACAAACACAAACACACAAACTCAAACACAAACACACAAACACACAAACACAAAACACACAAACACACACACAAACACAAACACAAACACAACCACAACCACAACCACAAGCACAAGCACAACCACACACACACACACACACACACACACGCACGCACGCGTGCACGCACACGCACACGCACACGCCCACACGCACACACGCACACACGCACACACGCGCACACGCACACACGCACACACACACACACACACACACACACACACACGCACGCACGCACGCACGCACGCACGCACGCACCCACACACACACACACACACCCACACACCCACACACCCACACACCCACACACGCACACACGCACACACGCACACACGCACACACGCGCACACGCACACACGCGCACACGCACACACGCACACACGCACACACGCGCGCGGGCACGCGCGCACGCACGCACGCACGCACACACACACACACTCACCCACACACGCACACGCACACACACACACACACACGTACACACGTACACACGTACACACACAAACACACACACACACAAACACACAAACGCACAAACGCACAAACGCACAAACACACAAACACACAAACACACAAACACACAAACACACAAACACAAACACACACACACAAACACAAACACAAACACAGACACACAAACACAGACACACAAACACACACACACAAGCACACACAAACACAAGCACACACACACAAGCACACACACAAGCACACACAAGCACAAGCACAAGCACAAGCACAAGCACAAGCACCAGCACCAGCACCAGCACCCAGCACCAGCACGCGCACGCGCACGACGCGCACGCACACGCACACGCACACGCGCACGCGCGCACGCACGCACGCACACACACACACACACACACACACACACACACGCACACGCACACGCACACGCACACGCACACGCACAAGCACGAGCACGAGCAGAAACACAACCACAACCACAAAACACAAACACAAACACAAAGACAAACGCACAAACACACGAACACACAAACACACAAACACACAAACACACAAACACACAAACACAAACACACAAACTCGAACACAAACACACAAACACACAAACACAAAACACACAAGCACACACACACAAACACAATCACAAACACAAACACAAACACAACCACAACCACAACCACAACCACAAGCACAACCACACACACACACAAACACACACACACACACCCACCCACCCACCCACCCACCCACCCACCCACCCACCCACCCACCCACCACCCACCACCCACCCACCCACCCACGCACGCACGCACGCGCGCACGCGCGCACGCGCGCACGCGCGCAACGCGCGCACGCGACACGCGCGCACGCGCGCACGGCTGCGCACACGCGCACGCGCGCACGCGCGCAACGCGCGCGCACGCGCGCACGCGCGCGCGCGCACGCGCGCACGCGCACGCGCACGCGCGCACGCGCACGCGCGCCACGCGCACGCGCGCGCACGCGCACGCGCGCGCACGCGCACGCGCACACGCGCACACCCGCACGGCACGCGCACGCGCACGCGCACGCGCGCGCGCACACGCACACGCACGCGCACGCGCACGCGAACGCGCCACGCGCACGCGCACGCGCACGCGCGCACGCGCACGCGCACAGCACGCGCACGCAGCACGCGCACGCGCACGCGCACGCAACGCGCACGGCGCACGCGCACGCGCACGCGCACGCGCACGCGCAGCGCACGCGCACGCGCACGCGCACGCGCACGCGCACGCGCACGCGCACGCACACGCACACGCACACGCACACGCACACGCACACGCACACGCACACACGCACACGCACACGCACACGCACACGCACACGCACACGCACACGCACACGCACACGCACACGCACACGCACACGCACACGCACACGCACACGCACACAAACACAAACACAAACACAAACACAAACACAAACACAAACACAAACACACACAAACACAAACACAAACACAAACACAAACACAAACACAAACACAAACACAAACACAATCACAAACACAAACACAAACACAAACACACGTACACACACACAATCACACACACGCAGACACGCACACACACGCACACACACAGTGGTCAGCGTCCTCACTTTGTTGTTTTTTTCTCGTCGTAAAAATAGGCTTGCTCCGATGGAATAGATGACCAAACTGCAGACCAGGAGTTGGGAGTCTTGGCTTGCCTTTGTAGTTGGGTTCTTTCATCTTGGCAATCACCCAACAAAAATACCATATCGTTGGTTGCAAGTAGATGGCAGAACCTCTCCATGTTGGTTTTGTCATCTTCTTGACGGACATAAAGGGAAGCGTGCCACGTGTTTGCTCACGCCGTCATCAGGGGCCTTTGGCCGAAACTGTTTGTGTTGATCCTTCAGGGGGGTTGCCTGGACAGATTGTGCCAGCTCCTCAAAAAGCAAAAACAGCACTTGGAGCAAGATTGACTTCTTGCACACGCAAGCGAGGTTGGCCAAGGAATGAAAACCTCCAAGGAGCTAAGCAGATGCGTTCCGCAATTTGCCGGGTGGCGATTGTTGAAAGTCAGGACCCTGCACAAGAAGCATGCCGAACTCCTTCGAGAGAATCGGTCTGGAGCGTGGTAGGAAGTCAACCCACACCATTTGCTCGTTCTGCGGAATCCGGTCAATCTGCTTTATGAAAGACACCTATTAGATGCTTTTATCATGACAATTGAGCCACAATCGAAACCCATGTAATTAGAGGGTAATGGACAATCCCAGCCACACATGGGTGCGGAGATCCCCCCTTTCAATTCTTTACATGGTTCTGGGCACCTGAACCCTCTCAAACTACCCATTAAAAAAAAACAAACATCCCTTTTTCTTGTAGTTTCATGGGGGCTGGGGGTGGGAGGGGAGGGGGAGGAAGCCCAAATAAGCCCTGAAAAGGCCTTGTTTAGGAAATATTTGGGCTCCCTCCCCCTCTCCCCCCCCAGCCCCCATGATAGTCTGAGGGTCCAGGTAGCCCATTTGACCCGGCGTTTTGGTGGGGACTCCAACGCATCCCAACGCGTCAAACCCATCCGAACTGACCAACGCGCGGCGAGCCGAGCTTCAGGTGGCGGAGCTCTTCGCCCAGGCGGGGCTCGCGGATTTCCTGAAAGGCCGGGACGTCTTCGAGCGCCTCTACCGAGCGCCCTGGGCTGAATGAATCCCGATGCCGGTGGCGCGGAAATATAGGGAAAACATGTCTTGGGAAGACCATTTTCGGGGTAAATTGTTGGTTTGGACCTTTTTTTTGGGCCATCCACTCTGCAAGTGAGAATATATGGACAAGTGGACATCTGGCTGTGGGTCCCCCAGCAATTGGTGCCCTTTCTTATCCGTTGTTCTTTTCTGTTTTTGTTGGGAGGGTTTTGTCTACTAAAATAGACTGCAGGAAACAAAGGGTACCCTGATTGCAACCTCTCAACTGGAAGAGCCTAGGGCCTAGATGTGGAAAATATATGTCTGATATCTTTTAGACCCACATGGATTTCGGGAACGGTTGGCCTCCCCTGGACCCTTTGGTGAGGAAAGAAGTTGGTCCCAACCGGCAAATGTTACCCTCAAAAGAGAGAAAACAAAAGCAATGAGCCAAGCAGCGCACGCAATTCTTTTGAGCCCTCAAACTATGGCTCACTTGCTGCAAGCTGACCTTGTGAGCTTGTAGTTGCCAGTTGTTGGTGCATGTTTAGTCATGGCAGCCTTTGATTTCCGGATGCTTTGGGCGACGGAGAAGGTTCAACCTGGTGGGTTTTTTTGAATCGGCGGCGCTCTTCCAAAGGGAAGGATCCCCTCTCAAAGAAGACACCGATCAAGAGTCAACCTGGGGTTCGATCCTGGGTTCGTAGCTTTTAGGGGACATTGCCTGAAAGTTGGCGGGGGATTTTAAAGGGTTGTTTGAGGGTCCAAGCAGCGCTTTCCTGGAGATTTCCTAAACAAACAGCAATGAGGAGTTGTTTAGCTTTTCTGTTTGGATTCCCCGCAACAAGGGCATTCGTTCTCCGCCGTGACTGAACAACTGGCACATGCGTTCCCCAACTTTTTCTTTGCTGGGCTTGATGCCAGATTTCTTAAACAAGGTGTTTAGTCACACCAACGTGTACCTTTAGAGGTCAACAAAAGGCCGCGTGTTCAAAGCGAGATCCTCCTTGGGCTGAGTATCTCCTGCTAGTCCCGCTGCTTTCTTGCTTGTTTTCCTACCTCAGTTTTACCAATTGAAATGTCAAAGCCCCCCCAAAAAGCAAGTGGACTTACAACTTGTTCGACTGACTCACAGCACGCCGACGCGGAGACAAATCCCCCCTCCTGCCCAAAACTTCTCGAAGATCCTGGTCTCTCCCCCAGAACGACCCACGCCCCCCGCAGCTTTCTCGCCGGTTTTCGTGTCGGTGAGACCCAGGGTTTGTGGGATCAAAGGGTTTCTCCCCACTTGATACAAGGGAACCCCCCTTATTAACAATGTAGTCTTTGAGAAGCCCTTTTCGTTGTATTACAGAAGCTAGGTTTTCCAGTAGTGCCCTTCCCTTTTTGGGGGGGGAGGGTTCCCCTAGTAAAATAGACTCCAGAAAAAAATCGGGCGCCCTTATTCTAACCTCTCAAATCTGGAGGGCCTAGGAAGTGGGTTCCATTCCCCACAGCGGCTGACCCGCCCCGAGGACGCGCTGCGGCGCATGCGGAGCCAGGCGGAGGTGCAGGCGAGGCTCACGGAGGAGTCCTCGCAGCTCTTCCTGCGGACCCTGCAGGCGCGGTCAGCAGCGCCAGACTTGGTGGCTGAGAATTGGGGAGACAAGCAAAACACCTTTTTTTTTGGGGGGGGGACTGACCCAAATGGGTGTTCCATTTTAAAAGGCATAAATTGTGTTTTATAAATATTTTCAGAGACCCCCCCCAAAAAAAATATATATAGAAAAACAATGGGGAATTCGGAATGCAACGGTCCAGGACCTTTCCTCGCACCCGCTGGTGGCGGTGGATGCTGCCATGGAGCACTGGCCTCAGGGTATGAGTCAAACGGATTTGGACGGATGGATCTCGGCTTTGCTTTGGCTCACTTCCGGAGTCTGTGTGTCTGTGTGTCTGTGTGTCTGTGTGTCTGTGTGTCTGTGTGTCTGTGTGTCTGTGTGTCTGTGTGTCCTGGACGTTTGGCACTTTTTGGGTTTGGAGCAGTTTGGTGGTAAATAAACAGTTCCCGCGGACAGCTTGTTGGACAATCCGCTCGATCGGAATGAAATTGGCTTAGGTTTTCAAAAGGCCACAGAAACACAACTCAGATTGGTTGGTGTGATCCCCCAACCTTTTTGGTGGCTCATGGAGCGGCTTGGGTTCATGGCCCAGGGTTGAGTTGGCCGCAGCCCCCCCCCCCTCCCGGTTTAATGCGGTAAGGTTTGGAGCCATGGACCCTTGAGATCCATCCGAAAGCCAAGTACCAACAACACCTTGGAGTCGGGGTTGGACCTCACATGGTTTGCAGATAATCGGCGCCAACACCCTTCGGTATTAGGTGGGCTTCCTATAGAAGGTCTTGTCTCGCTAGTTGCATGAACCAATTTAAGCGGACCAACATGAAACATGAAGCCAGGCGCAGTGGCGTACATTGGAGGGGTTGCAACGGTAGATGCCTCTTTGGGGGCGTACTGCCTTAAAAGGGGGTCTGGAAGCTGACAGTCAGAAGGTCATAATTTTGTCCCGCGAACGAACCCCTGGATGCTTAGGGGTTCCATTCCATTTCAAAGGGTCCTTCATTGTTTGGGAAACACCCTCGGTCGATGAATCCGGGGTCGACTTTACTCCAAACAACCCGGTAACCCCGCAATGACTCCTGACTCACTTCGCTCAGCTGAATAAATGAGTGACCCACCAACCCGTGCAGTGATGGCCTTCCCTTCCCCAATTTGCAAGGACAACGCCCATCCAACCTGCAAGCGTCCCCTATTATAATCCATGCCGCTCTTACATACTGTATTGGCCAATCTACTCAGGCAGTGAGTCAACCGCTGCCGTGTATGCACTCCTGGTATGAACTAGTTCATTTGCCAAGTCGCCATTCAATATGGCTTAAGTATGAACAGCCAGCCAGCAAAGGAGCCCAACACGGATGTCAGCTTGTGAGTCTGCACGGCCCAGCCGTTGAAGATGAGCAAGCACCTTGATTCCCACTGCTATGCCCAAAGGAGCTAAATGAATATAAACTCATACCCGGGCTCATACTGGGAGCTTCTAGTGACATCAATCTGTGCACATTCCTGGCTGGCTCTTAGGAGCGAGCAAGCATGCAGCAAGAATGTGATGGCTGCGTTACCACGAACCAAACATAAAACTGAGCAAATGAACAACTGCAAGGTGTCCAAGCATCAGCCATGCCAGTCAGCTCTCGCACGAGAGCAAAGCACCGCGTCGCCGTCAGCCCCTGCAAGCCCCAACTCCCCAGCCTTTTTTCAGCTCCAAATCCCAAGTACCAGGTAACCAAACAGCAGTGGTTCAGTGGTATGTGCTGGAAGGTCTTTTGGGGCACCTCAACATGGGCATGGGTCAACATGAAACCACCAGGGGACCTCAGGTTTTAGTCCATGTTTCCACTTCCAGGCTTCAATTGTGGTCAGTCACCTCAGGTGGAAGGTGGTCGTTTTGTCAATCCTCAGGCTGCACGCCGGCCAGCTCCCGCTGCAAGTGCTGCGGTTTTTGCCCCCCGAGATGGAGGGCGACAGCGCGCAGCTGGTGCCTTTTGTCGACGCGGCGGCAGGGTTTTCAGGGCTCCTTAAAAGATACATTTTGCCCATTTGAAGCATGGCTTTTTCCACCAAAATAAAGGGAAACCACAATTTACAAGGCAATGTTCAGGTGTATCACGTAAGGATCCCTGCTTTTTGTTTTTTATTGTCCGGGAAGGCCAGGCTAGAAACACCCTGACTCAGGTGGCAGATTTTGGGTTGAGGAGTTGAATCCTTTGGATTTAGGGAAAGGCAACGTTGTCCAAGGTGTGGGTGCTATGCCAATCGTTCTTGATTTGGAAGCCACAGTTGTAGGATCCACCCCCTTCCCCCCTGACGCCCGACCCTAACAAGGGCCTTAAGTCTCTATTTGAGGAAGCCATAGGGCGCGTTTCGGATCCGATCTGAGTCAGCGAACATCGGACGATTCCCCGGATTCGGGGTTAGAGAAAGCACCCCGTGAAGTAGGCCGTGACCGGATCCGAGTCTGGTTTCAGTTGCAGCCTACACGTTCATTGGAACAAACTGGGCAAGCCGCCGCTGAAAAGCTGAAAAGCGGTTCCTGAGTTATGGCGAGTTTGCGCGCTGCGTGTAACAAAGGACGGAGCATTGGTTTATTTGTCCACATCCCCCCCAATCTGACGCGTTCAAATAATCTAAGGAAAAACCCGAACTAGCAGGGCCTATGTCGTTATCTCTGTTTTTGAGGATACTTGCTTTAAGGTTGGCTTAAAGGGACACCAATAGGAAAGCTACCTCGTTTTTGGAGTCCAAATCCCTTTGACACAACACCCTGTACATTCCCCTTTGAGAACCCTCCCCCCCCAAAAAGGAGCCGCCTTCCCTTCTGCAGGTGCCGAGTCAGCCGGAGAAGGGACGTCCTGTGCGGTTCAAGACCACCAGCGCTTTGGAGCTTCGGCTAAAAAATGTGAAACCCCCTCCATGGTAGAATTCAGGGAAGGCACCTGACCGACAAGTTCTTGGGCCCAGAATTCGGAACTCCAATACTTGGATTTGCAGGGAAAACACGCCAATTAGAACTTCAACCCCTCCCCCACTGCCCACGCTTCCCGATTCAGGTAGGGAAGGATGCTGAAAGAAGCGAAGCGGAATGTGACATTTGAAACCTGCCGCGGGTTTCCATTTGGTGCGAAATGAGAAACACTCATATCTTTGAGAACTTAAACGAGATGAGGGGATGCGCCTTTTGTCTTTCATCAAGCTTCCTGTTGGCGTTGTCCAGTGGATTCCATGCTGGGTGGGTCTTGGGGCCCACGTAAACACCTCCTGCCCAAAGATCGTGTCATGTTTTATCCCGTCACTGGCAACTGGATAGTCGACGCACAAATAGGGCTATGTTAAGAGATGATCAAAACACGCATGAATGCATGGGTCAAAATTTTTGGATTTACCCTTCCAGCTAACATGTCCTCGGACTTGTTCATGTTTGCCTGGCTGCGGTCTGCTTTCTCCATTGTTTGCCTGGGATTGTCATTTTTGACTAGATTTGCCTAGTTTACTCGTTCATTCTGCTCCCGGGTCCTAAAGTGTCCACAGACACAGCAAAATTCTAATTTACTATATGTTAGCTTAATTGTGTGGTTGAGTATGTTTGGTTTACTTGTGGCAGGATTTGCCTCTACCTCAGGTGGATGAGCCGTTACACCTGGAGGTGAAGCAACTGACCCGCGCTGCCACGACGGAAGTCCGGATTACGCGATGCGAGCCTTTGCTCAAAGTCCTAGCTGCGCCTAATCCGGTTCCATCCGCTCCCAGGTTTCTTTGGGGTCATTTTTGTTGACTGTTCCGGAGGTTATCATAGTCAGAAGCTGGAACTGGTGGTTTCCCTCTACCACTCCGGGGGGAGAGTTTGGTAATGGTGCGATAAATGGGGCTAGTTTCTCCGACTTTCAAAGCTTTAGTTGGTTGAGTTGAACCGTGTTCTTGGTTTTTGAACTCAAGAGCAACCCATTTGCTCTAGGGACCGAACTGCAACCCTGACAACATACATTGTTTGGTAGTTGTTGTCCTTTTGCTCCGGGGATCAAACTTCTACCCTTGCCACATTTTTGGAGCAACCCTGTTTAGCAGTTTGTTTCAATCGTTTGTTTGGCTTTGTTCAATTCTAGTGGGGCTTGTTTGTTTGGCAACACTTAAATGTGGTTTGGATTACTTGATTTGTTGGTTCCCCCCGTGCAATTTGTAAGGGGTGGCTGCAAACCTTGCTCACCGAACTTTGTTTCTCGTTTTCCATACGGTGTGGGGGCTTGCTGAACGAGTTGTGCTTGCTCGATTGGCTGCAGAGAGCGTTTGACCCCGATAACTTTATCTGGGCTTGCAAGCCACGGTCTGATTTCTTAGTATTTCTTCTTTGTAGCTGTTTATGCATGGTTACTTTTACTTAGCCTGGTTTCATTTTGCTCGCCTGAGCGCACTTTTGACTTGTTCACTTTTGCTTGGTCAGTTGCATCTGTTCACCTTTACCAGCACTCCCCCTGCCCCCACCGCGACCACTGCTTTCTGGACAGTGATTGGGATTTTGGACACGAGAAAAAGCAGTTGTTGAGGGGTACTGGTGGCCTTTCTTCTTGTCTTCTTGTTCACCGAGCACTTGGGAAGGAGCCTTCACGCTCGCCATCACCCCCAACAACTCTCGGCGGAAACGGCGGTCGTTCTATGCCGCGCGGGACGAGCCCCGAGCCACTCGGGCGCGGCGGGACTGGGGGAGCACTCAAGACGAATCGACCGGATCTGACCTGTTACTTCCATTTGCTTAGAATCTTGCGTATTTTCCCGTATTGGTTTTAAAGGGAATCCATCACTACTGGCCATATGTTCAATTTGTGCAGAGGCATTAGTTTAAGGCAAATGGAGGTTTGGTGTCCCTTATTGGCAACCATTTTTGACCCCCGATGGTTAAAGCAATCGGGGCCCAAAGGAGTTTAGTCACCCCCCCTCCCGGAATGTATTGAAATGAGTGAGGCTAGCATGCTTTTTCGTTACGATAGCCCACCCGCGTAGTGGAGCTTGTGCCTTTTTGTTGAAAGCGACTGCCATGCTTTTGCGCGGGGAGTATCTTGTGGCATCGCACTGCAGCTTTTGTCAAAGCTTTGCCTTCCTCCCGCAGCCTTCAATGATGGGATCTCACCCCGAGGGGAGGGGGCAAGTGGGCGGTAACGGAGGGGGTGATCTAAGACCTCAAGGTCCAGCTGTAACTTTCGCAGAGCTTCGCAGTTTCAATCGAAAGCACCAGTAGATTGTTGTTATGAAAGGCCGGGGAACTCCAGTGACCTCCATTATTTCCCATACAGCTTTCTTTCCAGACGCAAATCCGAGCAACTGCAGCGGAACTCGAAGGCTTTTGAGGGAGCACGACGTTGAGTAGAATGGGACGGGGGATCAACCCCCAGACATACCCCCTTGGTGCAAAATCGCAGTCTGCAAGCTATGCTGACCCCCTTCTCCCCTTGTGCCAGCACCCTCTTGCAGACCAACACTCAGCCCAGCTTCGAGGAAACCCCTTTTCGGGGACCCCGTTCTTGGGGTCCATGTTCACTTGTCCCCCACGGCACGTTAGGACCATGCAGAAGACTCGGAGCCTGCCTGGGAGGGCTCCCGAGATCCTGCGGCAAGCTTCTAAAGGAGCTTTCTCGCGAAGCGAAGCGGAAAAAAACGGCAAGCCGCTTTGGGCACCCGTTTCATGGCCAGACTGAACCGGGCCGGGTGTGTGGGGAGGACTCACCTCCCATAGGGAATTCGTTTGGAAGGTCTTCCATTGGTATGTTGCCAATTCTCAACTCTGGACTTCTTGGCTTCATCTGACCTCAAGAGGCATGTGGGCCAGGGTTGAACAACTCACGCGATCGGAGGCTTCCAAAGTCCAATCTCTTTTGCTGGTACCCCTCCCACCCTTTGCACATACCTGAGATCGGGGCCCGGTCCCTTCAAACGGAACATGGTCCAAACCAAGCCAGGTTCTATGCTGATTGGTAGGAGGGTAACGACCAGGTGAATGGAATTGGGCCCCGGAACCCCCACCTCCCCCCCTGGCTAAGGTAGGGGTGGGGTGCCCATGGCCCTATCCAGAATCGAGCTTTTGACCTTTCGGTTTCTTTTTTGGTTCTTCTGAAAAAGTCATGGCCAGGCTAAATCATTGATTTCCAAGTACTGGCTCATCAAAGGTCCAACGAGCTCAACGACGAAGGTCAGTTAGATACTTGTGGGTTCCTTGTTTCCAGCTTGGGAATTCATCCTAGGAAGTTGCCCCATCATGAACAGAATTTGGGCAAAGCGGCAACCCCCCGAGGGTTCCACCCAGATCACCTGCTTCAGGAGGTGCGTCGGAGCGCTCCGACAGCGGCTCCCCGAGCCGTGCCTCCCTCGCGCGGCCGCTGGCAGCGGCGCATTGGCCGCTGGGGGCCAAGGAGGAGGAGGAGGACAGCGGCGGTCCGATGGCGGTGGAGGGCCATAGCGGCTTGGATGCTTCCATTTGCTGAAAAGAAGAATATATATATATATATATATATCTCACTTTTCCCCTTGTTGGTCTTAAAAGGAATTTATCACTACTGGATGTATTTTCATATTTCGGGGTCTTAACCAAATGGAAGGATGGTGGAGACGTGGGCGTTTCCAGATTGGTTTTGGAGGTGCGGAGGTGTGGAGGTGACCCAAACATGGGAACACACCAGAGGTTTTCCATGTTGAAGGAACACGGTCTTCCAGGACCCCTCTGTCAGGTTTGATGTTGACGGACGGGAGGGTATGTACCCCTATGTTAAAAGCTTCGAGTGGTGACATTTATGCATCCATACCTCCAAAGCCAGACCGGGAATGCCACCAAATGTGGGTATGCGCTTTGGGAAACAAACTTTCAATGGGTTAATCGCTCAAGCTGGTTGACAAGGGGACCCCTGGCATTTTCTCAGGCACCCCAGGCCTGGTGGACCTGGCCCTAAAGTCCAAGCCGCACCAACGGGGTTTTTGGTCCTCAGGTGAGCAGTGTGCCAGGACTTGGTATATCTTCCCTCGGGGTTCAAACACCTTTCGGGTCAAGAGGGAGAGCCGTGGAGAGCCCTGGGGAGAGCGCTTCAGCCAGTTTTCACGAGAAAGTCACATTTTGATGCGACCATTTTGAGCGTTGGGGGCAGACAGAAGAGAAGTACCAGGGGTGTGGTTCTTCGCGGTTGAAGGGGCAATCCAGTGCTGTAAGGGGGCATGGGGCACACTCACCAAGTTACCACTTGGATGTGGGGAGCCTAGTTCAGTTGGCTCAGATACGCTTGGCCGAGCCGTGTTGCCCGCGAGGCAACTTCCTTCGTGCGGGAAGTGAGGAAAGCTCGCCCAGTCGATCCTCCCCCTCCCCAGCGAGAGAAGCGCACCACGAAGTGCTTCGCCAGACTTTCGGGATCCGATTTTGGGGGGAAGTACGGCTTTGTGCTTGTTTGGTGTATTGTCCTTTTGGCAGAGAGGGTAAGTTTGGGGAGGACCAAGTACTGTAAATTTGACTGAGAGGCCCCAGGTCAGAGTTCCCAGTCGGTCGTTTCCCTCTCACTGACGTTTCCGGGTTCCCTGCATACCCATCATCGTGATGCTTTCTGTCCATTGGCGAGCTCACCTGGCGAGACGAGCCCACGATGCAGGTCCTGTACTTCTTCAACGATAATTTGAACATCACCCCCCATTGAAAATGGACATCAGAGGGAATACAGGGGACGTCAAAGGCTACCCTTGGGAAGAAACAGTTGGGCGCATGCACATGAGTTTTGAAGTAAAGTTGGCTGATCGTTAGGCGCCTTGGACAAATGTGTCAGTATGCATTTCAGCCACAAACAGGGATTGCTCATGTTTTCTGCATTTTTGCCAGGTTCGTTGTTGTTGCAACCGCTAATGTTGCGACAGTGGTTCACAAATGAAGCCATGACAAATACATATGAAGACTAGGGCCAAAGTTGAGGAGAAGTAAAAGGTGAGCACGGATAGGTGGAAACCGGCTTGAAAGCCGGATCGAAGCTGATTCCCAATACTAGCCATTGAAGTGTAACCGGGCAGGAGCATGATCCAAACCATCTTGGCACCCCTGCGGATGAAAATTGGGGCTACCCGACGTAAGCAAAACGGGCTCGAGTCTTTTTATTGCTTGCCTGTGTGAGGCTTGCCAAGTTTTGGACTCCTTCAGAGACAAAGTGCTGTTGGATAATTTGTGAATTTGGGTCTATTTGTTGGCAGAACCGTTGGTTTCTTGGTTGGTAGCATGGTTGCTGATGTAATGTATCAGTCAACATGGCATGGGCCAGGAACTCGATCCCTTCACCCTGCCCTCAGGCTCACACTGCGCACACCGCTTATGGTGCTCATCCGGCCCAGCCGGCCAAGCCGGCCCAGCGGCCCAGTGCTGCAAGATACTTGGACGACCTGCCGCTGCTGGCAGTGAGTGGCTTGGCTGTTTGGTTGCTAAAATCGGCTTGTTTGATCATATGTCATAACCCGATTCGATCACGGAATGTCCTGGCCCTGGTTTTTGCAGTACCCGCCAAACCTTTCGAATCTTTCCACGCTTGGATCCAATACGTTTTGTTACTTTTTCGGCCACTCGGGAACTGGGCCAAGTCATGTCAGCGGTACAAGCAGACTGGACAGAAATGGTTGCCATCACACCCAGGATTCCTTTTTCCACCATGTCCAATATCCAAAGTGTCCTTATAAGCGTTCTTACAAAGCTCCTAAGCCTCCTGATGAGGCTTCTTAGAAGCCCCCGTGTAAGCATCCTTATGAAGCTCCTTCCAAGACTCCTTACAAGCTTCCTCAAAAAGCAGTGGTTGGGACGGGCATGCTGGTTGTCCCTTTGAAAGGGAAACCAACGGCGCATGGGCTCCAACCCGATGGAGGTGCCATAGGTCCTCGACCAGCGGGGCCCAGCCAACTGCTTCCCAAGAAGGAGAAACGTGGAGGCCGGGAAGCGACTCAAAGAACGCCCAACGCCTTCCATTTGGTTAAGAATATTTGTATTTTCCCGTGTTTTTAATTCTTCCAGGGGACTTAAGTAAATGGAGAAAGCGAACCGACCTGAAACTAAACAACATGTTGTTTCCCTGGATTTCATCCTGACCACTTTGAAGCTTGCAGATCCCGTGAGGGACCTGAAGCACGTGTCAAGGGAGGCCCTCTTGGGGGGTAGGCGTACGTCGTGTTTGCTCGTGGAAAGTCGAGGTCTCAGGGGTTCCCAACAAACCTGACTGCGGGACCCCGTCGGGGGGCGTTATGGACACCAACACTAGGCCTAACATTCTCCTAAAAGGAAGGTTGCCAAATATAGCCCCAAAGTGTCCACAAGCTGACTTACCGAAAGCCGACCCTTTGACCTTTTAGTTGCTCCTTTGGTCCATTGCTAGTGGCCCACCAAGGTTAACCTCCTCATTGTAGATCCTTTGAGCAGAGCAAGGGGCGTTTGGATCCCTAAAAAGCCGCAGGGCAGAAGCGCTCCTCGGACGTCCTGCGCTCCGCCGGCTCCTTGGCCATGCCGGGCTCCCTCGGCTCGGTGCTGCGGTGACCGGTGGCGCGCGCGCCGGGGGAGTTGGCGGAAGCTGGAAATCAAGGCTCTGAACTGGCGGTGTCTAAAACCACGGCACGGCAAGGATGTGCTTCAAGCCATGCTCAGCAGGAGTTTGCGTGGTGGGTTTCGCCTTTTGTGTCAAGGGGTCCTTGAGGCAACTGAGTTTCATGAGGAGAAGCCAGACACAACTTGTACGAGCGGAGAAGTCCCGAGCTTCCAGGCCTTTGTTTGCACGGCTCGAGACTCACAAGAGGTACCTGGTTTTGGGTGGGATTCCCGAAAGAAGTCCTTGCCAAACTCGGCGTTGGATCTTGTGGAGCTCATGGATGTCGGCTTTCGGGAATCCCCGGTTCCGCCCTCTCAGACGAGAAACCTGGGCTCTTTTCTTTTTTTTTGTCTCCTCAGAGAGGCAGCTTGCAAGGCGCCGCGCAAGGTGCCAAAGGCGGAAGCCCGCCCCGTTTGGCGGGAGGTCACGACCCCAAAGGGGCCGTTACTCATGGGCCGCGCGGAGTCCGGGGGTTTGGCGGGTAGCCTTTGGTCAGCTTGATGTGGCCCCCCTGAAAGAAAGGATTCACCACTAAAAAGGGACCCCCCCCCCTATCAAGAATTGGGGGGGGGGAATTGGGGGTCACCTTGGTCGTTCAATTTGAAACACTTCCGCGCGGCTGGCGACATCTTGTTTCACCACCAGGCTCGCAGGCGGCAAGCGTATGCCGTCAGTTGGTTGAGCAAAAAAAGGCATGCCATGCATTCACTACTGAACCCGGCTGAGGCCTTGCAGTTACATCTAGAACGTGATTTGGATATGGCTTTGTGGATCCACCCCCGCAGAATATTTACAGAGGCAAAAGGATTAATTATCAGAAGCAAACAAATGAGTTTGACATCCTAAAACTGGAGCGTCGAATGATCAACCCCTTTTTCCAGGGGGCTTTGTTTGTTAGGGGGGTGTTTTATCATTAGGGAGGGGTTCAGCACCGGTTCAAAATTCCTTGTTTTGCGGCTCCCCCTTGCCATGCGGGTTAAAGCATTTGCTCAACCATGCCCCAATGAGGTCATTGGCTAAAGTCAAGCGTGAGCTCCCCTTGAATCTAGACAACGGTTTGGATGCGCTTTTCGCTTTTTGTGGATTTCACCTGTTGTTCCAGTTGCCAATTACTACCAGTTGATTTGCAGGTCCCCGTGTAAGGGGCGGGGTCAAGCTCCTCCCCCCTCGCCCCTCCCCCCTCAGCTAACCATCAGTTGACCTGAAAATGATGAAGCCGGAATGAACCCTGAGTCATGCAACCGCAAGTGCGTTCCGTTGCGGGTCGATTCGATGCCGCGCGGCTTGTCGATCGCTTCAGGCGGCATCCTGGCACGTCAGGGCAGCAGCCTGGGCTCGGCGGCGCTGGAGGAGCGCTTGCAGACGGGCGCGCTGGTGCAGGAGCCGGGGCTTGTGGCATTGTTCTAAGGGCACCTTCCCCGTTCTTTCCACGGATTATTCCTAGAAAACCTCCGGCAACCCACGGAAAAATGACTTCTTTATGTCCTTGCATGCATGATCAAGCCAGCACACGCAGTTTGGCTGGAGAAGTGCATGCTTCGCCCCCTAGGAGCGGGCGTAGCGGGTGGTGGCGTAGGTGGCACCATCCTGCAAGCGCTTTTCTGGGGCCTTGAGCCGGCTGCGATCGGGGACCTGGGACACTGCTCAGGGGCACCGCTTCATTGGGGGCCTGCCTTCGACGTGCCGTCCCTTTGTGCAGGGATCCTCCTCGGGTTGGCGCTCGCTCAGGTACTGGACCTCATCCTCATCATCAAGCATGACTTGTTTGCTGTGATCAGGAACCGGGCCAACCAGTGGAGCCCTGCTGTACTTGTGCGGAACCGGCCGTCTGCATGAGCCGGAGCTCGGCCGCTCGTGAGCTGGTTGAGCTTGCCGGGCTCCAGGACGAGGTAGCAAGCCTTGCCGACCGAGTGACTGCTTTAGAGTTGGCCTCTGAGTTTGAGCTCGTGCTGCCCGCCGAGGAAGCTGCCGAAAGCCCCCGTAGTACCAGTGCTGCATCATCCCACGCCCCTGTGAGCACGGAGCGGCGATTGGCCGCAGCAAGGTCCATTGGGTTGTTCTGGGTTCGCTGCCTGAAGGGCAGAGCCAGGGGCCCATCGGGTCGCGACCCGATCCCCCTGCCCAGTGTGATGTGATCTACGTGTGTGTGCGAGACATCAACGGCCATAAGCATTCGCCCGTTAAAGTGTTCCAGAGCTTTGCCCAGCTGGTCCCGTGGGTCGGCAAGCGCGGAGAGTTCGGGGATTCGGAGTTCACCGGTTTCCCCTCCGAGTGGGAGGCCCGTGCTGCCGTCACTGCTGCCGGCCTTGAGTGGCCATGACCGAGCCTGAGCCTGCCACGCCGGTGACCGAAGCCCTTGACGGGCCTCGTAATAATCTGATAATACTGGGATAGGGTCGTACTTATAACTTGAGTTATAAGTTACTACAAGTGGACTTATAACGTGGGACAAGTGGACTTATAAGTTTGCTAAGTCCGAGTCCTAGTTATAAGTTACTTGTCTAGGGTTAACTTAGATAGGCCCACTTATAAGTTCGAGCTAAGTTCCGGGTGCCGGGACTTAGAATGAACTTAGCTGGAACTTAGTTTTTTTGCACCATTTTAGGAAAAACAGCTTTTTGGCATCCAGCGTTTGCGGAGCAATGCCCAAAACGAGTTTGCCTCGCTGAGTCTTGACGCGCGTCCTCATGCGAAAAAAGCACGCGCGCTTTACTCCTGACGTGTCGCAAAGCACATCGCTGAACGCGAGTCCAAACCTTACACCGGGCGATGCTTGCGTATATTTTTTCGGATACGACAGGTCGGCATATCGCAGCGGCTGGTCGGCTCAGACTGCACTCGCGGCTGGCCCGCGCAGACTGGTGCGCTGAGACTGCACTCGCGGCTGGCCCGCGCAGACACCCAGCGGCTGGTCCGCTCAGACTGCACTCGCGGCTGGCCCGCGCAGACGCTCTGCACTCGCGGCTAGCCCGCAGACTCATATCGCGGCGGGCCCGGTCATATAACGGCGGGCCCGCTCACATTGCACTCGCGGCTGGCCCGCGAAGATCCACAGCGGCGGGTCCGCTCGAACTGCAGTCACGCTCCAGATACAGACTCCAGACTCCCACACTCCAGACTCCAGACTGCAGACTCCAGACTCCAGACTACTGCAGACTGCCAACTCCAGAATCCAGACTGCAGAGTCCAGACTGCAGACTCCAGACTGCAGACTCCAGACTGCAAGCTCCAGACTCCAGACTGCAGACTCCAGACTGCAGACTCCAGACTGCCAACTCCAGAATCCAGACTGCAGACTCCAGATTCCAGACTGCCAACTCCAGACTGCACACTGCAGACTGCAGACTCCAGACCGCAGGCTCCAGACTGCAAACTCCAGACTCCAGACTGCAGACTCCAGACTGCAGACTGCCAACTCTCCAGAAAAAAGACTGCAGAGTCCAGACTGCAGACTCCAGACTGCAAGCTCCAGACTCCAGACAGCAGACTGCAGACTGCAGACTCCAAACTGCCAACTCCAGAATCCAGACTGCAGACTCCAGATTCCAGACTGCCAACTCCAGACTCCAGACTGCAGACAACTCCAGAATCCAGACTATAGAGCCCAGCCTGCAGACTGCGGACTTGAGACTGCAGACTCCCACACTCCAGACTGCAAACTCCAGACTCCAGACTGCAGACTCCAGAGACTGCAGACTCCAGACTCCAGACTGCAGACTCCAGACTGCCAACTCCAGAATCCAGACTGCAGACTCGAGATTCAAGATTCCAGACTCCAGACTCCACAATGACTCCTGACTCCAGGATCCTGATCACTGGGCCTCACGGGGAAAGTTTGGCAGTTAAGTTGATTGAGTTACAATAGGAACTCCACGGCTCCACACGACCCGCCCAGGTTAAGTTAAGTTAAGTTTTGTTAAGTTCGAAAAAACTGCACCGGCCTTTCCGGGCTTTGGGGCGGGGCTGTCTGGATGCTGGATTCTGGGGTCTGGACTGTGAATTCTGGAGTCAGGAGTCTGGAGTCAGGAGTCTGCAGTCTGGAGTCTGCAGTCTGGAGTCTGCAGTCTGGAGTCTGCAGTCTGGAGTCTGCAGTCTGGAGTCTGGAGTCTGCAGTCTGGAGTCTGCAGTCTGTCTGTGGAGTTTGCATTCTGGAGCCTGGAGTCTGCAGTCTGGAGTCTGCAGTCTTGATTCTGGAGCTGGCAGTCTGCAGTCTGGAGTCTGCAGTCTGGAGTCTGGAGTTTGCAGCCTGGAGTCTGCAGCCTGGAGTCTGCAGTCTGGAGTCTGCAGTCTGCAGTGGAGTCTGCAGTCTGGAGTCTGCAGTCTGGAGTCTGCAGTTTGGAGTCTGGAGTTTGCATTCTGGAGCCTGGAGTCTGCAGTCTGCAGTCTGCAGTCTGGAGTCTGGAGTTCGCAGTCCGGAGTCTGCAGTCTGGAGTCTGCAGTCTGGAGTCTGCAGTCTGGAGTTTGCAGCCTGGAGTCTGCAGTCTGCAGTCTGGAGTCTGCAGTCTGGAGTCTGGAGTTTGCAGTCTGCAGTTTGGAGTCTGCAGTCTGGAGTCTGCAGTCTGGAGTGTGGAGTTTGCAGTCAGCAGGCTGGATTCTGGAGCCTTGATTGAGTCTTGCAGCCTTTCATCCGCGCACTCACAATCCAAACATGCAAAAAATCGCAAAGTGCCATCAGACCACCGCTTCAAGTGCCATCTCGAAATAAAAATCAACGCCGAAATATTCCTGGGCGGACCAGCCGCCAGCGGACAACCGCTTCAAGTGCCATCTCGAAATGAAAATGAACGTGGCAAAAATAGCTTGGCGGACCGGCCGCCAGCGGAACCACCGCTACAATGATATATCATCAAACGAGAAAAGCAAAACGGGCGGACCGGCCGCCGGCGGAGAAACCGCCCCATGCGACTATATTAAGGCGGACCGGCCGCCAGCGGAGACACCGCTATAGAAACGATTATCGCACAACAAAGTTCAACCGAGTCAGTCAGTGCAAAAAATGCTCCGGCTCCATCGAGCCAAGCGTGCGAAGCAGCGCGAACAAACAGCGTAAACTGCATGCGCGCGCGCCTGCCCTGTTGCGTTGAGTCACACGAAAATGTGTGCTTTCCAGCGCGTAATGCTTCATCACTGCCATGCTTCAAAACGCATGTGTTTGCCAACTCAATGAACTTAGAATGAACTTAGCGGACTTAGAAAAACCTCTTTTCTAAGTTCAAGATAAGTTACTTATAAGTCCAAGCTAAGTGCTAAGTCACTTATAACTCCAGCGTAAGTACGACCCTATCCCAGTAGGGGATAGTGGGGTAGATAACTTTTACCCTTTTGGTGTCCTCAGTATCGTTCCAAGCTGCTGCGGCTTCAGGCATTTGTGGTAGCTCTTACGCAGGCACTTCTTGGGCCGCCTGGCCATGCTGCACTTGGCAGTCACTGCCTCTGTGTGCATCAGGGCCCTCCATGGACCATCGTGCCTTGTGCTACTACGGTGAGTGGCACGCGGTGCCCCTCTTCTCACCTGTCTGACAGACCTGGCTGTCGCTGAGGAAAATGCGTGCCAGCGCCGCGCCGGCCATGCATGTCCTTGCATGCATGATCAAGCCAGCACACGCAGTTTGGCTGCCCGCCCATCCCGCCCAATGTAGCTCTTACGCAGGCACTTCTTGGGCCGCCTGGCCATGCTGCACTTGGCAGTCACTGCCTCTGTGTGCATCAGGGCCCTCCATGGACCATCGTGCCTTGTGCTACTACGGTGAGTGGCACGCGGTGCCCCTCTTCTCACCTGTCTGACAGACCTGGCTGTCGCTGAGGAAAATGCGTGCCAGCGCCGCGCCGGCCATGCATGTGTTTTTGTTTTTTTGGGGGGGAACGGCCTCAATGATTGGTGAGCAAAACTCCCCCAACTAAATGATGGCAGACTTAAACGCGCGATGTGCACCCTTTCCCCTCGGAAAGATGATCTTCCCCAGTTCCAACTTTGCACCTCCATGTTGGTTTGGGACGTCAGGTTCCATGTTGGATGGGGGTAACTATGGCGACGATTCAGAGGTGTAACGCGCTCATCTATCTAGTCCTGAAACTTTGTGATTGCAACACTTCGCTGAATAGGTCTCAGCAGAATAGGTCTAGCACCCAAAGTCTAGTCTCTGCTTTGCTTGAAGGAATAGTTTGTTTCGGCGCGAGCCCGCCGCTACCGCCCGCGCGACTTGAAGTGGGGCTTCGACTTGCAAGGCACTCCAGACAGGGTGCACATGAAGATGGATCAGCCAGTGCGGGACAAGGATGTGGTCTTGGGAGTCCCGCTCAGGGATCATTTATTCTAGCAAATCGCTGAATGCTAGCCTGAGTGGAACCAGGCGTTGTTGACCATTTGTCATGGTTCCGACTGAGACCTTCGTCCCAGGTAACATCAGTTGGTCCTTGTTGTGATCCTGCCAGCCGCCCGACCATGCTTCTCGTGCCATGGTTTGCTGAGTGGCCGCTTGAGGAAGCCCACGCCGTACGTGAGGCTCATACCTTCCTGGACTTTGCTGATGGCTGGTGTTCAATTCGCCGGGTTGCACGAAGATGACACATGGTGAGGCTGATGATGCACATTCTGCATCGCAGGGAATCTCACAGGGAATTGCGACAAGCGTTCCGGTGGTTGAGCGGCCACGTCGTTTTGCCCAGTAATGATGCTGCTATTTGTATGTCACACAGTTGGCAGTCGGCTCACCATCTGTGTGGAGCAGTTCGGCACCTTGTCACACATGCAGCTCCACCCGTGAACAGCAGATTTGCTTGCGATCAACGCCTAGGTGGCCTGGGACGTCGCTCGAGGCACCAAAAGTTGCAGTTTTCAGCAACACTAGCTTAAGTGGTGCATAGCTTCCATACCTCCAAGAGTTGCAGGTGTCCTTTGTTTCCCTTCAGCCATTCAAGGATACCACTCTTTGATGGCCTGAAAGGGAAAATCAACTTCTTCCTTCTTGGGGGGTTCCCCAAACTTAGGAGACGCGCGGATGTTCAAAGCACAGAAAGTCTGAGGAGCTTTGCCTAGACGGGGAGAGGCTGCAGTACCAGCTGCTGACGGGCAGCGGCCCTGAAAGTGGCTGGGTGAGCCTGCGCCTCAAGGACAAGGAGCTTCTGCAAAAGGCCGGCCTCGAAAGGTGTAGCGCAACCCCAGCTCTACTGCTCTTGGGTTGGATCTTCAGACTTTAACTTTTGGGTTCCCTTCATATTTCCTGTTAACCAGCAAAAAGTTGAACTTTTGCTGGGGGACCTACAGCACTCAAGCCCAGGACTTGCCCAAAGCCAACCTTTTGGCATTATTTCTCAAAAAGGGGATGCTTGCAACTTAGGCCCTGTGCACACCCCAACCTCAAATCTTTGGAGAACATATGTTGTTTCCAAAGTTGGGCAGCCGTTGAACGTATCGTTTTCACTTGGGGGCAATGCTGGGGTAGCAGCAGCCGTATTGCCTCTCTCCCCCAAAACTACTTTGAATTCATGGTTGGCTAAATTTGAAACAGGATCTGAACAGATGATGTTTGGAGCACCCCGATGTGAGCCAAGACCTCCACCCTTGGTGCTTGGATTGGTGGTTTAGGACTCGAAACCTCTCGAGCACCGATTGGGAGTCAAGGTATGAAGTTGAGGGTACCCTTGGTTTCAATTTCCCCAGCTGCAGTTTTTTCACGACAAGCTGTGCATAGCTCACCCCCAACCAGGTCCATTCGCCTTTTTGCGACAACCGAAACACGACGCGCCTTCCTGGGTCGCAGTTGGAACCGCTGCGCCCGCTGGCGGCCTCGCGGTGGCTGGCAAAGCCACTCGGCTTCAATCAAGCGAGGTCATTTCACGGTCGGAGCTATTGCGGCCATTCAAACTAGGTCCCCCAGTAGTGCCCTTTTACCCTTTTTGGGGGGAGGGTTCCCTTATTAAAATGGACTACAGAAAAAAGGGTGCCCCTATTCTAACCTCTCTACTGGAGGACCTAGCAAAACTTTGTGGTATTGATGTTGTGGCGTGGGTGTAAAGAGCCTCATGGAAGCAACATTCTACGGGCCATTTGTACGCAGCCCGAAGTACATATTCCGCATAGAACCAGCTTGTCATTGAGCCAGGTATCAGCCGATGCCTGCGGCGTGCTGCCGGCCGTTTGGCAGGAAAAAAGCCGAGCCAAGTCGCAGTCAAGACACGGGGGTGTTCAACCTTGGCGGCACCCTTACGTGTAGCAGTGTAGTGTTTTGGAGGCTCGGGGTTGTAGACATGCAAGTTTCAGGAATCAACGAGCGCGGCGACATGAATCCTCCAGCTTTTTTCTTGTGACCTTCAATGGTGGCCACTTAGACAAAATAATAAAGCGAAGTTACTTAACTGAGTGTCGAGGCCGTGGCTTCTGTTCGGCCTTTTCAAGCGTTTTTGTGTTTGCCCTGGAGAAAGCAAAGTGTTATTCTCAAACGAGCTTGTAAGCAAAAACATCTTGCAAACTGAGGTGCCGGCAGCGGTTTGCGCATTATTCTTCAATATTCTTCAAATGTGAGTGTCAATGGGTGTCATTTGAGTGTCGCGCGGGGGAGGCGAATCGAGGTCACTTGGGTCACGAAGAGGCCACTTACTGCAGTGTCGACTGGCTCGTTTGAGTGCTATTCGAGCATCGCCGCTTGCTCATCATCAACTGTGCCCAAATTACATAGATTGGGCTCAAACGTTCGCTCCTCAGGGTAGCCAGGAACCACTTGTGTCTAAGCGGCGCTTCTGCAGCCTAAGTGGGCGTCACTGAAAATATGCTGGCTTAATTATTTTGCCAGCTGGTAGAGGCTTGAGATGTAGTCGTGTCCCGCTACTTGTTATAGATTAGGATGAGGGATCCCGGAATCCCCTCCCATTTTAAACACCTTTTGATTGAAGCAACTGCCACTCAGGTAATCCTAAAGCTGCTGTTTGGTGATTTAAATGCAAACCACCCGACCGCCACACCTCCAAACGACCCTCTTTTGGGCAGCTGGGCCGCGGGTATGTGTCAAAATCGGGATTTGGACCCCCATGTTGGGGTGGTGTTGTTTTGGTTTCGCTTTAACTTGCTCAGTAGGCAATACCCCAGATTTTTGGAATGAACCGTTTGGGGGCTGGATTTGTTCTTGATCGTTTCAGTTCCCATTCCCTACAAAAACCTAGGGATTCCCACAAAGGGAAAACCATAGGGATGGTGTATAGGGGTCATGCCCTCATGCCATTTTTCATTCCCTGCCTGCAGACTCCACCACGAAAACGACCGGCGCCGAGCCTCAAGCCAAGGCTCATCTGCCTCTTCGGCGCCGGCACGGACGCCACGAGCTTTCTCCACTGGCGCCTCGGCCAGGGGCGGCGTTGTTGGGCGAGAGCGCGGGCACGGTGCGGTGAAGGGGGCTGAGGGGGAGGGAGGAGAGGGAGGGAGGGAGCCCTTACTGAGCCCTTATTTTAGCCATTATTAAGCCCTTAAGGCCTTATTTAGTGCTTATTTGGGGGGGGGGAGGGGGCCCAAACAAGCCCTTATTGAGCCCTTAAGGCCTTATTTAGTGCTTGTTTGGGTCTTTCTCCCCCCCCTCCTCCCTCTCCCTCAGCCCCCATGACATCAGGTGAAGGGGAGTCATGTGAAGGTTATGTCAAATTTATGACTAGCCGGTTGGAAGGGAGCCGTTACAGAGCTGATATCCAAATTGTTGCTTTCATAGAGGGAGCCAAGGAGCTACCAGGCGTCCTGTAAGCGCATGCTAGATGACCCGAAACATATCCCCCGACAAAAGTTACTATTAGTGACTACTAGTCACGATGAGTCACGATGAGTCACTGCTAGGCTGCAATGGCTCCGCAGTGGATCCCACGGTCTAAATCCGTTTCAGAAAGCCTTGGTACCAGGAAATTGAGGAGGAGTGGTTTTGCTACAAGCCCAGCCCCGGTTGAGGCTGGTGAAGGCCTGAAGGCCGACGAGCGCTTGGTACAATTGGGAAGCAATCACAATACTGTTAGCTGACACGCTTTTGCAAGACAAAACCGAGTGTTTTGGGGAGGGGGGTGATCTACAGACACCCCCAAGGAGTCTCTTTTGGTGTTTGGGGTCGGGTTGAAAGAGGGAATGTATGCCTCTTGTTGGGTCCCAACAAAATCTGGGCACATTTCCGGAAACCCGACAACCCCCAATTGAGGTGGGCCCGAATCCGTACCCCTGGTTTCTCATAGAACCCTTCGGCTACTAATTGGAGCGCTGGGTGTTTTTTGGGCTTGCCTTTCAATGTCCCTGTTCGGTTGAAAATGCAGCGCCGCCCTTTCCTGGGTCTTCCAGAGGCCCTTTAGTAGTTGTTCGGGTTTGGACCATTTTAGTGGCAAACCACAGCCTTGGACAATCTTTGGCCAATCCACTCGATCGGAAGCATGGTACTGCGGGGATTAGAAGGCTTTCGACGCTTTGGGGTGTTGGAAGATCAAGGTTTAATGAGACCCTGGGTTTGGTTCAACATTTGCGAGCTGGGGTTACGCGGGTTTTAGTCTTTGGTTCCATTTACCATCCATTTACCAAGGTGCCATGTTGGTACATTGTTTGAGCCGCAGCCACCTCGCTTGGCGCGCCTTTTCTTTGTAACGCCGGAACTTCCGGCTCATGGTTTTTGCTTGGGGTGGTTTGTGGCTCAGTCCAAAGCCAACCTTCGAACCTTTCGGTTTTCCATGTGTGTCGATGTTTTTGGTCCCACCAGGCAGAAGGGGGTGGCTCACAGTCGTCGGCAATGAGTTTGCTTGCAGTTTTTTTAGGTGGCAGTTTCAAACATAATCCCCTCCCCCCCCCCAGAAATTGGGTGAATCAATGGCAGGACCGAGTGGGCGGCGCAGCGATTTCCCTTCATCGAGCTGCTGCTGCTAGTGCTGCCCGGGCACGGCATTAACCGCCAGATCCCCCTGGAGAGCGATGCCAAGGCGGTCAGAGGGCCAAAGGGTTGAGGGCATGAGGGCCTCCGACTGGACGACTCAAGCAAGCCCAGCAGCCCTCAGGACCCAAGACCTCATTTGAGGCCTCTTGGGGGTTGAAGGCCCTATTTAGGCTCCTAGCAGAAGGAGCTGGTCTTGAGTCTTAGGCTCCTGGGGGAAGCTTTTGGGGGAAGGAGCCTGCGATTGGTTTTCCTGTGGAAGTTGAGCGGCTTGCTTTGAGAGCTATCCTGATGCCAGATGGCAGTTGTGCTTCTAATCCGTGGTGTCCCAATGATTAGTGGGAATGAGTATGTATTTCCTCGCTGTGTGAACAACCCAGAAACTCAGGTACCTAGGTTTGGTTTCGGCGGTTTGGAGGTTCGGAAGTGCTTTCCCATTTACCCTGTACAAGAAACCACCATGATCAGATTCCAAAATCGCCTCAATTCGGTTCGACACGAGTCGTGACCTGCGGGCGTTTTAGGGGTTGGATTCGGGCTACTCACGAACCGGAACAGGGCTTGGCGCAAGCACCTGCCAAGCCTCTTGGCATTGGAACGTCAAACGGCCGGAGCTGTTTCCCAGCTGTTCAGTGGCACCCGAGTCTTGTTTCATTTTGGAACCAGCCGACAAGCGCTGAGAACCCACCCGCGAACGGGTCACGCTGGCAGGGTACGGGGGTCGTTCCCTTAAGCATTGCCATTTCTTCTCCGGCCTTAAGGTCACTTTCTTCGGGTGAAATGTACAGCGGAGAAAAGGGGACGCCTCTTATCTCGACCAGACCTTTCCTTATCCTTCCCTGACATGTGTGTGGGTGTGTGTTTTGGAGGGTACCAACATTCTGCAGACCAATTCGCTCAGTTGAAATTCGTCCCTTTGGCCAGACACCACTTTCTTCTTTTTTTGGGGGGGTCTGATGTTTTGCTTGTGGCGTGGAGGAGGGGATGATTCGGGTATGGCTTAAAATGTACAAACTGTTGAATTCAAAACAACAAACAACACAAAATGTGAAACGTTCTTTTGAGAAATGCCCACATCGGGAGGCCTTGGCTCGGCTGGGTGCGGATGAGCTTTTGGGCCTTGGCCTCTCAGGCCGGCGGATTTGGGAGATTTGTTCGACGGATGGATGTCATGGGGAGTGGGTTCTCTCCCGTTTTTTGTTTTTTTTGGAGGCACGGTAAGTCCTCAAGAGCTGGACACATTTTGAGGTTTTTGACCAGATAATTTGCTCTGGGAGGTTTGGGGCAGCTTTCAGGAAGTTTCCGAAGGGTACCAATGTCACTCTTTGGACTTTCGTCACTTTTTGGGGTTGGACCAATTCGGTGGCAACGGGGCAGTTTGGACATTGTTTGCCCAGTCCACTCAGAGGTGAACAGTGGATTGGACAATGCTGTTGAGATGTTGCGACCCCAAATTGTTTCTATGCCATTTCCGAGAACTCCTGGCTTCTCCCGTCGGTTTCCCCACGCTGGTTGGTCGAAGCGCGCTTCGCCTGGGTTTGGAGGTGGTACCCGAGAAATCAGAAGGCTGTGAATTTGCAGAGGTTTGAACCTCTCTCAAGCTGGATCGAAACTTTAGAGCCTCCGGCTCAGTCCGCCGACATTGTCCTCTCCCTTTTCTCCTTCTTCCCTCTCCCTTGTCTCCCTCGTGCGTTCTGTCGTCCTCTCTCCCTCCCTCTGCTCCCCATTCTCCCCATCCCCCCAAGCCTCTCTCTCCTCAATCTCCCACTCTCTCTCTCTCGCTGTCTCTGTTTCTCTGTCTCTTTCTGTCTCCCTGTCTCCTTCCTGTCCACGCCCCTCTACAGAAAAAGGGCACCCTAATTCGAACCTCTCGACTCTCTCACTTTCTCGCTCTTTCTCTTTCTCTTTCTCTTTCTCTTTCTCTTTCTCTTTCTCTTTCTCTTTCTCTTTCTCTCTCTCTCTCTCTCTCTCTCTGTCTTTCTGTGTCTCTCTTTCTCAGTCTCCGTCTTTCTCTCTCTCGCTGTCTCTCTCTCTGTCTGTCTCTTTCTCTGTTTCTCTGATTCTGGCTCTGTCTGTGGCTCTGTCTCTCTCTCTCTCTCTTTCTGTCTCTCTCTCTGTCTCTCTCCCGCTCTCTCTCTCTCTCTCTCTCTCTCTCTCTGTCTCTCTCTCTCTCTGCATTGCAGCGTCACGTCCCCCCCCGAGTTGCCTCGATGTCCGGGCACTGCCCCTGCATGACCCTGAACTGTCATCTCACTACTGGCTTTCCCCCTTCATGTCCTTGTCACGTTTCCCATGATGTCCTGGTCCTGTCCCTTCCATGCCATTCAGCCCCCCCTTCATGTCCCTGACATTTTCTCGGTATGTCCGCTTCATTTGCCATGTATGTCCCGTTCTTTCGTTGCGAGTCATTTCCCTGCATCTCCCGTCGTGCTTGGTTTCCTTGTGCTTTGTTTCCTCTCCTTCCCCCTGCACTCCCCTTGTTTTCATTTCTGTCCCTTCCCCTTTGTTTCCCTTTCATGTCCCGCTGCTTTCCTGTCATGTCGACTTCCTACTTCCTCCCCTCATTTCACTTGCACTTCCTTGCATTTCCCCTCTGCTCCCCAATATTTCCAGCAAAAAAAACACGGGTTTTCCAGCGTTTTCACAATTAGGACGTCCAAAAACACAGAGTTTTTCCAGATTTTCTGCAAAAGGAGGCAGGAACCCCAAACCAGCAAAGAGCCGGCAGGGGGAATCGAGCCTGGGACCCCTGTTTTGCAACACCGGCTCCCCGAAGACTACGTTTAGTGGAACGTCATCAAATTGCCGCGCGGTCCTTGGGGGGGGGGGGGGGGGGGGGGGGGGGGGGCCCCCCCCCCACGTATCAGACGTCGGGCGGGGGGGGGTTAGGGGGGGGGTTATCCTCTATCCTCTCTTAGGTGTCCGACACGCCGAGCAATGTCGGCGGACATTGTCACCAACCCATTTTGTTTTTCCACTTTGTTTCAACTTCGGAGTTTGAACCAGACGCTGGTCAAACGCGAGGTAGCCCCTTGATGGTTTGGATGGTTTGGATTTGGATTTGCTAAATTTTAAATGGGCTTGGCCTCCAAGCCTCCAAACCAACCCAAACCTTCGGAAGCTGATAAAGTGAAGTGCTTCCCTTTGCTTAAGACTATAGTTGTTTCCCCTGTTCTTTTTCAAACGAAGCGAATTCACACCTGGAAACATGTTTATGTTTTCCAGGGGACGAACAAAAAATGGGGCGGAGGTCAAAAGGAGCTTGGCCCCCGCCAGGTGACATCTTCATCTTGGGCTTCTCCGCGGGCGCTACGGCGGGTGCGGTCTCGTGAGGGGAGTTGCGTCTCATGTTCGGGAGGGACGCGCAAAAGCGCGCGTGTGGGGAGGCCCTAGGCTGGTTTGAAGGATTTCAAGTTTTTTAGCCAAGGCGAAACTTGGTTTGAAACAAATGCTTCCCCCAAAGTAAACCGACCTTGATTTTCCTTTCACTTCGATTCATGTTTAGTTTCTGGGTTTTGCCTGTGGACCGAAGTCTGGTTTTCAGTTTCGGGCGATTTTGAATCAGACGGTGATCGTATTTTGTTATTCATGAGAGCTCATTTGAAGTCATTTCGCACTTGAAGGTTCGCAACATATTGGGAACGAAGGAATTAGTCTTTGCTTCCATTTGCAAGGGCAACCCGTTTTGGGTACCTTTTTCGACCCAAACTTTCGGGGGTCCTAAAAGGCATTCTGCCAATCAGAGGCTTTCTTCACACTGAAGGTCGGCTAGCAAGGGGTCCAGCTCCACAGCTGGTGTTGGTTCATTTCCCTGTTTTAGGTTTTGTTGGTTTGGCTTTGTAAAGGCCAGCAAAAGCCAACCAGACAATCCCAAATACAAGCTGATTTGGAGGACCCCAATGCTTGTTAAGTTAATATTGTGAGTCAGGAGTTTGGTGCTTTGTTTGGATACATCCTTCGAACTCAACCCTGCTTCCGGTCTAGTTCCTAAAAGGATAACCCTTCTTTTCCGGTCTATTTGGGCAGGTGACTGGGATAATACGACATGGGTGATGGTTCAATTGGTGTACCCTTTTATTTCCAATCATTTTTAAGCCTTTTGGCGGGGATCCTGGGAATACCATTTTAAAAGAGTTAAACAAGCTCCATAGAGTTTGTTTCCCAAGAATGAGGCAGGGACAGCTGGATTGGTGCCCAACAAATTGCAAGGATTGCCAGGCTTTGTCTCGTACCCACAATCTGGGCTGCGGTCTCCTCAAATACTTTTTCAGGTTTACTAAACATGAATTAGAGACTGAACAGGGTTGGGTTTAGCCCAGGGTAAGCCTCCTTTGCAAGGCCGGAAGCACGGGGTTGATGCACATGAGCTTCAGCAAATCTGAGAAAGTTGTAGGTTTTGTTCTTTTTCAACCACATGGGTCTGTTTTTTTTGAGGGTGCCCTTATTTGGTCTGTTTTGAATGGACAGCCACAAGGAAACACCCCGCTCAGAATATGGGCACTGGAGCTTTGGGTCCAGCCTCCCACCTTCATGGAACTGCACATACTGCTCAAAAGAAGTGGGAACCTCGGTCTAAGGAGAACCCCCATTTTTTTCATAGAGGGGGGTCCCCTGCAAGTGGACATTCGTCGCTGTTGGAGGGGAACACCCACCACATGAACAGGACGAGATTCGTTTGCCAGGGCTGTTGCGAGGGGCTGTTGCGCGGGAGGCTGTTGCGTGGGAGGCTCTCCTTATCCTGTGCATCAAAAACAGCGGCCCATTCCCATTCCCCTTCCCAACCCCATTCCGATTCCCATTCCCATTCCCGCCCCGTTCCCAGACGATCCCCAAAACCAGCGACAGACCCATCTCGCCAAGCCCGCCGCGCTTTTGGCAGTGACCCCTGGCTCTCGGGCCAGGCCTCGCGCTCTGCCAAGAGCTCCAGAGCCGGCACGCACGGGTTCGCAAGCTGCAGCTTGACGGGTGTTGTTGGGGCAGCTTCACTGTTTTTTGGGGGGTGGCGTTAATCCAAACCACCAATTGGAAGGACGCTGATATTGGGTCGGATCGCTTTAAGTTGCTGGTTGAATGTACTTGGAGCTTTAAGCTGCTTCCCCTCCCCGCAACCTATGTTGGACTATTTCTTGACCTTGCACTTTTGGGTTGAACATGTTTTCAGCCAGAAGTCAAGCAACTCCACTTTGTGGAGGCTTCATCTCCAAGCCGTTTATCATCTTCCCCAGAATTAGCCTCCCTTCATCATTGTTTCTTTTTTGGGGTCCTTTTGTGTTTTCCACCAACCCAAAAATAGAGTTTCTTGCTGGCATCCTAATTCGATGGTTGTTGTTGGGAAACATTTTACATTGTTGCTTATTGTGGTTTAGTTGGAAATCCCGACTTAGCTACATGTTTTTTTGCTCACCTTCAACGTCAACCAAGAAAATTCGAGCCAAGTTCCTATACTACATAATTCTAGGGGTACCTTCCCCATTCTTTCCAAGGATCCTTCTTTTCAGGAAACCATCCAAAACCCAGGGCAACAGCTAGTTTTTGACCCCACACCCACACCCACAGCCCCTGCCTAAGTTTGACTTTTGGCTCCCGTGCTCGTTTTCGGCAACAAGCAAAGGCAACAAGTTGCTATACAGAATTCCACCCCCTGAATTTACAGAATCCCACAGTGGCACTTTTTGAGGGCGGACAAGCCGAGGTATGTCGCGGGTCGCGCGGGGTGCCAGGCGCAGCCGTTGAGCGGGGGGGTGGGGGTAGGGTGGGGTAGGGAGGGGGTTGGAGGTGGCATGTTGTTGTTTTTTTCTTGGGTGGGGAGGGGGGGGGGGGATGGGGGGAGGGAATGATGGGTTTAGTATTTACAAGCTCCTCTCTTATGATGGTAACTCAATTTGGGTTGCAAGTCACCCACAATCCCATTCTAATTGTTTGGGCCCTTACATTCTGGTTTGTGACAAGCAACAGGGTGTTTTCTGGTTGCATATTCGCAACCCCCATCTTTCAAGGGCTGATCTGGGTTTGGAACCTCCAAGCCTTGATACGAGGTCTTATTCGTGACGTTGGCGCAAGTGCGCACCCACCCCGTCTTGCAGGGAGGTCATAGCTTCAAGTTGTACGCTTGTTGAGGGCATTCTTTTTGGGGTTGGTTAACAGAAACAGGGCAGCCAAAAGGAACGCCACCATTTTTTTCAGGCCTCTACTGTGACACATGGTATGATAGTATGGATAGGGGCCTCTTGAGTTTGGAGGCTTGTCGGCCTTGCCGCTTGTGAAGTGGTTCTTGCGCACACCTCATATCAGGAAACCACAATCGTCTGCGATTCTTCAAGACCCTTGAGAAAGCAAGCTATGCAAGCTACTTAGGGACAGGGCCCCCCCCAAAAGTACCAGTCAAAATAATCTGAAGGGGAAACCCAGTGACCGTCGACCCCCGTTGAAGACCCTTGCGGACCCATGCCGCGAGCCATCGTGCGCTAGGTTCGCTACCGGCCCCCGAACCACGAGGACGGATCGATCGGCTTAAGTGGGTCTTGCGGGACCTCTCCCCTTTCAGACCCCGAATTGGGAGAAGGTTTCCTGGGGTTTTGTGAGGGTTTCCTGACAGTTTCCGTGGGAAGCTCGGGTTCTTGCAGGTTTCCAAGGGCTCCAAGTCTTTTACTCAGCTCGCCCTTAGTTGGAGATTCGGGCCAACCCCAACCAAACATGAGTGCCTTTGTCAATTTGTAGCCTCGCTATTTCTTTTACATGGTTCTGGGTACTTGGATGTACCGCCAAGTTAGCATGTGGTCAGCCATCTGGGGTATAACGGTATAACACGTTGTAAGTAGGTTGTACAACACCATGGTTACTAGCAACTTACTAACCTAGGTCCCCCAGCACCGCCCTTTACCCTTTTTTGGAGAAGGTTCCCCTACTAAAATAAACTACAGAGAAAAAAGGGGTACCCTTATAACCCCTAGTAACTTGGCCAGATATCCAAGTAGACCATTTATTACCAGGTTTTGATTGTGGGAGGAGATCTGGGCCTTTGACCCACTGGACTGGGCGCGGTGGTTCGCGGCCAACTTCGCCACGGAAGAGGCCCAGGCAAAAACCGAGGCCCGGCAAGAGGTGTGGGGCACAGGCGGTGTTCTCCTTAGCGGGGGTTTTCCTTGCTGGTGCTCAGTAGGGAATGAGGGAATGAACCCACAATTCCCCATCAAGGGTCATTCCCTCATTCCCTGTTGAGCACCAGCAAGTTTCGTTCGCGAAAAGGCTGCTTTCTCCTTTCCCGACAAAAGGTTTCAGAATGCTGGTGCGAAATCGGTAGGGAATGAGGGCTCCTTTCCAGACGCAAATCTTCAGAATGCTGGTGCGAAAAATCGGTAGGGAATGAGAAATGGAATGAACTCAGGCTTTGGTCCCCAGAAAGGAAATCACCAGTTGGATAATTTATAGGGTCATTCCATTTCTCATTCCCTGTTGGGCACCAGCAAGTTTTGGCTAAGCACCGATGCAGAAAGAGTTCCAGGCTGGCAATGTGATCTTTGTCCCGTTTCTCACGGGTCTGGGGAGAGACATGGAGAGGCGCAGTTCAGTGAATTTGGGCTCGCTTGATTACATGGGTCCCTTGAGATCATCATTTGGTTAAACCTACTTTTGGGGATGGGGTTGTTGGATTGGGACACTGCATGCATTGATTTGGGCAATCCCCTACCCCCTTGACTTGGCTGCTCTTTGGATGCATAATTATGTAACCTTTGCTTGCTGCCGAAAACTGCGGTTATTTTCCACGCATCGGGCTGGTAGGACTGGGCAGCATAGGAGCCAAAAGTCAAACTTGGGCAGGGAATGGCCAAGTTGAGGCGGGGCAACGACCGAGGAGCGGTTGATCAGCCTCTCCGACGGGCGGGAGGATGGGCTTTTGAAGTCCATCGCCCTCACCCAACGGGCGGACATGCAGCTGGGGGACAGCCTTGCAGGCGCGAGGGCGAGCAGTGACAGACCCAACCAGCCTACTGTGGATGGACGAAATGAAACCATGCATGGGAAACCACTGTTTGTTGGTATGTACAGGCGGATTTATTATTCCAGGGTTTCTGAATGGTGGTGCAGGTGTTCGTCCATCCACAGTAGGTGGGGTCCAAAGAACCAGCCCTTTTTTGAATTTCGCGCAAAGACTGAACAACGAGCCCCTAATTTTGATTTTGACCGTTCATCAGAGACCAGGGTTCACCTTCCCGTGGCTACATCATTGTACCCTCTAAGATCCTAAAGGATGTCAAAAGATGCGCAAGAAGCAACCATTGTTGTTCTTGCTGGGGTTCTCCATCCGTGTTTTGTTTTAGTCGTCTTGTTATTGCGCAACCCCGTCCCCATTTGGTGTTGGTGAGTTTCCCTGTTTTAGTTTCCATCAAGCATGCAACTGAGTTCATCAAACAACTTGTTTCAAACAGCTAGTTTGGACTTGCTGTAGCGAATCGACGGGAGTGAGACCCTCATTTCGCTTATTCTGTGCTTGGGGCCCCCTGTCTTTGCAACCTGACCTCTTTCTGGGTCTCCGGTCTGGGGGCGTCCCAAGTGCGAACAGGTCCCATGTTATGCCAGAATCAGGAAATGTTTAAGTACCCCTTAGTTGGTGGTTCGGATTTGGACCCCGGCTTTTACAGAGAACGGACAACCATACACGTTTCATCTCCAAACCCCCAGCAGAGGGCGTGTGATGGAGTGAAGCTACACACCGGCGAAAACTATGGATCCCGGAAAGGAATCCTTGAAAGGAATCCAGGTAGAGGGGCGCTGGTTTTAGGGCCAAGTCTTCATCCCCTGAAGGGGACAGCTCAAAAAAACCGACCTTTTTTGGTTTGGTGACAACACCCCCCCTTGTTGGGAAAGAGTAAAGAAGCTTTTTTTGGTGACAACCCTCCCGTTGAGAAAGACTAAAATGGACCTTTTTTGGTTTGGTTTCTTTTGGGGGCTCCAAACGGACAAGTGCGATGACCAGGTCATCTTGCGGAGGTCAGCTGCGACCTCCATGCAGTGGCCTCCCGCGCAGACGCGGTGTGGCCGGCTGAACGCGCGCTGCCCGGCGCGAAGTCAGAGATGTTGTGAGGCTTACACGGCCAGATCGATGTACTGACTAAAGCCCTCTACAGACTTAGAAGAAAGGTTGGACATGCTTAAAACCAGTTTAAACCATAGCTAGACAATGTTTTGAGGAAAGTTTGAAATATTGATTTAATAACAAGCCCTCGGGAAGTGAGAGACGGATCTGAGTGCCTTCTTGCCAGCTTGCTGTACCGAGTGCATGCTCTCTGTCCCTCACCAAGACGTTCTTGAGACAAGCCCTCGACAATTTAGACATGTTTAAAACCAGCCTAAAACCTAGGTGGACACAAATGTGTATTTAAGCCCTCTACACATTTAGAAGACAATTTAGACCTGGTTAAAACTAGTTTAAACCAAAGTTAGGTCACAATGTTAGACACTTTGTAAGAATAGTTGAGTGATACATGTTGTACTTGGGCAGGCACACAAATTTGACCTCCAGCATGTTTGGGTATGTGTTAAAACTCCCCCTAATGGGTGGTTTCCCGTTGGTTCGCTTGAGATGAAAACCCTAAAGAGGTTGCCCTCAAAAGAGTCACACTCATATATGTATATAATGTACCTGCGGCAGGGAAGCTTGCCGTCCCGAAATTAGGAACTACACATATGATCTATGCAGACATTATGTTTTATGCTGGCCATGTTTGTTTCTATGATGACTTGTAGATGTATCTGATATTCTGATATTGCATTCTGTTGGTGGGTGACTCTTTGCACAGCGCAGTCCGGCCGAGGTTCGGCGGAAACTGCCAGCCGCCGTACGCCGACCTGGCAGAGACCTGGCGGCCTTATACCAGGGGCACTCTTACCTGGAACTACGTGGAAGGAGCAGAGAACGGGCACCGGGTCTGTTTTCACTTCCCGAGTTCTTGGACGTTAGTCACAACTTTTGGGTTTGGACCATTGTAGCGGTAAACAGAAAGCTTGGACTTTGTTTTGGGCCATCTACTCGGGAAGTGAGGTCTCAAAGTTGAAAAACAGTTTTTGCCGGTGCCATGGTTTTGGGAATGAATCTAGGGATTCCCTTAAAGGAAACCGTAGGGGATGGTGAATAGGGGTCATCCCAATTCTCATTCCCTGCTGAGAGCCGGCAAGCTGTTTCGGATGGGTTTAGCGGGACAAGGAAAGCAACCCGGAGTCCCGAATGTTGAGGCAGACCCATCTCCAAAGGCCAAGTTTGGCATGGAAGCCTTGCAAATTGCCCGCAATCAACGACCTGCGAGCTTGTCGTGGCATCCTGTGGGATCCATCTCTCGGATCCCAGCACTTAGCTTTTTGGTGTCTAGAGGGTTTTTGTGACATGGGAACCAGAAAACCGAGGCAGGGGAACGAGGCAGGGGAGCATTCCACGGGTTGAACTTTTGGCGGGGGAACAAGGCAAGGGCACAGGATGCCAATCCTTAGTCAACTTCTGGTTGGCGCGGCAGGAGTGCCACACCACGCGCTGTGCTCGGAGATGCTCCTGGAGGAGATCTGCCGAGACATCGCCGTGACGCTTTTGAGCGCGGGCGAAAAAAGCGAAACATCGCGCGGAGCCGGTAGACCAGTGTGCTGAGAGAGGCTTGTTTGGTGACTGTGTCCCAAGCCCACGGACTTTCAGCGAAACCGCTCTGCCCCGCTTATGGCTTCTCAGTGGCTGAGGCGTCTTGTGGCATATCGGTGTGCTTCCTATTTGCGGGTACGCCCTTTGTGGGTTTCAAAGGGGAACCAACAGCAAGCTCAGCATTTTGCAGGGTGCAACAGAAAAAGGCACCCCAAGGGGTATACAAAAATAAATACATACATACATAAATAAGTAAATAAATAAATAAGTAACACAAATATATGGGTTTGTCTTTTTTTGGTGTGTTGAGTTGCTTCAAAAGGCAGAAGGTGGGACCTCCCCGAATCATACCCCCGAATCATACCCCCGAATCATACCCCGAATCATACCCCCGAATCATACCCCTTAAAACGTATGCTGCAAGATGCTAATGTTCTTCTACCGTTTTGTGTTGTTCACTGTCTCCACAACCACCACCAGCGCTACCCAATACTACCACTACCACTGCCACTGCCACTACTACGACTACTACTTCTACTACTACTACTACTACTACTACTACTACTACTACTCGAACTACTACTACTACTACTACTACTACTACTACTACTACTACTGCTACTACCACTACTACTACTACTACTACTACTACTACTGCTACTACCGCGACTACGAGTATTACTACTTACTACCACTACCACCGCTACCACCGCTGCTACTACTACACTACTGCTTCTACTTCTGCTACCCTTACTACTAACTACTACGACTACAACCTTGACTACTACTACTACTACGACTACAACCTTGACTACTACTACTACTACTACTACTACTACTACTACTACTACTACTACTACTACTACTACTACTACTACTACTTACTACGACTACTACCTACTACTACTACTACTACTACTACTACTACTACTACTACAACTACTACTACTGCTACTGCTGCTGCTACTACTACTACTTCTACTACTACTATTCCTGCTTCTGCTGCTGCTGCTACTACTCACTACTACCACATACATCATTCTGAGTCTGTAATCAGTGCCGTTTTGCACCTAGCCGAATCATACCCGCGAATCATACCCGAATCATACCCGGACAATGAGCTTCCCCTGCCAAGGCTAGTGCTAAGTCTTTTTCACAGCGTCCGCACCACTACAGCCGCTGCTGCTTATGCTACAGCTGCTACCACTACTTCTGCAACTGCTACTACTACTACTACCACTACTACTGCTACTACTACTACTACTACCACAGCTACTACGAGTTTGTAATCAGTGCCGTTTTGCACCTAGCCGAATCATACCCGCGAATCATACCCGAATCATACCCGCGCAATGAACTTGCCTTGCCAAGGCCAGCGCCAAGTCTTTTCCTCGCATCCGCGCCACTACAGTCGCTGCTTCTACTCTTACTACTACTACTACTACTACGACTACTAGTACTACTACTACTACTACTACTACTACTACTACTACTACTACTAGGACTACTGCTACTACTATTTACCACTACTACTTCTACTGCTACTACTACTACTACTGCAACAACAACAACTACTGCTACTACTACTAACTACTACTACTACTACTACTACTACTACTACTGCTACTACTACTACTACTATTACTACTACTACTACTACTACTACTATTGTTACTACTACAATATTTCTACTAGTGCTACTACTTCGGCGACTACTGCTACTACTACTGCTGCTGCTGCTGCTTCCGCGAATCATACCCCCGAATCATACCCCGAATCATACCCGCGAATCATACCTGCGAATCATACCCTGTACTCAAACCTTCCTGCCCGGCCACCCTAAAAAAATACAAACCCATATGTATTATATGTATCATCATGCAACTGTAGGGGTGCGACCTTAAGGGCAAGACTCTTTTGCTCCCTTTGTCTGGTACCAACGGACACCGACCCTTCAGCCTGAACACATGCCCCTCCCTGCATTTCCCCTATGAGTGAGGTTGGACCCTCTTCAAAATGCAAAGTGAAAGGGCATGAATGAACATCGTCAACTTCGCATCTGCAGTTTTCGACCGAACGGGTCACTTGACGCAATCTCACCCGTTCTGCTTCAGTTCCAGGATTGGAGGGTTGGATGGGATCAGGCTTCCTTATAGGGATCTCTTGAAAAACCGCCACCGCTTTCGAGGGAGCACCTTAAATGGGTCCAAATAAAACCACAAATGGAAGCACACCGGACCGGTGATGGACGAAACTCCTGCACCACCAACAAACAGCCCGTAAGGATGTTTTTTTGTTTTTCCCGGTAAATTCCGACACACCATGGTTTCCGGGGGTTTCATTTTGTGGTGCCTAAGCGGATTTCGTAGAGTTGGCTGTCGGAGCCTCAGGCTCTCAACCCCGAGCCTGCAGCGCCTGCGGCGCCTGCGGCTGCCGCCTTCGACAGAGGTTCGGTTCGGTTGGATGTTGATGCAGCCTGAAAGGTGCATGGCGTTTGGGAGGAAGATGGCTGGAAGTGATCATGACCAAGAAGGGCACATGGATTGGGAGGGCTCCTCTTCGCTTTTGGGAGGGGTTGGCTGACTTGCCAATACCGAAATGAGAATTTTCCTGGCCCAGGATTGTTCAAATAGGGCTCGTTTGAACCTGGAAAAGGAAAGCGGGGTCTTGATTCAACTCCGAAAGTGTGTCGGCGAGACTGGTGTCCGGTGGCTTCTGACAATGAGAACCCAGGGTCGTTCGTGCCCTGGATCCATTTAAGAGCGAATTCACCACTTTTTAGGGGAAATAGGCACCCAACAATCCAACCCTGCTGACGTGGGACAAAACACATTATCCCTCCCAAATGGTTTGCAGTCCCAAACCGCTACTTTCAGGGGGTATATGGATTCTTCGGCTCTGTCCACTAGTGGGAGGTTGCAGCTTGCGAACTGCCCAAGAACTTTCAGACGAAACCAAGAGGTGCCTGGGACCGGGACACCAAATGGCTCAATCCGAGCAGTTAAGACGCTTCACGCCAAAGGACCTTGGCTCGTGAATGACCTAGTGATTTACCGGTTTATCGGGCACTCAGGTTCTCTCCTCGGTGGCCACAGCGTTTTCGGTGATTCCACTATCCTGCAACTTCTGCAACTGGCAAAGGTTCAAGAAATGCCAGGTCCAGGTATTTTCGGAAGTAGTGCCGGCCCACGGACAACAAGGCCCGGGTAGTGAGTAAGAGTTGTCCTGTCCTTCTTATATATATATATATAATGCATGCTTCCATGTATTATTTATTTTTTTTCATTTAGTCTCATCATTTGCATTGTTGTTATTCTTACTACGATCAATCGTTTCTTTTAGACATATTTTCTAATAATATTATTATTCTTATTACTTGTAGAAGCCTTCCCCACGAATTTGAGGAGCGCCCCTGCCACTTGGCCAGAAAAACGATTCGCTGATCCGCCAATCCCGGGTC